CTCTCTCCCTCTCTCTCCCTCTCTCTCCCTCTCTCCCTCTCTCCCTCTCCCCCTCTCCCCCCCTCTCTCGCTCGCTCGCTCGCTTCTGCATAATGCGCTTCTCTACTCCTATTCTTTGCAGTGTAACCCTTGCTGCTTGAGCGCAGTACTGAAGTTGCCTAGCCATGCGGAATTTGTAATTGGGATCTGTTTTGTTGCATCGTGCTATGAAGCATGATCTTACCGAACTCGCTGACCGTTTGGTTGCTTGGGCCGGATGACGAGTCGCTGCTTGATTTTTGTCCTTGATCATAGGGTGTGGCACACGTGCCGGTTTCCTACACGTACACCAACTTTGATACCCTTTGCTGCCTTTCATTTGCCTCTCATTCAGATGTTAAGGCTTCCGGTGCCAACTACTTCATCTGCATCAACGCCTTTGGGCGACAAGCTGGCTGCAGTCCAGATCGGAGGAATCCAAACAGTCGCATATCGGAGGAGTCGCGCTCATGCTCATGGAGTGCACTCGCACAGCGGAACGTAGAAACATTCAAGAGCCAGGCGAGAGATTCAGCCAGGGAATGTGGGAAACACGTCCGGAAATTTCGGAACTACCGTGGGAAATTCAGACATCATAATTGTAAACGCTTGCGCGCGCCGCCGCGGGTGGGGGGGGGTCAGGGTGGGGGGGGGGGGGGGGGGGGTCCGGGGGGGGGGGGGGGTCAGGGGGGGGGTCCGGGGGGGGGGGTGGGGGGGGGTGGGGGGGGGGGGTGGGGGGGTGGGGGGGTTTTCCCTGTAGGAGCCACCGACAAGCGGGGACCCTCCACGGCATCGGTTGCAGCTCCTCCAAGGGATTGGGGGGGGTCCCACAGGGGGGGGGGGGGGGTGGCGTCAGAAAATTTGGCATGGGGGGAAGGGTTGGGTTAGGGGGAAGGAGGCCCGATCCGGGTCTGCTTGTTCCAGACGCTTCTCGGCAGGAAGCCGAGGCGAATTAAGGAAAACCGATGGGATACTCAGGAGTCACAAACACAAAATTTGAAACACACCCCAACATTTCAACAGACAGGGCTCTGGGGTTCAGGTCCTTAAGGGTCTACGTGGTCTTGCAGAATCATGAAAGCAGTATATATACAGTATAGGATTCAGAACTTGAAGGTGTTTGATGGGAGGAGCTTGAGAAGCTTGTCTCCTTGCAGTGCCGCAAGCTCGGCCGTCGTGGGTCCACCAGTTCGGGCGCGGGCCAGATCAACATCGCCGGTAACCTTCGTCCCAGTTGCCAGTCAGGTTCTCGCCCGAGCTCAAGAGGGAAGAGTGAAGAGCAGACGGCTTGAGAATCTGTCAACTTGTCATGTGCTCTACGGTGAGGCGTGCTTGACACGTAGTAGCTACCCGCAATCACCGACTACCTCGCCGGGAGCATCCTTCCGAACAGTTCTACGCTATCCACAGCATCCAGCGCAGCCTGTCCTAGCAAAAGTGTTCGACCCGCAGATGCAGGTCCGGTCCAGAAATGTCACAAACGCTTGGATCAAAGGTCTGTTGGCCCAAGTGCTGCTTTGACACCACACAGAGGGTGGGAAGCTGCACGGTCACAGTCTCCAGTCAGAGTCTTGGAACATTTGCTCTGGTTCCTGAAAACTCCTCGTCCTTGTAACCCTCTGAAATTCCTAGGTGCTCGCATATCGCCAAGTGCTGCGGCCTGTCCCTGCTCCAAACTATGTCGTGAGCACAGAATCTTGGCTGACAGTTGGCAGTCCCTTCCAACAGTGGCTTCCAGTGATTCCGATCCCTTCTGTGCACGCCTGGGCGTCCTGAGCTCCGTTGGAAGCAGGTGATGCATCCAGCATCGAGCCCGCATGCCTTGGCAGGAGCTTGTGGATCGAGGCTTGGGCAAGTAGAAAGTGTTCTTGCTCGTAGCTCTCACAATCAGAAGCCGAGGGTCAGGGGGGCTAAGGGACTCTGGACTTGACCCTGCAGATGCATACATGGCGAAAGCGTGCTGTCGGCGATGCAAAGTTCAGCGGCAGAGAGAGTGGAGAGAGTGTGTATGTTGTGCGCGGAAAATGTGAAACCCGCATTCGCTCACAATACTGAACGTCATGGTCAACACGTGCTCGCAACATGTGCTCGCAACATGTGCTCTTGAGCAGCACCAAGCCAGTTTTCTCAAGGCAGACGCTGAAGATGCCTTCGTCTGCAGGGAGTCCTTCAGCGGAGGCTCCTGCAATCCATGACAGTTCCTAGTCAGGGCTTTTTGTTCGACATGGCCCAGCGAAGCAGGGTTGAGACGCTTCGATCAGGCACCGAACCTGGAGCCTAGCGGCTCACTGTCCCCTTCGCCGCGAGCGCCAATGCAGCCCACCCCTTCTTCAGCATCATGCCCACAGACGCTAGGCAAACGCAAGGATGATGCTGCTATTCGGCTGGAGTTACTTGCAACCATTTCCTTCTAGCAGCGTGCATCAATGTTCGCCGTTCATGGACTCCATCGCAGTCCATGCGTTTCGGACATGTAAGGTCCTTTGGACAGTGCAGGTTGAGCAGAGCGAAGCGGATGAACGCACCTCCAGCATGGTGCCTTATCTGGACCATTTGAAGATGCCTACGCAATCCATGCCATCATGTTGAACTGAAAGATGTACCCGCTATTGTGTTCCCTTGAGCTATGCCTACTTTCGACTGACGTTTGGCACATTTGCCACGTTTGCTGATGGCACGAAATATTTTTCACGGCCAACTGTGGGGGGCTTGCCGTCTTGGCAGGAGCAGACTAGACTAGACATGTGCCTTTCCTTTCGGAGGAATAGAAAGGCCACGCGCTTGAAATAGACCTCGGAAGGGACATGCGCACCTGGCCCGCGATGCACTGAAAGACTGGACGAGTAGCATCAATTTTCAAGTTCTTTAGAACGGGGAGACAGCTTGCCGGTTTGCTGGAGTTGTTGCGAGCTGCACGAGAGTATCGGGCGAGCTACGACATCCGCTTCCTAAAGACCAAGGAAGCACCCAATGCGCGGTCGACGATCTCGACAGATCTGAATCGTAAAGTTGATTGACGTTTGTGTTGTCTGCCACCCCTGTCGAAGTGCAGCATAGTGCAGCTCGAAGAGAGCATTGCATCACGGGCATTCCCTCCCCCGCCCCCCTGCCGACCAACACCAGAGCCCACCACCTTAAGCCGAGCCGAGGGAGCTTCTCACATCTTAGTTCTTATGGCCTCCAAGGAACTGCTCAACATTCTGTAATGCTGCGTCTCTGTGTGTGTGTGGGGCAGTGGAAGCTACGAAGATCCAAGAAGGCAAGCTGTAAGGCATCTCAGGCTCGCTCCCCAACCCATCCAACCCCATGTGTCAAAAGAAGGGGCGGTGCGGGGATGCGTGCTAACGGTTAACCGCAAAGTATGGAGAACGGCTGGACGGCTGAGGTGGCTTGTGAGCAAGACAAGCTCTCTGAGAATCTCCCAGAGGGTGAAAAGGCAACTGTACATGGAACGAACGAAACGAATGAGGCACGGAGCTGCAAAACACGTGGTTATGTCGTGGTACGGCTACCAGTGTCCCTGAGGAGAAAGAGGAAGCCTACATCCTCTCCGCATTCCGCCACAATCAGCAGATTCCAGATGAGCGCCGTTCGATTGTGCCGCAAGGTACGGCAGCCTGGAGAAAAGCCGTGGCAGATGCGTCGATTGCTGCTAAGGCTGTTCTAGAAGGCATTCCACCTTCGGCACATACGCAGCCTGAAGTACCAGATGTCGAGGATTCTCCTCCAAGCATGGAGACTCTCAGAGCCACGCTGCAAGTGCTTCGCGCACGAGATGACCGCGATGACCCTGCCACTGCACCTCCAGGTACTGCGAAGTTGGTACATGGCTTCGGAGCAGATGTGAATAGTTTCGCCAATGACCAGTCAACGGCAGCTGCGCTTGAGACAGCAGCAGTGAATTTGGCCAATGCAGCAGCTGAGGCAGCCATTGCTTTGGAATGGAGACACTAGTTGGCGTATGCCACTTCTCGTCTCTTTGTACAGATGCCCGTTGCCAAAGACAGTGTGCAAGCGGAAAGTGCGTGTTCAGGAAAAGCAGGCGGTGATCAGAACGCGCAAAACGCCTTCACACTCGCTCTTCCAAAGCAGCTGCAAGTCCTTCCTTATCACTGCCTCAAGCTGTGACTTGGCTTGTGTTTCCGCGGGTCAGCTGGTGCTGCCAGGACAGCTTGGCAGCCGTCGAGCAGAGCAATGTTTCAACTACACACCTTTTCTGACGAGGATGTTGGCCCGGGTGTTCTTCGCTGCCCTCCTGCTTCCAGGTGGACTCGCTGGTGTCCTAACGGCCATGTGATTTCTTGCGCTTACTAGTAAGGTATTGGAAGACACGAATCGCAATGATTCTATCTTGCTGCTGAAGGCCTGGACTGCAAGCCGGCAGACTCTCCCCGAGACCACGGCCTCCGAAGACGCACGTGTGGCATCCGCGTCTGTGGCGCAGCTTGCTCAGCTCCGAGGCCGAACATGTTCGAGCTTGGACTCATAAGTCTGCCCACACTTCAATAAAACGTTTCTAAAGTAGACCAACACATGCCAGCATGTTTGATTCTGGTCCACTCTTCTTCCGCACACGATCGCTCGCTTCATCTTGTTCGCAGCTGAAGAATGTTGATGTTGTGCTTCATTTGCGTCTGACTTGAGATCCTGAGTTGCAGCAACGCCTGTCAGTTGTCAGGCACTGACACCCGCCCGAAAGCTCCAGATGCAGTGGACTCTGCAATGCCAACATGGGCACGTGCTCACCTTGCACATGTATTGCACGATGTGTGTCATTCAGGCTGTCAGTACTTGTACAACAGTTGACAGGTGCAGGATTGGCAACGCTCGCTGTGCTAGCTGCAGTGGCACTTGCCCCGCGTGCTGCGTTGGCAGAGACGGATGTGCAGATGTATGTGGGTCAGGCCAGATACGTTCTGTGTAAGTGGAATAGAAGTGCTACAAGTTGCAGTTCAACAGAGAATTGTCAAGCGCGAGCGCGTTGCAGGGGTGCTTCTGGCACGTGCAGCACGAGGTGGTGAAGCAAGAGGCGCACCCTTGCGTTTCTTTTACGTGAGCACGACTTATACTTGCAGTTACTTAGATTACTTAGGCCCTTAAGTAGGGGTCCTGACAATGGCATGACAGCAAATCAGCGGTTGCATGCGGTTGCATGGCAGACGGGCCTCGGTCGCCAGCCTGCAGAGATCACCGCACTTTCAGGATATGCTGGGGGCACAGAGGCACGCGATGTTGCTCGTGGCTCGCATGGCCTGTGTTCATCACGTTGATTGCGTTGTTGCTTCTTATCCATTCCGTTCTCTTCCGCTCAAAAGGTGGGCAGCCAGGGCGAGGTGTGCTACCACAACATGGCGATGGCCCCTGATTATGGCCGGATGGGTCACACTGAGGCCTGCGACTTTGTTTGTGGGGTGTTGTATTGCTGCTATCGGAGACGTGACTGCGATGCTCTCATGTGAGGTCGTGAACGTGTCTGTGCCCGAGGGAAAGGTTGGTGACTTCGCCAAGGTAGGTCTCGACCAGCGCTCCTGATCTGCTCTCGCTGACAGCGTATTCTGTGAGTCGCGCTTGCAAGGCCTACTTTGATGCTGCAGCGAAGTATCCTTTTGGCCGTGCGGATCCGCAGGCACCCACAGAATGCGTCTTAAGTTTTCCGCGTGCATGTGAACAGCACAGTGATTTTTCGCTGGCAGTGCCTTGGACTCGACACAGAGACACAGAGACACAGAGAGAGAGGACCGTGGCACAGAGTACCGGTCGGCCATTGGAATTCCAGGCCGGGGTGATTTGTTGGCTGCATCAATGCACGATGTCGAACCTTTGCTTCGCGTCGCTCCTTTCCATGTTTGGACAGCGTGAGAGGGATTGACTTCACACATTGATGGTACGTTCAAGGTAAAGGTGTTTATAGCAGCGCTAGCAGCAATTATGTAGCCGATGTGAGAGCCTTGACCAGCGAGCATCAGCGATCATGCCGCTATCCTCTCGGCGAAATCTGCTGCCTCGGGAGATATCATCGGATCTCAAATGGTACGCATGGAACCAGATTTGGCATACTGTGAACTGTTGCTTAGCCGCATCCTCCGACCCTGGTCAGTCTAACGATCTTCGGCAGAAGCGCAAGAAGCAGGGCGATCAAGATCAGAAACGAGCCGACAATCACTACATGAAGGCCAAAGACTGTCAGGTGCTGGAGGATGCCACTCTTGAGCAGTTTAAACGGCAAGTTGATGCCATAGCGGCTGCCGGTGCACAGGGAGCCTTGGAGGGCAAGTGGCTGGGAACCGCAAAGCTTGAAGCGTTCCCTGCACCAGAAGAGTTGGAACCGCGCCTTTGGCTTGAGATCGTGAAAGGTATGAAGAGTGCAGCGATCGCTGTTGTCCTGCTGTCGCATGAAGAGATGCAAAAGGCTGTAGCAGTACAGTTGGATTTTGATGACGCGTGGTCAATGCACTCGGAGAGGACAGACCAAGCATTCTCGAAGTGAGGAGCGTTTGGTTGCCCTGCTTGCGCGTCTTTCTCCTCCATTTGCCATTTGCAACCGCTGATCATGAGACCTCTTCCATCCGGGTCCGAGCAGCTCGTGCAGGCAACAAGTTCGGAGAGTGGTGGCCAACGGAAGTTGTCGACTCTTGCCATTGTCGTGCTCCTCACCAGCCTCACCAGTACCTTGTGGGGCCCGTGGGGTCATCTGCGGTTGTACAGGCTTCGCTGCGAAATGCCGAAGGAGAAAGCTGACGCAAGACAAGATGGAAGCAATCTGGCATAATCTGGCATGTCAGTGACATTTTTAGCTGATGTTCACGCCTTGTTGTGGAGGCGGAATGGATGGACCCCTTTTCAAAGATGTTGAAGCGGCAAACAATGGTCGGCTTCAGTTGGTTCGTGGCCAGGACTCAGACAATTGCCAGCCTCAAGAGACTGCAAGCAAAGCGCAGTGTAGGCCATGCGTGATCATTGGAGAGATGAGTAGAGTTACATGTTCCCCAGGGCAATGATGCAGACACCGTCGGCACCAAGAAAGTGTGGGTTAGCTGGCTTAATATCTGCACGAAAAGTGAAGAATTCAAATCACATCTGGCTCGACATGTGCCCTGCTGAGGTTTATGATTCCAACCAGTTCCCATTCCACCAGGGCGAGGCGCCCCTGCAGTGAGTGTCACTGTCTCTGTGAACGTGCTGCCTGTGTGACAGATTTACCACCAGTTCCATGATGATATGATCGAGAGGTACCCGCAGGCAGAAACTTTGAGGTGTCGGCGCCGCCAAGCGTCTCCATGGTGTGCTTGTCAGGAGTACCACAAGCTGAAGAAGCTCTTGGTTGCGCAAGGAACTGTTCAGAAGGCGAGCTTGCTAGGACCTACGAGCCACGAGATGTTGACAGTCTTGACAATGTTGACATGACCTGATTAACTTTAAACTTGCAGGTGGCCTGTCCTGAGATGGGCTTTTGAGTCGTGATGCCAATCTTGCTGTATGCATCAAGTCGTAAAATCTTCGCTGCATGGTTGTTTGGCGGGATACTGTCATGCAACTGGCAGCTTTCAAGACCAATGTACAGACAACATCATTTGTGATTTTCGCGCGTTTTCTTTCGCTTGGCGCCTGACAAATCGAAACTCCCAGACACTTGCTGCGCGCAGTGGGTGCAAAATTCTGCAGGTGGGGGCGATCATGAGTCTGCGCTTGCCCAAGACGTGGTGGGACATGCGATTGGCCAACTCTTGCTATTTTTCAGCTGCCATCCGCCGACAAGGAGTTGCAGGCGTGTAGCTTCGGAAAAGTTCCGGTCAGAGATCTGGGTCGTATGTTCCTGGCAGACAGGTTCGTTCTATGGAAATCAGAGCTGATACAGTTGTGCAACCGAGCCAAACTTAGCCATGTGCTGCATCCTCACCAATGTGATGCGGACTATGCGGACTATTCGGACGCATGAAGCTGGTGGTGGAATTCGGCGAGAAAGCTAACTGCTATGCGTCCTTGCATAGCAATGACGCCGCTGAGCTGTTCCGTTCCTCCTCAAGACGCGAGTTTTGCAAAACCTTGCGACTGCAGCATGCTGCTGGAGACGTGTTCGTCGGCTGGGTGGGTGAAAACTCATTGACACCTGGCAAGCTGGTGCTTTCCAAGCCGTTTGCAGAATGCTTGGCATTGGAAGAAGGGGAACAGGTTGATGCATTCCCGCATGCACCACCCATTGCCAGCACCGTCATGGTTCAGCCGACCCTTGGCCGAGTAAGGGAGAGTGCTGGGCAGCTCACACTCAGCCGTCAGACCTCATGGTGCACTTGTGCCTCAGGAACAGCATCGATGACTGGGAGGCCTCGCAGAGCTGCTGTTGCACGGCGTGACGGTCAAAATGTACACGCTTTGCGCGAGTTTGCCGCTGCATGCAGGTTGTTGAATTACAAGCAAGCTTCATCGAGGAGAACCTGCTTTCGCAGGCAGTTGAGCTAGGTCACACATGTTGCGTTTTGTTGGTCTCTACTTGCTGCCCGGTGGCACTTGGAGTCGCCATCATGTGGGTACAACGTTATTCCTCCTATTGTAAGACTTGCCCTGATATGAGATTGGTTTCCTGCAAGGTGGCAGTGCTCATGCCGGGACTGAGTTTCCCTGTTTGGGTGGCTTCCTGAGGTGTCACTCGGGTGGAGGGCGGGGTGATTGATCATGACACACACAGACAGCATAGTGTACCGAGGTTCATGGACAGCTGGTTGCGAAGTTGCGAGTGGATCCGGTAGACTCGAACAAGCTCCAAGCCCAGGTTTAGCTTGTGATTTTTATTTGTGCCAAGAGTCGGAATCAGTGTCAAGGTCTTCCTGCTTCCTTCTTGGCCGTGACACGGACCCTGCTGTGCATGTCATAGAGCATGGGCCAGTAGGCATAACGAGTCGATGTAGGAGTTGGCGATCGAGTCAAAACGGCGGACAGCAGAAGCAGCCTCGATCTCACTCTGCTCTGGCACAGAGAGGATGTGCTGTCAAAGCAGAACATGTGCGAGGCGTCCATCATCGGTGGCGCAGTGAAGACGGACGAAATCGTATCTTTCCGTGTTCTTTGCTTGGACGAGGACAGGTTCTGTGCCAAACGAACTGCTGCACCCTCTTTGGTAGTGCAGGACAATGGTTCCTGTATTTCTTGTACCCGACACGCCATCGCGCTTGCAACGCTCATCCAACAAAGATTGGAAGTTCACGGGAGTACAAGTCGCCAGCTGTCACCCAATTCTAGGATGTCCCCTTCCAAGAACATCTGAGTCGAACGACGTGCGATTCAGAAGCTGGATGCGATTCAGGAAACCAGGATTCTTGAAGCCAGGATTCAGGAAACCAGGATTCCGGAAACCAGGATTCCGGAAACCAGGGTTCAGGAAGCCAGGATTCAGGAAACTCTGGTGATTCTGTGAACTGCGGGAAATATGGGGGGGAAATGGAGGTTGGGTGGTGGGGGGGATTCGCAGTCTTGTCAGGGGGGCTATCAGAAAGCTTCGCGATTCCCGAATCCGCGGTTTCTGAATCCGCCTTTTTTCAGTTTCCCGAATCACATCTCCATTTTCCGAATCCGCGTTCTTATATATAGTTTCTCGGATCCGCGCTTCTATTTTCCGAATCTGCATTTTCTAGTTTCCCGACTCAATCCACTGATGCACCACAAGGGAGATCAAGACCAGACACGGCTGAGCTTCTTGTCAAGGGTACCGGGTGCCGACTTGAGCTCACAGGGTCCGAAAATCCCTAAACCCTAAACCCTAAACCCCAAACCCTAAACCCTAAACCCCAAACCCTAAACCCTAAACCCTAAACCCTGAGGGGTCGGGGGGCGGGGGGGGGGGGGGGGGGAGGGGCGGGGTGGGAGCAGAGCAAAGTAACTAACCCCAAACCCGAAACCCTAGTGCGACCGAATGGCCGGACACCCTAGCGCTGCAACGTGGTTCGTCCCGGCCTTTGCGAAGTCCGAGAGGCAGGAGCTCAGAACAAGCTTCGTACTGGGTGGCCCCTACACCTTGGGAACTGACCTGATAAATCATTGTCAATATTTGTCAACCATCCCATGTGATGTCAAGTGGAATATGGTTCTAAGTTGCGGCGCCGTGAGGAGTCTCAGACTCCTATCGGCAGAGTTGCAGAGGAGGAATCCGAAGGGTTTGTCGTGAGTTGTTGTGAGCTGCTGTGGCTTGATGTATGTTGTGGGTGGATGGCTGCCTTGTTGAAATCCGGCCTGCCGTGAGGATCTGGATGATTTCTGCGGAGGTGGCTCGCGCAGTTGCCTTGCTTGGCTCCTGCACGATGACGCCGCCGTTGCACAAGATCGAAGGCAGGAGAAGACAGGAGTGTTGGTGCCAAGTGGGTGAGACAATTGGTGTATGCTGGGATTTCGTAACATCCAGCTGTGAATTTACGTCGAGTCATCTACGATCTGATCAACCCACCTTGTACCGAACCTGGTCCCCAAAACTAAGACAGATTGATCCCCGAAGGTGGTTCGCAGTAGCTCGCAGTTCGTGAGGTCCGTCGGCTTTTCGCCGAAGATGGTTTTGCGAAAGGTTCAGCATTGTAAATGGCGGAAGATAGGTCAGATGCGTGCCCGCTTATGTCAGGTGTCGATAGACCCTATATAGACACCTTCGGTTGTTGGAAAGGGGCCTTATGATCCGAGCCCCCTGATTCCTCAGTGTATGCATAGACCCTATCCCCTTCTATGCCACCCCCCCATGCGGCATAGACCCCTATCGTTTGTCCATAGGTGTCTACTCCCTCCAGATAGACCCTGCCCACAAACCGAAAAAACCCTAGAGTAGCAAACTTATAAGATACACCTCGAAACAGCAAGGCTTAATTTTTTTGGCCGTGCTTGCTTTTTTTAGGGTGCTGGGCTTGCATGATTGTTGTTTGGGATGAGGTTGTGGGTCTACGGTTTGGGGTTTGGGGTTCTGGGCCTGCATGATCTCAGGGGTTTAGGATGGTTTTAGGGTTTAGGTTTAAGGGTTTTTAAGGTTAGAGTTTAGGGGTTTTAAGGGTTTAGGGTTCAGGGCGTTTTAGGGCTTAGGATTTTTAGTTTAGGGGTTTTCAGGGTTAGGGCTTAGGAGCCTTTAGGGTTTAGGGCTTCTGGCTCGGGGCTTGTTAGGGATTGTTCGTTCGGGGGTTTTTAGGGTGTAGGGCTTGGAGTATATTAGGGTTTAGGGTTTAGGGTTCTTTATAGGGGTTTTGAGGGTTTAGGGTTTTTGGGGTCTAGGTTTTAGGTTTTAAGGGTTTAGGGCTCCGGGTGTTTAGGGTTCAGGGTTTAGGAGATTTTAGGGTTTAGGGTTTAGGGGGTTTCTGTTTAGGGGTTAGGGTTAGGTTTAGGGGGTTTTAGGGTGTAGGGTTTAGGGTTTAGGGCTTCGGAGTTTTCAGGCTTTGGGGGCTAGGGTTTTTTGGGGTTTAGGGGAAGGGTTTAGGGTTTAGGGGATTTTGGGGTGGTTTTCAGGGTTTAGGGATTAGGGGGTTTAAGGGTTTACGATTTTTTGGGTTTGGACTTTAGGGGTTTTGTGTAGAGTTTAGGGGTTTTCACGGTTGAGGGCTCAGGGGTGTTTAGGGTTTCGGGGTCAGGGGTGTTTAGGGTTTAGGTTTAGGAGTTTTCAGGGTTTCGGGTTTAGGGGTTTGTTAGGGTCTTTAGTTTAGGCGTTTTAGGGTTTCGGTTTAGGGGTTTTAGGGGGTTTAAGGTTTAGGGGTTTCAGGGTTTAGGGTTTTGGTGGGGCTAGGTTTTACCGGATTTTAGGGTTTAGGCTAAGGTTTTTTTCGGCTTTATGGTTCAGGTTTTTTTGGGGTGTAGGCCTTAGGGATTTCTATTGTTTAGGGCTTAGGGGTTTTTAGGCTCCATTTGCAGACACAACACACGAATGATGGGTTCTCAAAAAGCAAATAGGCGGGGGGGGGGGTCCCCCCCATTTGCAAACAAAATGCTCGCATGATGGGTTTGAAAGAGGGGCGGGGGGTTCGAGCCCCCTGGGGGGCGCAGGCCCCCCCAATGCAAACACAGTGCTCTCATGATGGGTTTGAAAAAAGTTGCCTGAAGCAAGCTTGAACGGCTCAACAAGCGGGGGGGTGGGGGCAGCCCGCCTCCCATTTGCAAACACAACGCCCGCATGATGGGTTCGAACTACAATAAAGCAGGAGGGTTGGGGGGTGGGGCGTGGGGGGTTGGGGGGCCTCATTTGCATGATGGGTTCGAATTAGAACAAAGCTGGCCCCCTTCCATGTGGAAACACAATGCGAGATGGTTTTGAAACCAAAGTGTCGCAAGCAAGCTTGGACGGCTGAACAAGCGGAGAACCTCCACGAGTAAGGGACGGATAGACCCCATCAGACATTGATAGGGGTGTATGCCCTGGATACAGGGGTCTATGCCAAAGGCCTAGGCTCTATCCTATGCATAGGTACCTGTCCGTACCGGGGCTGGGGATATCCTAATTCCGATAGAGCCCAATGGGATAGGGGTCTATTTGAAAGAGATAGGTGGGTACTTTACTCGAAGATAGAGTACACATTCTATGTGCCTGCAGCAAGTTAGAGCAGTGCCAGTTTCTTCACTTCGCATGACGCAGGCAGCATGAAGCACGAGCTCAGGGTTGCATGCCAAAAAGTCCATTCATCCTGGTTGGAGCACTGAAGCGTTCGGGCACTGTTCGAGTTCGTCGTCGCCTGTTGCCATCAGCGCAGGCCATAGTTCCGTAGTGTAGGTTTTCAGGGATGTTTGGACAAACGTCAAAACACGGGTGCGAGTTGTTGGCTTTTTGTTTTCGACCGCAGCAGCTAAAGATTACCAGTCCAGTGTGCTTGTGGATACTCTGCTCCATGGATTTCTTGCAGGCCTGGATCTTCTGCGGCCAAAGCGTACCTGTTGCGGCTCTTGGCGGACGTCAAGGTGCATTTGTGGCTGTGCCTGACGGAGCCATCAGCTAACAGATGTGCTGGCCTGACCTGAACCAGGTTCCCCGTGGGCATGTTGCGCTCAGTGTTCTTGCCTTGTAGAGTGCGGGTTTTCGTGTGTCATGGAATGGCATGGCATGGCATGGCCATGTGCACGTGAATATCTCGAGGCCAGCTTGGCCACTTGGGTGGGGATTCCCTGTTTCAGTGTGGTGAATCTCTGCTACTGCTACCAGGCTGCGTTGCGTTTCCAATCTGCAGAATCTGCACTGCTTCCGTCCTGGAGCTGGTGCGCAGGTGCCGGTGTTCATGCCGCACATAGAGCTGGTGCCCTGCCATCCCGGACATTGGTTGAACAGAGCTCCTGCTGATTATGACAAAGGAAAGAAGCCAAAGCCTACTATGGTCAGAGGGTGAAGCCCTGCAAGCTTGTAACAATGGAAATGGTAGGAAAGCAGTAGAAGAGCAAAGGCCCGACGAAGAGCGCTAGGGAAAGATGTGCAGAATCCATTTGCTCTTGCCGTAGTGTCGCAGATGTAGTGTAGTGGAACAGGGGTATTGTCAGGAGACCAGGGAGGAGGCGAGGGAGGAGACGGAGGGAGGAGACGGAGGGAGGAGGAGCAGGCGGAGGAGGAGCAGGCGGAGGAGGAGGAAGCTGTCTACGGGATGGTCACGAGGCTGTCTAAGGCAGTAGACCTGTGTGAGGTCAGAGAGTAAGCCACCCCCCGAAATACACCTGCACCTAGTGTGTGGCGTCTGTGTTCTGAAGTGCGGACAGTCATGATGAGGCTTCCAAAGTCGTCAGTTTACGTGTGGCGAAACACCGCAGATGGGGAGATTGTAAAGGAGGGAGGGGCACTGGCAGGTTATGTCTGGAAAACCGGGCCCATAGTGTAGGCGTGTTTCGCTCGGATTCGCATGGCGTCAGGCTCACTAGGATGAAGTATCGTGCTCAAAGGGCTGGGATCATCTAAGGAGCTCTTCCGGGCTCTGCTGCGAGAGAAGATGTCTGCTGGATCCGACGACGTTTTGAAGCCCTCGTAAAAGCCTGTGAGGAAGCCAGGGCCCAAGTCATGGACGGGTGATAGGTTGTGCTTTGTGCGGCCCGGCTTGTACCATCTTGTGTGTGATCTTATATCAGGGAGGCTTAAGATGCTGATGCAATGCAAAGCCCCTTGTTGGCACTGTACGACGACATGCGCTTGTGTCGTCCCGCGCCTCCGCGACTCACGCACCTTTTCCGGCTGCCAATGGAGCGCAGGAAAGGCAGCAGCTTGTAAGACAGCCCTGCTCGCAGTCACAAAGCTTTGCCGTTCCAGAGTTTCCACGCGCGCTTCCCTGGACAAGACCAAGATGATCAAGGCTCTCGAAGCGCCACGATGGCTTGGAGGAGGATTACAGGAAGTCGCAGCAGAGTATACACAGGTGGTGGTGAGTGGCGAGGGATGTATTTACAGTCCAGGCAAGCTCTTCCCTTGGGCCGAGGACTGCCTGCGTGAGCTTAAGGAGTGTGGCATCCGTGTGGTTGTCCTGCAATCATTTGGCTCTCCCGATCTTCTGACACTAGGCTTGCGGGAAGACATGCACTTTGACGCAGTGCTGAGGAATGAGTATAGTGAATCTGAGGCTAAGCTAGCAGAGTTGTTGGAGATCCTGGAAAATGCCCAAAAGCAGAGTGAAAGAACGCTGGTTGTGGGAGAGTGCCGGCTGCTGGTGGAGGCCGCCCAGTGTGCTGGCCTAGAGGCAGCCTTTGTTTGTTCTGGCAAACACAGCAGTGAATTTGGACTGTCTGCAGCCCCTGCCATCGATGTGCCAGCAAACGGTGGCCACTTTGTGGAGCCGGAGGGGCTGCCGGATCGCTGCAAAGTGCTATTCAGGGGTAGAGCTTCCCCGAGCTTTGCAATCTCTTGCTTTTCGTTTTCAGCTGCCCCGCTACAAATAACACTTTTTGCAGACTTTGGTGTGGTATGTGAGAAGACTCTGGTTGTCGTTCTTAGCTTTTTTTGTTGTCGCTCAGTAGGCCAACTTTTCGATTCTCGCTTCTCCCTGTCTCCTCATTGCCGCCGATATGACAGCCTCTACCACTGTGATTATCTACTATTCCGGGGCTAGGCCGGTTTAATATTCATGGAGGTGATTCAATTACAGTGTTGGGGTTCAGCTCGCCTGCTGCTGTCTGTCATCGTGTTTCCGGCTATCAGAAGTGTTCCTTGGTCTCCCTCGTGGCTTTGTGGCTTCTGTGAGAAGCAACCGCATTCTGTTTCCCTTTGTCTCCTGCTCCTGTGTTCCCCATAGCCTGGTGTCTCTGCTATCTTGTCAGTTCATATTTTCGAACATCACGCCCGGCAAACCGCTCAGGAACGCTTCTTTTTCAAGTTCTTCGCGGAGCGCCGTGCCATGGCGCGACGCTTGCACGACAAGCGCAAAGCGAAGATGAACCGTATTGGACGGCAGACCTGAGCGGCAACTTCACAGCTGCAAAACGTTACAGTAGATGAAAGCCTGCGGTTGCGAGCAAAGTCTGCAACACGCTACTATGACCAGCAAACCGAAAGAAAATAGCATAAGGACAAACATGCAGTTTGCTCACATCATTCAGCCAGCTGCCCCTTGCTCAGATTGATGTGGCCGATGGCTCGGTTCTTCAATTGCGAGCCGAACGGCAGCCAACTGCTGCATGTGCCTGAGTTGACCAGCGTTCCAACCAAGCCTTTGTTCTTGGGGAGATCTGCCGATCTCTTGTACTGCGCTGTTTTTGCCACAATTCTCGAGTGTCAGGTTTGCAAGTGAGAAGTCATGCACATAAGATAAGAGGTTGCTTTTCTACATCAGCAAAACAACAACGGCACCACTGGAATAATGGTATACAGACCTTGATGGTCACATGTGCATTTCTCCCGAGGTTGCAACGCAAGCAGAAGGACATGCTACATCGGTACGGTCATCTGCAGGTCACTTGGGCTTGAGGACAACTCTGTGCAAGAGCCATGTCTTGTTGCGCAGGTGATAGCAACCTGGAGGTGGGGAATGTTCGATGCAAACATGGTTTCTGAGTGGTGTCGGTGCTGGGCAGTTTGTTCAGAGATGGCTCCTCGGCACCACCTTGCTTGCTGCCTTGGCATCACCAGTGGGCTTCGCTTCGGGACGAAGAGACCGAGCTCGCTTCGACGTGCTTTTGGTATGGGGGCAAAGGAAGGCAGCACATCAGAACTGTAGAGGTGGAATGCGGTGGAATGATCAGGGACACAGAACGCTCCCACATGCTTCAACAACGCAGAATGGAAAGAGCGCTGGACATCGCTTGACCAAACTCACGGCCATTGACTCAAGCGTTGACCAGCAGTGGCCTCACGGGCATCATGAGCCTCAACTGGATTGGCATCTGCAAAGCCCACGGCTTTCGTGGCAGCTGGCCGCAGCTGGCCGTGAAAAGCAAAACCAGTGGGGGTAGACAACGCTCTAGGTAGCTGAAGCAATGGAATGCCTCAGTTCAGTCGTGGACAGTTGGAACTGCACCCCAGATGTCGGTAGTGGAGGCGGACTTGTACGAGGGCCTCTCCGACATTGATGACATCTATCAGCCTTGTCCATAGTGTGCGAGTTGTGCTAGACATGTTTGTGGTAAAATGGGGAATCCAGCAGTCCTGCCGTGCATTGCTCGTGGAGCAATGAAGGCGGCAAGCGGAGCCTCCTATCTTCGTAGATACGTTTGGTGTGTACGAGGCATGGCTCTGTGTTGTTGCTTGCTAGGTGCCTCATGTTGCGCTACATGTCATAGGCAGCAAGAGAGGCAAACTGTGTGCAGAAACATGTGACGCCTCTGACGCCTGTGATGCCTGTGATGCCCTGTGGCGCTGTGCGGATCCAAGCCCCCGCTAGCCTTCCGGCTAGGCTTGGATCTGAGCCATGGCTGGAGAACTCGGGCTGCTGACATCAGAACTTGAAAGTGGCGAAGTCCAGGCGCGCGGCAAGGCTTCTTCGAAGTGGGCCCGCAGCCTGGCTGTCACAGCAGGGCTTGTGCTCGCCGCTTTTGCAGCATGCCACCTCTTGACAGCCAAGCAGAGCAATTCAGAGGTCTCCAATGTCATAGCACAGGCTGACTTGGGCTCTGTTGTGATGGATTTCGACCTCACCGGCATGAAAACAGCAAAATGTTGGAAAAACAAGACCTTTTGGGTAGAACCATCTGGAGAGTATCACATGCCGCACTCTTCAAAGACTCCGCAAATCAACGCAGCTGCTTGCCAGCTCTTTTGTGCATCGACATACAAATGTGAACATTTCTCCTACTGGAGCGATGGTGCTTGTTTGCTCACCAGCTACTCAGCTTACCCTCAGGAGTACACCGGATCAGATAGCAAAGGAGTGATTTCGGGTCCTCGTGTTTGTCGAGAAATCAACAACGGACCAACTGAGCAGTTCACTGCATCCGCTCTTGGACTTCCACAGTTCCGGGCAAAGGAGGCAGCTGGATGTGGCAGCTTACATGATGACTACAAGCTTGCATGGAGCGCAGAGGGCGAAACGTTCTTTGAGGATTGGCAGTTCATCAACAAAAGCGAGACGAGAGGGGCTGAATGGTACTTGAACAAGACCGAAGCCTTTCACCAAGGTGTGGTGTTTGCCTCGAAGGCAGGAGCCTTTATGCGTGTCGGGGAGCAGGTGCAACCCTTCAAGCGCCGCTCTGTCATGTTACACTCTGCGCAAGCATGGCGACCAGATGTGGGTTTCATTGTGGCGATGAAGTACAGGCATGTGCCATTCGGACCTGGGGTTTGGCCAGCATTTTGGCTAGTCAACAGTGACACGGGCTGGCCAAAGGGTGGTGAGCTTGACATCCTCGAGTATGCGAATGATGAGACAAACAAAGTTACCTTCCACACAGACAAGAAATGTAAGCTAAATGTGAACAAAATGCTTCAGTGCTCTCAGGATATCAAAGACATCGACCCTGAGATGATTGTCAGCTGTTACACCAATTACTCAGGCAATGAGTTAGGCTGCCAGCCGCCACAAGTTCGAAAGACGGGCGAGTGGTATTCGAAGAACCCCGGGGTTTTGGCTCTTCTGTGGGATGCCAGCGGAATAAGCTACTTTCACATTCCTGAAAGTGAGATCCCGGCTGATCTTGCCTCCAATTCTCCGCAACCAAACACATGGAAGAGCGAGTGGCGAATGGCTTTCATGCCCTTCGACCAAGAGTCCTGCATTGGGATTGCAAGGCCTCAGGAGATCGTGCTCAACATTGCAATCTGCGGGGATTGGGCTGGCAACAATTGGTGGAAATGTCCGGACTGCCGTGCCACAGGCTTTGTGCCGGACTATTGTATCCCTGGGCATGTGACCGAGCCAGCCACGGATTGCTGCACCATCTACGTGTCCAACCCATCCGCGGAGGAGCCCTTGAAGACACAGGCTTTCTTTGACATTGACTATGTGAAGGTCTTTGAGCCGGCATCCTATGACTTGCCAAAATACCCGGCCGGTACCTACCGCAACGGTGGTTTGTTCGGATCAGAATGATCAGAGAAGTAGCCGCTGAGTAGCTTGTACACTGCCTCCAAAGAAGGGCGTCAGATATGTCATCCAGCTCCAGAGCTTATTCTCATATGACTTACTTCAAAGACACCGCTGAAGCCATAGAAAAGACACGAGCTGGCTCAATTTTCGCGTCTTGATCGCGCTGGACCTTGTGTGCTTCACCAGTCATTGCTTGGCTTGCCGCAGGTAGACCTTGGCATCGACATCATCGATTTGCGTTGGTCTCAGATTCAGCCCAGGCTTCTCATCACAGGCCTCATTGTGCCTCATTGTGCCTCACTATTCCCTCTGCCGAGGAGTTCGCAATCTGAATCAATTTTCCCTGCGGGTGCAGCAGCCAAAGAGCGCTGGGCCTCGGAAGAGAACCCAGAGGTGAGAGCGCAAGGGTCTCGTGTGTTGTCTTGTGAGAGCCGTTCTGGTCAAGCGTGTAGCCAGAGCAGCCAGATGCTGTGGAGGTGGTTCTTGTGTACATACGTCTTGCAGCTGGAGCAGCGAGTGATTTGAGGACGCTAGCCCGAAGCTTGTTCCCCAGACGGAAAATGCTGTCTGTTGCAGGAGTGGGCCTGACAAGCCTCCGTTTGCAAGAATCACCTCGAGTGGTCTCCTAGCTGGGGAACCTCGTGTGACTATTGCATGGGATGATGGTGCTTCACTGAGCCGTCACCCGTGCAGAGACAATTCTGCACATGTTCCGATGCACATGCATGGAGCGTGTTGCAATGCATTGGCATCCACTTTCATGATCCTAAGGCGGTTCTGTCCGTCAAGACAAAGATCCTTTAGGTGCCCCTGGCTGTCCTCGTTTGCACTTGCAGAGTGAGCTGTGTTGAGTCATTGAGGTGTGATGTGGGCGGCGATGCCTACTGCACCTCCAGAGGCATTGCCCGACGCCTTTATCGTGGAACAGTGTATTGTTTCAGTACTGAAAGAATGAAGAGGAATGGGCTGACGTCATGCAGATCATCAAGGCACCCAGTCAGAGCCTCGGACGAAGCCATGACAAAGGCCTTGAGTGCTGCAACAGCTCACGAGGTACGAATTCCATTGACAAGACTGGTCTCTTCTCGGAGCCTTTCGCCACTTTGCATCGTCATGTGGAGGCTCTTCGGGTTCAGTCAAGTTGCTCGTTTCGGTCAGGGGCCTGAAGGGGAATTCGCGCAGGCCTCGTTGGGATGTCATCTTCACATGCCAGCTACTGATGCTCTGCATGGAGCTCATGGTTTTTTAGCCGCTTTCAGGGAAAGCTTAAAGTGCTTGGCCCTGCTGTGACCTAAGGCCATCTCAGTGCCAAATGCTTCCCGGCAGCAGCCCCTGACAGATCCGACACTTGACCCTCTTCAAAGACAAAAAGACAGCTTGCAGGCATTATTGCTGTCGTTGGGCCACCGGGGTCACATGCTGAGTGCTTTGTGAATAGCAGCCACGAGCTGCTTGGGCTGCTTGGGCTGCTTGGGACTGCCAGGAGTAGCACTCAGCTGAGGTCCGGCAAGTCACGGCTTTGCCATCGCGTTCTGGGTGACCTTGCTGCCCAGGGAGTTCTGCCTGTGCAGGCTGTCCAACGTGACTAAATCAACTATACCCATTCATCCCCACTCCCGTGCCAGTGACTCCACCTGCTTATTTCGTTCGTATCAGGTTGCGTGCAGCAAGTTTGGGCCTGGGAAGAAGTTCAAAGCCGTGCAGGCCCTCCCAACAGCCGAAACAGCCGAGAGCAGGATTTACTCGTTTCCCTCTTCGTGCAGAAATAAGGATTGGCTGCGCTCCATCCTCTCCTTTGCATGTTGGTATTCACCCTGCGTGCTTCTGCGTCATCCTCAGTCTATTCTGCTGCCATGCCGGATCATGTCAGCTGCTTTGGATTTTCGAGTCTGTCTTTGCTTGGGCTGCTGGTGGCCTTTGCTCTTGCTTCCCTGGCTTATGGCATAATGAAGGACTCGATGCACAAGCTCAGGATCTCTACCAATTTTTGGGAGTTGCGGTCCTGTGGCCTAGAAATGTCTAAGGGCTGGGAGGTGTGAGTAGGGTTGATGCAAAGTGGCGCTTTTCGCAACTTTGCAGCAGACTGGTCACCCAACAAAGCGAATCTTGTATCGTGCGGATACGCAGGTTTCGGCCAACTTGCTTGCGCATACCTGCAAGTTTTTAACGTCCTTCTGTCTGATATGTTTGAACAGGATCGTGCTGCAGTTCAGCCTGGTTACATTCGCTCTTGATCTTCGCTTTGATTATCGGCTTGTATCGCTTTCGTGAGGTCATCATAGATCCCAGATTCGCATTGCCTCTCCTACAGGTTAGTCGTGCTTAGCATGCTGAGCTCGGGGTTTTCGTCATGTGAATCAACAACCTGTCCGCAGTACTGCGCTCTCTTTCACTTCAACCAGTTCTTTCCTGCAAGCATATGCAAACGTCTTTTCATTCCTGGACAGATACGAGAGCTGATTGCACACCATGGTGAGAGCTGTCATGTTGGCTTTTGCAGGTCAATATCTTGTACGATTTCAATCGTCGCTGAGTAGCTTGCTTGGTGATTACTGGAAGGCTTCGTGCATCAAAGATCGTGATCTTCCCTTGTTGCAGACAGGAGAGTAACACTCACTTTCTGTTGCCTGTGTGGTGAAGTATGCGCGTGTGGCTGCCTGGTAGCGGCTTGGAGTCTAGTTTGTACGCTTTTCGTGATTGTCCAAATCTGGTCAACCAAGAAGCGGGTCTTTGGATCGTGCAGATATTTGCACGTGCTTGCAAATTTTGTCACGTTGTGCTTACTTGAAATGCCTGTGATGTTTGGGATACTGTAAACAGGTCCTCGATGATATGACATGGCAGCTAAATTCAGAACGTCCCCATGAGACCACATCACGTCGAGGAACGCAAAGGGAGGATTCCATGAATGTTCTGTTGGTCCCCGGCGGGGTTCGGTGGGGAGGGGAAGGGCTGGGGTCATTGGTAGCCCTTGGGAACGACAAATGGAAGGCCACCTGGACTCAACTCACCTGCCTTTACCAGATCGAACCGTTTTGGGGGCGTGGAGAGGAGGCGGGATCAGAAGTGGTTCCATTCTTGTGTTGTCCATTGCCAAGGTTGGACGACTTCGGTGCCCTATGCTCACGACTCAGAGACGCCGTCTCTTAAGGAAGATGCTGCTCTACTGTGTTCTCGGCGAGGTCCAGACGTGGAGCCTGGAGCCCCAAACCTTTCCGTGTCCGAGGCAGGCTAAGCGTCCAAGAATCTGAAATGAAGCCTGAACACGCCTTGTAACTGCCTTGTAGCTAGAGTCGGGGGTTTACGGTGGAAACGCTGGAAACTTTGAGAGTCGAAGGCTCACGGAGTTTTGGTGCCACGGTCAACTCACTTTCAGGGAAATTCATGTTGTCAACTTTCTCAGATTCGCTGGTAGGAACGCTCTCCAATATTGGCCGAGATGATCCTTGATATCTTGCCGGAGGCTATAGGTATGGTCATGGGTGTTGCTCGAATGGTCATAAGGTCTCGTCATGGCAGGTGCGTTCTTCTGGTGCCCGTGTGGCATGTGTTGCCACCATGCACGATGATGCATCAGTGCACCGAATGAAGCTTGGATGCATATCTGAGTCTTTTGTCCGATGATAGTCCGCGCGCGGGTCCGGCACGCGAGTTGGAAAACACACACCGTCAGAAGTCTGGGAGGTCCGAGTCCGAAAATGGAAGAGCCGAGCCAATTAGGGCTTAGGGTTTTCAAGGTTTAGGGTGTGTAGGGTCCAGAGTTTTCAGGGTTTAGGGTTAGAGCTTTTGGGGTTCAAGGTTTTATATGGTTTAAGGTTTGAGAGTTTTGGGGTTTGTTTTTTAGGGTTTAGGGTGTTTAGGGTTTAGAGTTTTTAGGGTTTAGGGTGTACGTTTTTTTCGGGGGGCGGGGGGGCTTCTGGTTTAAGGTTTTTTTAGTGTTTAGGTTTTTTTTGGCTTAGAGTTTTTCTCGAAGTCCTTCTAGATGCCAATCTGTGCCCGTGGATGTTTTTTTTCCGGAAATTGTCCGACTGGCCCGTTTGGGTTTTCTGGCTTGTATTGTTTTTCTGGCCAGACTCGCCCCGACTCGTTGTTTCCGACATGGTCTCCTCCAGTCCATTAGATGGGCAGGGCATCGAATCGGCCACAGCTTAAGGCTATGGTCGTGGCCAGCCTTGGAGCACAAGGTGCGCGCTCGTGATTTCCGGATTTGCTCATTAAAGAATAGTGAGAGCAGCTCGTTTTAGAGCTGCGTTGTCGCAAGAGATCGCCCGAGGTCCCGATTCGGCAACCCGTGCTGAAGGATGGGAGACATTGCGAGTTGGTTCAGCCATGTCGCATTCATGCGGGTTCCACGTTCTGCTTCGTCTTGTGCCACAGCAAACCTTTCTGAGGAGCGTCCGGACATTTTGCAAGCTCTCTGCAACCACAAGGACGGGCGTGACCGGCAAGAAATATTGGAGAGCTCCTTGACTCCTTGCCTGCTGCTTTCAGGCCGAGGATGGTTGGGAAGTCAGCCCGGCAAAGACTTGGACCACGCAAGTGTTGCCTTATCTTATGCTGTTCTAACCGTTAGGTCGAGCAGGCTTTGCTTGCAGAAGGAGCTCTGGATGATTGGGCTGGACGTTCCCATCCGAGCCTATCTGTGCTGCACAATGCTGCACTAGCAAAGGCGAAAAGCATAGCCTCCAAGCTTATCAAAAGAGGCATCGACGGCTTCAGCGTTGCAGATCTAGCCAGCGTGGTCGAGCGAGCTTGTATTGAGGCGCCGGATAGTGACGCATCGTGGAGATGAGTTGTGCACAAGTTCAAATTCAGAAGCTGCGGTAACTCGTGCGGTGCTCAGGCCACAGTCGATTCGACTGCGGATCGTCTTCGAGGAGACATGCAGCAGTCCCAGAGGGAGTCCAAACAACATCGAGAAACATATGCAACATCAAACGGGATATCTTTGAAGAGATATGAAGATGCAGAGGGTGCGCATGGTACCGCACGGCTTGCGCCAGGTGGGGTGATCGCCAGCGCATGTCCATGCAGCACCTCGCCAAAGCTTGCGAGGTGCAGCTTTGTATAGCTGACTTGTGGAAGCTTTCGGGAAACGAACTAGACGGGGCAACTGTCGGGAGGGCGGTCAGATGTGCGTGAATAACCGTTAGAAGGAGTTTGTGCCAGCTACCATGGCCGACCAGACCTTCTTCACCTCGGACTGCTAAACCTTGGCACATGTTTAGTCAAATTTAGTCGAACCGAGCTTCGGCCTGCATGGCAGCATGCTCAGGACGTTCGCCTGGAGGACATTGGAGGTCTCACGGATGTAAAGCAGGACTGCTTCAATGCATGCAGTGCGTCAGCTCCTCACACAGCTCATTGCCAGGAGTTGATGGACATGCTTACGATGCCTACAAGGACGGAACATTGCACACGGCAACCATCTCATACCTGCACACCCCAGGTATGCTGTGCTTCTCGACCGTGCCCCAGTTCGAACAAGAAAGGCAAGCACTCGCAAGCGCAAGGGTCTTGTCAAGTCACAGCGTCGTGGCGAGATGACGTCACCGACCAAGTACTCATCGCACTGCAGATCTCTGCAGGGCCTGATGCTCGTTGGCCCTCCTGGCTGTGGCAAGACCATGTTGATTCAGGCAGGCAGATGCTTTCTTTGGCCCTGCACGAGATTCTGCCGAAACCGTTCGAGGAGGAACATGGCAGAAAACTGTTCCGAGACTGTAGAGACAGACTGTTCTATTAGCAGGTGCAGTCAGGAGGAATTCAGTTTCGAGCCGCAAGGGTATAAGATGTCCACTGGAGTCCACTTTGGTGCAAAGCCTACCACGCAGCAAAGAAGTAGGCACAGAAGCCTTTCTATACACTTTTCGTAAATGCATGGTACCAAACAACTAGCTCAGCGGGGTATCATGTTGGGCCCGGCGTGCTCAGGGTCTTTAGGGTTTAGGCTGGGGGCTTGTGGGCCCATGTTTCCAGGGTTTTGCTGTCTGAGGGAAATTGAGTTGCACAGCATCTCTGCAGGCTCCTCAAGTCCCCAGTCAAAACAGTGTCGATTGCACGGCTTGCGCTGTGGTCAGGCTGATCTGAAGATGTCTAAAGCCTCTAAAGCTGCAATATGGATCAAAACCAATGTTCAAAGGGTTCACGGATTTGTTGTTGTTTTTCTTGCAGCGCTTGTGCAGCTTGGGAAGGCGGCAGCTTCCGAAACAAAGGGCCTTCTGAGGCGGTGCAAGGGTTCACGGCTGCATTGCAAGTTCATTGCAAGTTGTAGCCGTGTGTCAGACCCCAAGTTGCAGTAGATTTGTCAGGTTCTTGTCCGTGAAGGGTCCAGAGCTGCTCTCCAAATACATTGGAGAGTCGGAGGCTGGTGTGCGGAAGGCACAGGGATTGCCAGTGGGCCAGAATATCATGTCTCCGCCACGTCTGCGGCTTTGCAGAGGTGTTTGAGAGAGCTGCAGCTGCAGCTCCGGCTGTAATATTTTTTGACGAAATCGAGGCCGGACACATTACATGCAGCTCTCCCTAGGATCCTCTATATCCAATTCCTTCCAGGCTTTGACGCCGAAACGTGGAGGTGCAACAACTTTGCTTGAAATTTGTACAGCTGTTTCCTATGCGCTTCTACGTTGCCAGCTGACTCGACGGGTGTCACTGACCGCGTTGTCAACCAGATGCTCTGTTACTTGGACGGGGTGCGAAGCCTCAGCATTGGCATCCGCAATCGGTGATTCGAAGAAATCTTGTTTCGGAGGTTGAGGATAGAGGTCGCGTTTTCGTGGCCCGAAGCTCTGTGCATTCTGTGCATTCACAGGCCTCTTGGCCTCTTCTTACATATTGTTGCACATTGCAGATGCGAGGTTGCAGCCACAGGGCGGCCAGACATGGTAGATCCTGCTCTTATGCGTCCGGGGCGCTTCGACAAGATTTGCTACTGTGGCCGCTTGGCTCAGAGACTTCAGCTTTTGATGCAGCAGTACTTGCACCAAACAAAGCCTCCGGCTCACAAGCAGGTCCTACTAGTCGCTTGCAGGTCTTCCATCAGATTCTGAAAGGCTCGCCATATGCGAGATCCTCGCCAGGCACGTCATCGTTTTAGTTGCCTGACGGCTTTCCCCGTTTGGCTCTGTGTTTTTCCAGTCAGTTCGGACTGCATAGCCTATACGCAATTGTATTGCGGGCTTGCCAATGTCTTGGTTAGGAAGAATAATCTGACGATTGATCAAGTCGATGGTCAAAGCAGAAGTAGCCTGACGGTCCGTAGCTCAGCGTGCCAACTATTTCAGCTTTGCCGCTTGCGTGGTTAGCAGTTTGTTCCAGCGCCGTTGCTGATGCTACCTGCAAACTACCTTGTTTTCCCTCAGTGCCTTTGGCTCAGGACCCCAATCGCAAGAAACCCTCACATGATGATCATAAGCTGCGCAAAGAAATCTCGCTCACCTCTTGACAGGAACCGCTTTGACTTCAGGGCTAGCAGGATGTCGAACAAGCAAGGCTTCTAGCACCACATGCTGAACTTGATACGCTGTTGTCCGCAGAATACACACTTGACTGTTGGACAATAGCAAGCTGATAGTGATGTCACCAAAGAAGCGGCCGAGCTGGGCTGATCAAGGCCGTCGTGCATGAACTGCGCATGCAGACGTTCTATGAGTTCCTATGATGCTTGTAACAATCTTGCAATATATATATATATATATATACATATATATACATGTATCTCAAGATGTGGTACTGCAATTGTGCCAAGCAGAGGCCCGCCATCCTCTGGATCCTCTCAGAGGCTCTCTGGATCCTCGCAGAGGCTCTCTGGATCCTCGCAAAGCCACGTGTCGACCGATTCTCAGGCATCTGCGGCATCTGCAAATGCCGAACCTTCGTTGGAAAGGGAGGGGGGGGCGGGTTGCAGGTCAAGGGACCTTGCTGGGAGGGGGGCTCAGGGCCTGTCAAGAGGTCTTTCAACAGATAGAGAGAGCGCAAGCAACCTTGCAAACCCCAGCCGCTTGTTTCGAACTCCCTCGTGGTTGAATGTGAGTAAAGGTGCTGGTTTCTCTGCATGCTCTAATATTGAAGACGTGATTTCCGGCCGCTCACTGGCGGGGGGTGAGTGGCAACCGAAAGACGAGCAAGATCGGATGGCCGTGCGGGGCAGGTCATGAATGGTAGTAGGGAGGCGAGCGAGATTTGGGGCCAATTGGGCATTCGGGTTCTTGCTTTGGGTCAGTTGGCTGTGCTAGCTGTTGCATAGAGGCTCCTCAGACGAGAGAAAACCATATCTGAGAGTGTAGTTCCTGTCATTGCAAGGTGCAACGGTGTTTTCCCTCCACATAGCTTTGGACTTTACAGCTGTAGCCATGCTGCGGGTTTGTGGCGTTTGTGCAATTGTGATGGACAAGGAGATCGTGGCAGATGGAGCAGAGAATCAGCAGCAGACCACGACTCGGACGCCATCGGCGCAAGGTTGGTGATCAGATGTAATCAGTAGCCTGTGATTTGTGGGATGGTGTTTGGTGCTCAGCCGAAGCCCCGTCAGAACGACGCGCTTTGAGACGCAGATCTGGTCTTGGGCTGAGCTGTGCAGTAACTAGTGTGCACACAGGCAAAGTTTCGGCAGGACATTTGTCGGCCCGAGGCTCTTATCTCTTCTTTACATGCGCGTGTTCTTTTGGGTCAGACGTGGCACAATACAGGACAATCTGCCTGCTCGCAGGGCCCTTGAGAAGCACCGTAATTCCAACACATAAAAAGTCCGCTTCAAGCACTGATTCAAGCACGATTCGAGCACGACGCGAATCAAGCGACAGAGCTTTCTTTTTTTTCGGGCGATTCAAGCACGCATCCTGTTTCAAGCACACGGGAGACAAGTTTAAGCACTAAACACGTGCGAGTCAAGCACCAATCCCGATTCAAGCGCTGGCGATCTTGCCCCCCTCCCTAGCACCCCAGCTAATCTCACATTAAAGGTTAGGGTTTTCAGGGCCGAGGCAGGATTTTCAGCTTGCAGGGTTTAGGATTCTTCGGGGTAAGGGGTTTTGCGTGCAGGTCAGGGTTTCGAGGAGCACTAGATAGGGTTTACATTTTCCAGGACTTAACCCTTTTAGGGTTGATGCTTTCAAGGGTTCTGGGCATGGGATGAAGGGCCTTTCGGCTTTAAATCGTTAAAGGCTGGAGTTTTCAGGCCTGAGGGAGTTGATGGCATTTTCTGGGGATTAGGCTTGTCAGGGTTTCAAGGGCTTCCAGGCATTTCTGGGGGTTTTGCACGGGAATCATGGTCGGGGTTGTCAGGCCTGCAGGGTTTTCATATGATCGTTTTTTGATGGTGTTGGGGTGGGGTGTTCAGGGCTCTTTTCGGGTTCAGGGGTTCTTCAGCTTAAAGTCAACCATTCTCCTCGTGTCTTCGCCCGTGTCCCGGGCTGAGAGTCCCGCCGAGTGTCCCTGGAGCGCCCGCCAGAGAAGCCGGCACAGAGCGCCGCCAGTATCCCAGTCCTTTTTGCGCGTATCCGGGGTGCCCACCCACAGCAATCCTGCCAAGGGTCCTGCAACTCGTTCCCTGAAAATGCCCAACCCTCCCAAAAAGCACGCAAAAGTTCTCGCCACTGCGTCGCCACCCCCAGAGAACCCATGGCTCCCACATCCATAAGCAGTAGGGTGGGGACTAGCGAGTAGTAATTGCTTTTTGCTTGGTTTATCAGGTTTTTGGGTTTCTGGTTTCGACTTTTGGGGTATATCGGGTTGATGTTAAGCTTTGCAGGACGAACATTCTCATGATCCGGGCTGTAAGGTTGTATTTCAGGCTTTAGGGTTCGCAGGGCTTTAAGGTTTTTAGGGTTGAAGCTTCAGTGGTTTTTGTGCTTAGGGTTTGCTATTCAAGTTTAGGGTTTCGTGGTTTAGGGGTTCAGGGATTTTATTGGGCTTGAGGGTAGGGGTGTTGTAACCGAGTTCGGCTTTGAGGGCTGAGGAGTTAAGGGTTGTATTTTGAGAAGCCGCTGTTTAGGGTTAGACGTTTGTGGTTTTCGTGCTTAGTGTCTGCTATTTGGGTTTTAAGGTTTCGGGTTTCACGGGTTAGGGTTTAGGGTTTAGGGTTTAGGGTTTGGCTGTAGAGATTAATTAGTTCGAGGTTTTGAAAGCGGGTTAGGCTTTTCAGGGCCGAGGGTTCTCGTGGTGAAGGGTTTGCATTTAGGCTTTTGGGTTCTTAGGGCCTTAAGGTTTCGGGTTTAGACTTTAGTGGTTGTCGTGCATTTAGGTTTGCGGGTTTCGCGGGATTTAGGGATTCAGGATTTCAGGGTTCTAGTCGGGTTTGCATTGTTTGGGCTTGAGGGTTTAGGGATGGTGGAAACCGGCGAAGCTGTTGAGGGCTAAGGGTTGTCATGAAAAAGGGTTTGTAGACTAAGGGTTGTGTTTTTAGGCTTCAGGGTTCGTAGGGCTTTAATGATCTTGCGCAACGTGCTTTGCAAGGATTGCAACGAATTTGAAGGTTTTTGTGCTTTGGGGGCTTCAGACGGTTTCGGGCTTTCAGGGTTGAGGTTCTAGGATGTATGGATGTTGGGGATGCTTAGGGTCTTTAGGTCTCAGTCTTTCCCGAATGCGTAGCAGAAGGGTTCCCGTTTTAAGAGTTGGGGTTCCAGGGGCCCAGGAGGTTACAACCGTCCGCAAGCGTCCGCAAGCGTTCGAAAGCGTCCGGGCGTGTTGCGCATTGACCGAATTCGCCATCCTCGTAACTGTCGCCATTTTTGGAGGTTGACGCTTGAAAGGTGTTGGCAGTCTCGAGGATGAGGCAGGTGAGGTGTGCCATCCCCGTAGACAGTCACTTTTGGACCATGGTTTTATGTGTACGCCTGGAACGTGTCGACGGCCACGAGGATGAGGCAGGTGGGGTGCGCCATCCAGGTAACTGTTGTCGCTTTTGGATGTCGGTGTGGATTTCGGTCACGAGAATGAGGCAGGTGCGGTGCGCCATCTTGGTAGCTGTCGCCACTTTGGACCACGGCAGTCTTGTTGACGAGGATCATCGCGCCGGTTCTGTTCGCCGTATACGTGACGCGGGTCTGCATTCGGGTTCGTGGCCCCCTATCAGGTTTTTGGTTTCGCCTTTCTTGCTAGTAGGGTCTTTTGGCTTCAGGGCTTTTGGGATCGGTGGGCAACATCCTCTTGCGCGAATCCCGCCGGGTAAGCGTGCGAATCGGGCCGTGTGCGGGTCCATTCAGTGCGGCAATCCTGTGTGCATGAATCTGGCCAGGCCACTGCACGAATAAGCTCATGCACGAAGCCGCTGTGCCAGTATGCGAATCATCCGTGTGCGAATCTGCCATCGTCAGCGCATGAACAACAGTGCGCGAATGAAACCGTGCACGTGGACTGAATGAATCCGCGGTGTGCGTTTTTGCTGCACACATCGGTGCGCGACTCCGGTCCGTCCAGGCGCGAATGGTTTCTTTTTCGATTCCGACACGCCATTTAGGCTTTACCCGAAAAAGGGCCACCGGATGTGGCAAAGGTGCTCAAGCTCCAGGATACATTTTGAATTCAATACCCTAACAGCCCTGCCTCTGTGCGTGAACGCATGGCTTTTTCTTTGTCAGTCCGGTAGGAGGCAGAAGACATGGAGTCATAGCAACCGCAAACATCATTCATCTAATGTTAATGTAAACAGCAATCGTTGGCGTGGCCAAGCCAGCTTAGGTCGCGTGGCTCAGTCAGTGCTGCTTGCCAAGCGGCAGGCGAAGATTCAAGAGGTCGCCAATGCTTACGGCCGTTCACTACTTGAGATGTCCAACCCACCAGATTTCAATCTGTCACGGCGTGAGTGGAATAAACAGTTTGGGGCCTGGAATCTGAGCTGCATTCCAACATTTAGTAAAAACGACCTGTGGTGTTTACCAAGCAGTGTGCCAAAACTGTGGGGTTCCAATTTCAGGGTAAGGAGGGTCAGGTTGAGTTGTGCCCGCGGCACGCGGCCGGTTGCACAGCTCTCGCCTAGGCACGGATGTTTGGTTCAAACTCCCGCTCCATCTGTGCGCAGACGTGTGTGGGGGATTCCGGGACGGGGTGCTTTCATCGTAACATACAAGGTTTCGGCATTGTATGACAGGACAACTTGCGCTCTCGCCGAGGTTCTGCGCATATCTCAAGGTCAAAGATTCCCGCTTTCTGCTGCTCCCAGTTTGCCCCATGGCATTTTTCGTGTTTCAACATCGCTGATAACAAATGGTAGAAAGGTAGCAGACATCTGGAACCTGCGCTCTCGGTCCCTTGCCTCGGTCTGCCTCGGTCCCCTGCGAAAAAGCCCTGCTTTCTGCAGTTGGGCCTTGTATTTGTATGAGAGTTTTGATGAGAATTGTTTCTTTTGTGACTGACGATGTGAAATGTCACGGTCTTAAACTGTTAATGTTGGACCCTGATTAGTGTGGGCCCCCCCCCCCCCCCCCCTGAACAGTCGAGGCGTGGATGGGAGCCTGATTACACGGCCCCGGGGGCTTATATGATTTCAATAGGGAGGAGTTTAGATAGGTTTCAAAGGGGCAGCGATGCCCGGTTATCTTTTTAAAGGCGCGCCACGTGGAATTTTCTTACGGCGCCCGGACGGTTTGACTTTAAAGAGGACCCCGCCAACAGTCACGAGATCCTGAATAATTCGGCCAAATTGACTTTAACGAGGAGGCCCCCACTAATCTGGGTCTAACGTTAGGGGTATATGCTGCTGGCAGAAGACAACCACTATTATTCGGGACTCTGACATGCTTGCCGCCAAGGAAACAGCAGCAGCGTCGCTTGTTCCGTGGCAAAGGCTCCGGCAAGACCAAGAGCAAAGGCACAGTTCATGGAGTGCAGTTTGCATGAATCGTGCTCATGGAAATTCCGGGTTCGGTTGGCTTTGATTTTAGGATCATGCGGAGCGGTGATTTTTTAGTTCAAATTGGCCCTACGTGGTGCCATGCGGAAAAGCAGCTGCAGGCAAGCAGGGCAAGAAGGGCAAGAGACGTGGACAGTCATGAAAGGCCTGGACAAGACCGGACTGCCGTCGTATGCAAGAATCGATGAGAGCAGACGGGGACTGTCTGAGGATCACCATTTTTTGCATATTCTATCCATTGAGTGGCGATTTGCGGTGCGGCACTTTATGTGCTCTGCCACACTTTGACGCAGCGAGAACTCACCCATGATGCGCATCAAGGGTTCTTGAGGGTCCTCGTATCAGCCAATTTTGAGTTTGGCGGAGGAGCTCAGAGCTTTCAGAGCTTCATCCCCAGGTTTTGGCTCCAAGCCGGAGTGCAACCCACTGATTTAAGGTCAAGGCTCATGCTAAGGCCTTGCTCCACTTTTTTAGTATGAATGGTATGAGTCTTGTTCCACTTTGGCTTGGACCTGTTTTGTTGCGCATGTCCCACCGTCTGGGTCCAGACTTGCCTGTGCGTTTCGAATTCCTAGCTGGATAGCGCCTTCAAGCGCCTGTGCCAGCCTGCAATTTCCTGCATGACTGCTGGTTTGGTTTACCCAGCTCTGTACATTAATTACAGGCAGCACAGACCGTGGGTACGAAAGAGTTGCAGGTGAGTTTGTCGACTGAAGGAGAATGCTGGGTTCATGTCAAGAAGACTGCGTGCTCTCTCCGTTGCGAGAGCTTGGGTCTTATGCCAGGCACATCTGCAGCAGTTGGTTTCAAAGCTTCCGCGGCTCTTTACCAGTGCGGACATTCCCTCTCCAAGTGATGTCATCTCCTGTCACAAAAGCACGACAACAATTGCGTTCGTGCCTTCCAAGATTCCAAAGACTGCAGGACATAAACGCTTTGTTTTCCTCGGCGAAGATCGAAGCTGTCAATGAAGCCTTGGAGTCCATCACATAGTCAACTCATTGTGCACATACACAGAGTACGGTCAGTACAGATGAGTTGATGATCTGCTCACACCTCTTTTTTTGTGGTTCTAACTGAGGCAAGAAGGTGCTGTTCAATCCAAACAGCCGAGCATGAGACTAGGCTGGATATTGCTCTTGTCACGAAGAGAAATTTCGCAAGCCGATCGATCCACTATGGCTTGGTGGAGGTCACCTGTTTTCGGCACTGGAGACCGCAAAGGCGCGCAAGCTTCACACTTGCAACCCATACTCAGATAGGGCGTGTCTGTCGGAGGCATCAGTCTCCGAAGCGGATGAGAAGAGATACTCTCAAATTTTCGGGCCATATTGTCAGCGCCGCAGGAATCCACTCACCGGTTCATGCAGATTCTTTTGAGTATGAGGTCCTGGGGGCACTGGTCGCCGAGTTGGCATTGGGGAGGAGGTCAAAGCTGTGAAGGCTAGTGGTTTTGAATTGCGATGAATGCTTCGCATCGTGCCTTGCACGACTGCCTGTCTGCGTGTGTGTGTGTGTGTGTGCGCGCGCAGGTGGCTTTGGCATGAGCTCTGATGGCAGTAACTTCGATCCGCATGGGTTGCCGACATCTGTTCTCTTAGAAAAGCAGACAACGGTTGGAGGGCTCCATGTCGTTCGATGCTGGCAGAGTGGTGCTGATGGCTGTCGTGGCTGCCGCATGCCTTTGTCGCAGCCTGGCTCGGCCGATGATAGTATATCAAAATGTGAGGGGACAAAAGCTCTTCGCAGGGCAAGCTCTTCACACTTTTCCCTTTTCCCTTCCGGAAGATAGCGAATGGACTGCAACATAAACCCTGACATGAGATCTGAGATGCTGTAAAGGCAGGCTACTTCTTTCATGCATAGCGATCACTCCCTGGATCTGCTTAACATGCCATCGCGACCGTGCCCGCTCGTTGCACTTGCTCTGGTGGCGAGCCTGCTGTGTCGCGCACAGGCGACAAGCTCAGCCAAGTGAGTTTTGATGAGCCGTGGTGCCTTTGACATTCCTTTCCACTTAAGTGTGCTCCGAGTCTTAGGTGGCTACTGGCCGTTTCAATGGGTTGACAGGGTCAGCAGTAGTGGGCTCTGAGGCACAGTGGCCGCCGACCTTTCCACTGAGGAAACTTGGACAGCAGAATTGCGTGTGCACTTGGAGACGGCTTGTAACGGAGGAAGTACAAGTTGCACGGGAATCATCACCAAGGGAGCGATAGTGTCTTGCCCCACAGAATCCTGAACAGACTCCCGGACAAGATCTCCGCAGCGCCCATCCAATCCAGGGCAGATTTCGGCAGAGGTCTACCTCGAAGATTCCACCAGTAGCCCTGGAGTGTCCACCCGACAGAATCCCGCCAAGAATCTTGCGGAGTATCTACCGCAGATACCCCACGAATCTAGTGCACAGAGTATTCCTGGAGTCCCCAAATCACCGTTAAAACGGTTTAGGGGTGGGAGTGTCGGAAGAAAAGCCGGATACCGCTCTTTCGTTTTGATCCAGTTTGCAGAGCTCTGGGCCAGAGTTTGCCCATATGACGGTAATGTCCTTTATCATGGTTCCTGACTACATCAAAGCTGTCACCACAGACACAGGAAGCCCAATCTAGCAGTGGAGCCAACAAGGCTCTGGCTCCTGGGGCAGAACGTTTGAAAAGCCAGTGCCATGGAGCCACACAGCCATGGCAGGCCTACCCCTGCTAGTACCGATGAGGGAATTGTGAATGCAGTGCTAAACAGAATTGACCTTGCCATTGAACGAAGGGCTTGAAAAGGGGCCTTTTTGGATGTGGAGAGTGGAGAAAGTGGAGAAGGTCCAGGCGTTGGACAAAAGAAAGTCATCACGGCATTGGGATTGCTGGCAGTGAAGCTGTGGATGCCAGAGGAAACGGAGTGGCGAAAACCAGGGGGGGTCCCAGAGCGGCCACACTGCCAATCGAACTCCCTTCTTCGTTCTCTTGCCAGAGCCAGGAAAAGAGCTAGGCGTCTAGACATCCGGTGGTTTCCAGGTCGTGGGTAGAGCAATGCAAGTACTCTGCAGGTCTACTCCGGCTGACAGGGACAATGCCATTGCAAGGAATTATGCGAGTGATGAACCGTGTGTCATCTGTTTTCTTGAGGTCTCGGCTTCTCCTTGAACATACCTTTAAGCCAGAATTTGAGGGTAAGGCTCAGGCCGCACTGTGAATGGACATGTGTTTGGAGCGCTTTCCCGTTCCAGGGATAGAACCAAACAGGAAGCTAGGTACGCTCCGGTTGACAGGACAAACGTCCTTACAGGAAAGAATAGGACCGATGGCTGATCCGAGTGTTGAGGTCTCTCTGACAAGACTAGGATTTGTACCGGTGTACTGAAGTTTCCCAGGCACTTGTCAGGCAATGCTCTCTCGCATTCTAACTCGCGCTCGTCTTTATACTCAGGACGCAAGGCCGCTGGATTGTGGACGCCACTGGCAACCGAGTCAAGTTGGCGTGCGTGAACTGGGCCGGCGCGGAGGTGAAGGCTTGAGAAGCGGGAAGATGCGGGAAGCAAGAATAGAATCCGAACGAGGGCAAAGGGTTCTCGTGAGTTAAAGCGTGCGCCTGTGTCGCACGGCGACTGGGGTTCCGCAGAAATCGACGTGTTGGGCATCGTTCAGAAGTCGGCTTCGCGGATTCTATGAACACTTTTTGTACCCGGAGTGTCGTGCTGTGCCTTGGCGGCTGCAGGATGGCCTCGTCGGCGGCTTGCAGGCTCGAAATGTGAGCAGCGCCTTGGCGACGTTGAGACATCGAGCCAGTCAAGACAAGCCACGGTGGCAGTGCAAGCATGTGCAAGCATGTGCAAGCTGTGACTGCAGCTGTGTGGGGTCACATGTCACTGCCAAAGGCATTGCAGCCACCTTCAAATCGATGGGCTTTAATTGTGTGCGTTTTCCTTGGTCTGTGTGGATGGTCAGAAACCCAGAACTCCGATTCAGAAGACTTTGTGCTCGAGCACACCTTGGACTGTGCTCGTGTCTGCTCGTTTTCGCATCTTGGCAGGTTCAGACCAATCCGCGAGTTCCAGATCACCTGCAAAAGTCCTTGCTCGGTGCGAACCCGCAGCTGATGGGACTGCGAGCTTTGGAGGTGCTGGATGCTGCCGCTCGCCATACCTACCTGCACCATCCTGCACCCAAACTCTGAACGTGATTTTGAATGCTCACTTTTGCTCTATTGAGGTGATTGACGCCTGCGCAGGAAGCTTGAAAATCTTGATCCGCTGCTGGTTTGTCGAGTGCAAGATCCGTTTGAAATAGAGTAGTTCATTGTGGCCGAGGCTTCCACACAACTCCTCGTGTTTCTGGACAACCATGTGTCCGACGGTGCAGCTGACCTGTGGCACATGGTGGAATTTTTCTTGCAGGTTTTCTAGTTGTGCAGGCACCTGGTGTTGCAGCGACGTTGATGAGAACGGTCTGTGGTACAACAGTCGCTGGCCAACAAGTGACTGGCTGGAGGCCGCGCTCTGTTGGAGTGCAGAGCAACGGGATGTTGAACGCTGCACTGGCACTGCAAACTCAACTGCTCTGCTGATTCTTCAGGCGCATGTGAAGCTGGCCACCCGATACGTGAGGAGAGCTTTCTTCAGGGAGGCGAAAGCTATGTAAAATGCCGGATGCTGCCTTCGGTTCTGGAAGGCAGCCTTGGGTTGTGGGAACCGAGTTGCGGAATGAGGCAGCTGTGAGCAAGCATTCAAGTCAGCCAGCGTCACGACGTGCAAGTCGGTTCGAGTATGACCATTGTGACAGGTACGTGCCAGTGCACCCAGGGGAACACCGCACTGGGGTGGAGGGGGCCCTAACGTTGATGCCTGAGTGAACGAATCGCGGCATATCGCGGCAAAGTGTGTTCAAGATGAATGATTCCGAGTTGCATTTCCATCAATTAGCAATAATTAGCATCCAGGCATATTGAGTACGTTCACGTGTGCTACTACCGGGTAACCCCGGCGCTCAAACGCAACATGCAAGGATTGGCATGCAGCCGCTACGAAGGCAAGTCACTCCGCTTCAGGAGCACCTTGCTTGTGTCGTGGCGAAAGATGCCACGTGAAGGCCGGTAATGCTGTGCTGGCAGTGAACCCCTCGTTGCTGGTTGCCGTCGTGCGATTCTGAGTCCTCCTGCCTCGAGTCATCCAAACACCCAAGCAACCGTGACTAAGGGTGGACTCAACTACGGCAAGGACCTATCTGGCGTATACAGGCACATCCGGTGAAGCGTGAAAGAATCATTAAGTACAGCATTAGTATCTTCGATGCAGCTGATGTGTCTAAGGTTGCCTGTGCAGCTCGACAAGCCCGACAAGCTTGCTGGATCCTCAAACAAGCAGCTTGCAACCTTGATAGCCCAGAGCTGCACCAAGGTTTACACTGCCCACAGCTATTCTTGGTCATATCCCTGGCTGACCGATACATACCAGGCGATCTGTCGACAAGTCATGAGTGGTTGACATCTGGCTGACGTCTCGATGCCTCTAGGCCTTGCATGAGCAGCTGGGTAAAGATTGGGGCTTCATCGTCGAAGAGAACAAGTCCGGGGCTGAGAAGTGCACACAGGAAGAAGGTTAGCGATTGCGTTGCCCGTACATTGCCTTGGAGTGTTTGAGGCCATACACCGCCCCGATCTGGGTCAGCGAGTTCGGCACCTTCAGCGACTGCCACAAGGCTTCAGACATCTTCAAAGAAGAGTTCTCAGATGTTGGCTCTCTTACTCTCTGACATTCTGCAGGACTCTTGCGCCAATTGGTGGCCGGACTTCTTGCGGTATTTGCAGCTGGCGCCCGGGGGGAGGGAAGGTTTTGATGGGTTAGCATTTGCTTGTGTGCTAGCGTTGTCTGCAAGATTCTCCGCATGTCTCCTTTCATCTGTCGTAGGGTGACTTGGACTGGGCCGTTTGGCATGGAGATGGTACCTGGAGCCGAGACGACCTGCACCCATTTCACGGCCCGACGAGTGCGCCACCCGCGGTGGTTTGCGGCTGTTGCGGGATTGACGTGTCTGAAGACGTCTGAACTCCCTCCTTCGCGCGCCTAGAAGGTTGAGCCTGAAGGGTTCTAGCGGATTCTAGCTCTTGGATCTTCCTGTGGGTGTGTGTTGCTTCTCCGAGTCTTTTTCGCTGTTCCAGATTATGGTGTTCTGGCCGCTGACTGGCAAACTCCGGCAGCAAGTGGCGAACTCCTGGCAGCGCTCCAAACAGTCCAGGCACTGCGCCATGGCTGACAGCGAGGGTGGGCTTCTCGGCTTCTGTGCCTGTAACAGTTCTGATTCTATGCCAGGCTGCATGGAGCGGCCCAGGCAGATCTTGCAGTCCTTAGCGAGAGCTTATGGAGACCATGTGGAGACCATGTAGAGCCAAATGCAGGTGTGAGCTCCATGGCGACACAGTGCAATGCGCATTGCGCAGATTCCTGGGACTCAGGCAGAATTTCGGAGAATTCAAGATGCTCAGAATGCAGAGTGCAACTTTCTGGCCAAGAGATGACTCCAGCAGGTTGGAGCAATGGGCGAGAGAACGCTGCTGCCTGCGCACCATGTCTTCGCAACAGGCTGCGCTGGATGTGGGATGATGCGGGGGTTGAACATGGCGCCATGGCAATAGCAATGGAGTGCGCAGAGGCCTTGCCGAGGCAACCTGACAGTTCAGGTGGGAGGGCTTCTGTCGCTCGTGCTGTTGCCGTCGTGACCGCGAGACCCTCTCTCTCTGTGTGTGTGTGTGTGTGTGTGTGTGCGTGTGTGCAAACCCTGTCTCTAAGGCAGTAGGAAGGCTTGGCTTGATCACGAAAGCTAGCCCCCGGAAGCTAGCGGAGTATCTTACCAACCGTCAAAGTTGAACAACAGGTGTGTTGAGGGGTCCCGGTGGCCCGGTCGTAATCGGGGCATGGGCTGGCCATGTTGCCTTGTCTGCCTGCTTAGTCTAAGCGCCCCCCGTATTCATAATGGCTCTCCAAGAGCGGCGCGGTTTCCCCGTGCGGGTGAGTTAAATGTTAATGTATCTCCAAGGGCAGCGTCGAGACCATGTATGGGTGAGTTAGCTGCTCACGATCCGAGCGAACGGCGAAAGATGTGTATTGACTTGGTTGCTGCTTTTCCTGTATTCGTGCCCCAGACCCTGGAGCCAATCCCAAACCCCAGGCCCGAAGCACGCAGCTCCTCAGCACACTGCACTAGCTTTCGTTCTGCCGTCCCCCCACAAGTGTTCCAGCAAGGGGACAGATCACGTACGTACCTGCCACTAGGCCGCTGTGCATGATCATCGTTGGTTGTACTGTATCTGGTATCTCCAAAAAATTGTGATCTTGAGTCAAAGAAGACCGAGATTGGCTTTGCAGCAAGTCGCATGTGTTGACTCCGAGTCGAAGCTAAAGGAAGTGTGTGTGTGTGTGTGTGTGTGTTCTGTTTTGACCCTCCGCGGCCTGAAGCTTGAAGGAATGGTGCAACAATGGTTGGGCAAAGGTCAGCTGCAGCTGGACGTTCCAAGCTTAGACCGGGCCTGCATGCACTGTACTAGATGGTAGGAATTGCACGTCTGCGCGGCACTGCAGATATCAGCACAGCCTGTCGCAGATGCACCGCGAGATTGTTGAAGGGCTTTGTTTTGTAGATTGTAAGAGCTGCCAGAGCCACACACGCATCCACTAGAGTCACAAGAGTTTACATCATCACCCTACAGCTGGTGATGTGTGCGCCGTAAACCTTAAGATCCCATGCGCCAATACGTTTATATCATTTTGAATCTTTAGGTTGTTAGGCTGCGAAGTTTTGCTACCGGCAATGAAAGGGGGTGGCAAAAAAGGTTGCCCTAAACATCGATGACCGTTTTCTTTTGCCACTCCTCCCCCCCCTCCCCCCCCGGCCAGTTTTCCCAGCCTCCGAAGCCCTCACCCCACCCCCAGCTTCCGAGATTCCCTGTGCAATATCAGGGCCCTGACTCCTCCCTCCCCTTCCCCCCTTTCTCCCAGTAGCAGTTTCGGGAGGTACCGGTAAGCTTACATCTCTACAGTAAACTGCAATGCAACAACATACAACGTCTAGATAGAGAAACACAGAATCTCAAGCACCTGGAATTCCTGAAAGAAAGCTCCTGCTATCTGCTCACAGTATCCCCGGTTGCGGTGTCCGTCCATCCAAGTAGTTTCGTGTATTTAAGATATGATGTGTGCGAGTATTCTACGTGTGTGTGTGTGTGTGTGCATGTTCATATGAGAGAAGCCCTAAACTGTTCGGCTTTCCGCCGATAAATCATGAAACGATTTTATCGGGTTCTTCATCAGAAAATTCAGGCGACAAGCATATTTGGGCCAAACCTGTCCAAGGCATAGGGGGAACACTGAGGTTTTGGAGCAAAAGTCTCTCTAGACCCTGGCTTGCCAAGGATTTTGTCGAGATATGTAGCTATGTGATAGATCTTCGGAACATTACATGTCCATCTGGCGACACATTTATTGCTAGGGAGCGTGCCTGTTGCCAGGGAAACATCCCTTCAGTAAAGTTTTCATGTCCCCAACCCTGTGCTTAAGCAAATTCCACCAGCCAAAAAGCTACAGTTGATGGCTCTTTTCTTAGACTTGTGAGTAAGTTTTCCGATGGCACCTTGGGCGAAGGGAAAGCGAAACAAAGTAGCTCTCAATTAGCCATGAAAAGGCACTTCTCTTCGAAGACGTGCACTTCAGCATACCCTTCTCTTGTAAAGGAGGTTTCAGGAGGCAACATCAGAAAAAGTTGGGAAAACATAGTGCGTAAAACATGGGCCAATGACATCGCTTGCCAAGCTCTGGTGAGGTGCTGCCGGGCTGGGCTCCTGAATCCGAAGACATGCGAGGAGTCTCGCTGTCAAAGTGTTGCCTTCTCGCTTCACTCTGCCCCGCGTTGTTCCTTCCGTGCACACACAGTACACAGTATCACTGTATGTTGAACGAAGTCGCAGCCCATTTTACATTCAAAAAAGGTCGGTTCACCCTGGCCGGCTGTTGTGTGGGAGAAACCAAACTTCTCTAGCCCTTTCACGTGCCAGGTCGATATTCCGACGATTACAATCCATCCTGGTGACTTGCTCTGCAGCCTGCAATTGGAACCTATTGCAACCCTGAGAACTTTCTGACCTTCTGGTTTAGCATCTCGAGGCCTTCGGGCGTTGTGAACACCAGCGCCTGTGCCCATCTTACAGGGGTTTCTTCCGTTTCTTCATGTTTCTTCCTTCGCACAAATGTCCGAGAAAGTCCACGAACACCCTGACATCCTAGAGGCCCCCAGCGCTCCTCCAGCGTCCCCCAGCGCCCTCCCGCTTGAGGCTTGAATTGCTTACAGGATAAGCATTGCCGCGGATTCAAAAGCCGGTCAAGCTGGTGCGGAAGCCCTTGGGCAGCAGCGCACTGTCAGCCCGGCCCTTGGAGATTTGGGTGATCTTGGGTGCCATTCCAACACTATTCCAACATGATGCGCATGCTAGCTGCTGCTGCTGTCAGCTGCTGTCAGCTGCTGATAGCTGTTAGTACTTTCAGCCACAGCACTGTAAGTTCGAATCTTTCGTCCTGAGGCTGACATGCTGTACAGCGGGCTTCCTCTCCCCATCGAAGGAGTCAGCTGCCCTTTTCCTGCAGTAGTCAGTAGAAGTAGAAGTCATGCTGAGAGCCGCCGGGCTTGGCAACCGAGGACTTAGGCAAAAGTCGTCAGTGGGACCTTGTGGGAACGAACGTGAAACTAACAGAGGTGTGTTCCAGCCCGGTTTCCCTTTGAATGCACTGAATGCTTTGCAAAATGCTCCCTTGGTCTACAAATGGCCCCAGAGCTCTGAAGCTGTTACAGACTTGGGTGCACCGAACAGCCTGCACGCGAACGATTTCGTGCATGCGAAAATGGAAACCGGTTGACTTTTCTGAAACAAGGTCAGGTTCAGAATCCCGACTCTGTGCATCTTTCCGCAGCAGACCAGATCGAAGTGGGTGTTTGAAATCGGTGCATGTGCTGCGCCACAACCATGGACTTGTAAGCACAATGCTGGCTAATAACAATCAAACAAAAGGCCAGCCCAGGTCGAGCTTTCCGGCAGTTTGTTTGCATTATTCATCACGATTGCCGACCTGCTCTTTATCCCATGTTGTCAGCTGAAAGAGCAATGCTGCTGGAGATCGTTTGGTTATGCTTGGCTTGGTCATCGGATGCCTTTGTCCCTACACAGGTTTCCCTGGCAGCTGGAAGCCACGCAGATAGCACAATCAGCATCACATGGCTAACAGATGATGATAGAGATGATCCAACCTCCTGTGCCGAAGTTGCAGTGGTCCATGTGCGAGGCCCCATTGCTGACCAGTCCGAGCACGCGAGAATGGCTCCAGGATTACATGTTGTTGGGACATGCTCGCGCTATTCGTTGGGCTCAGCTCCTGAACTTTTTGGAAACTACACGTCTGGGCGAATACACACTGTCCAAGTCAATGGGCTGGTCGCAGGCAGTACGTATGCTTACACGTTGTTTGGTGACAGCCCTTCCACCACACGCCACTTCAAGACACTGCCTGCTTCAGAGGAGCCCGAACCCCGCAAGGCTGATCCACGATTTCCTTTCGTTCTTGGCGTAATCGGCGACCTTGGCCAGACTGCTGACTCCCAAGAGACAGTTCGACACCTGGATGCGGACCCGAGTCTGCAGATTCTACTCCACGCTGGTGACATGGCATATGCTGACACGGAGTCCAAACGGTGGGATTCGTACGGTCTCAAGGTCGAGCCCCTCTCATCACGGTTGCAGTGGATGGTATGTCCGGGGAATCACGAGATTGAAAGCGATTATTACACAGGGGAGAGCTTCAAGGCATATGAGGCGCGGTTTGCAATGCCTTCAGTGCAGCCCGTGGAGTCATTGCCGTCTACGAAGCAAATCGGGTGCAAGCACCCCTTTCCTGCAAAGCCCCATAAAGGACCCGATTGCACGCCCTCTGTCTTCTCTGGTGGTTATGACTGGGGCAACTCGTTCTATGCCTTCGATGCGGGTCCGGCCAGAGTTATTTCATTGAACAGCTATGCCAACACGGGGCCGCAGTCAGCGCAACTCAACTGGCTCAGAGAGGAGCTGGAAGCGCTGGCTCGAAGGAGGTCCTCAACACCATGGCTGATTGTGATGATGCACTGCCCTTTTTACAGTTCCAACGCAGCCCATCACGAGGAGAGACAGACGACCTTGATGAGGGACATCCATGGTTTTGAGGACTTGTTGCAGAAGCATGCAGCCGCGGTCGTGATCAGTGGCCACGTGCATGCCTATGAGAGGACCCACCCTGTGTACAGAAATGTCACTAAGCCAGGGGCCCCCACTTACATTGTGGTGGGGGATGGGGGCAACAGAGAGGGGCATGCAAAAGACTACTTGCCACAACCCAGCTGGTCTGCGTTTCGCAATGGGTTGACCTTTGGCCACGGGCGCCTAGTAATTGCCAACAAAACTCACATGCAGTGGGAATGGTGGACGAACGATGACACGCTGCCACCAGCAATGAACAAAGAACGTGCAGCAAGACGTGCAGCGGACCTGGAGCTGTCGGGTTCAATCTTCGACGTCGACTCTCCTTGGCGCTCGCCCCTGCCACAGCGAAGCGCGGTTGACAGCGTCTGGATCCGTAACCCGTATCGTGATCCGCCTCCTCGAAGCAGATTCGCGAACGCAAGCCTTTGGGCACTGGGACTGGTTTCGGTGTCATCAGCAGTATTGGCTTTCCTTGTTATTGCTGTGCAGCGATGTCGCCGCAGGAGGCTCGCCGCCCAACCTGTACAAAGTTCACAAAGTATCAACAGTGCCGAGATGCAGAGCACAAGCTCAAGCAGAACGCTGTTAGATTCATGACGGCAGCCTGGCCAAAAGCTTTCAGTAGTTTTCAGTAGGAGGGATAGGCTATTGCACAGCAGTTTCGCAGGTACTCGCAAGAATAGGCAGAAGCCTAACAGAAAATGCAATGATTGGTCTGCGCCTTTCGCATCCGCAGCCGACCTGAAAGTGCTGCATGCGTGTCATGGTACCAGTGACTCACAGGGAGTCATCCTTCTGCAATTCAGCTCCTTGCGTGTGTTCCCGTAGGATGAAGACTGCTGGCAAGCAGCCAGTGCCACATGATATATTCCGATAGAGAAGGTTAGAGATGCTGTTTGCATCGCTGTGATGGCCATGGCTGCCATGGCAAGTGGAGTGCCCGCTCCACTTCTCGGCATGGTGACTTACTTAGCTTCAGAAGTGAGCACGATTGAGCTTTGCAGAAGTTGATGCTAGCCTGAGGATGGGATGCTTAAGAGGTGGCCGCACTTCGAAATGGCTGCTTTGCCTATTGGCTTTTTTCTTAGATGTTCCTTGGCGGCGTGGAGCGATTAGCGTTGACAGGAATGGTGAGAACAGAGCCTGGAAGATAGTTGCACTCGCAGAGACGCAAACTGCAACTCCCACTTCAACAAGTACCTCCTGCACGGTGAGCACCCAATCAAGCACCAGCACCACCACTACACAATCAACCACCGCAAGTACGACGAGCGTTACTTCCACTACACAGCTGTCAACCACCACGTCCAGCTCCTCGCAAATTCCCATCCTGCCGGCTCGTGTCAGTCTGCTTGTGGAGTTTGCGCCTGGGACTGCAGAAAATCAAACATGCGACAGTCTGAACTGCAGGGAAGTCTTCATTCCAGCAGGGCTTGAGATTCTGACGCTTCAACTTCGATCCCCAGATGCACCTGACTATGATTGGGGTTCTCAGCCGCAGCTGCTCATTGCGAGAGACTTCCCAGAGGTTCTCAGCACGCAATCCGCTAGGACAGGAGGTTGTGCGGAGCTGTCGTCGGCTGTTCATGTGGGCACGTACCTTCGGCTGCTGCCTGCCGAATGGGGAGATCATGGTGTGGATGCCGTTGTTCAGAATGGTCAGCTTGATCCTTCCTCAGCTTACCTGCCATTGGTTTTCAGAGAGGGTGGTGACTATTCTCTCTGCTTTTCTGAAGATGCGACTTTTGTCTTGGGTGGTCGTGTCGACCTTGTTCCTATAAAGATAAGAGTACGTGGTGCATATGATTCCACTTGTACCAATAGCGCAGAATCACCGTGCATAGCAGCACGCTCCCAGTACTGCCACATCCTTCAAGGCTCCTACAGTCCTGCCGGTGCTTGCGCCATATCGTTTGATCAAACGCCACAGCAAGGAGTATTGGGGACCATGGAGCAGATGCGAATATCGTGGTCTGATCCATGGCAAGTCACCTATAGCTCTAGTGGTGCTGTGTTAGCTGTCCAGAATCTCAGTTGCCAGAGTCGATCACCAGAGGTTTCAGAATTTCTTTGCTTAAATGCAGACCGCTGTGACCTGGGAGATGACTCGGTGCCGCTCAGCAGCCAGGCCCTCGCATCCCTGCCTCGTGCACGCGGCGATTTGCTAGGGAATGAGTCGTTCAAAGCCTACACAATTCGTGTATGCTTATGCCCAATTGTCGGAAACTGCTTGCAGCCGGAGTTTTTTGTTCAGGAAGTTGGCATCGTACACTTTTTTGCTGCATATCTTTGCTTACACCCCGGCGATGCCGAATCTGAAGATAGATGTCTGGGGTCATTCTCTGCGGCCGCTGCGTTCTATCCCATTCAGATACACGTGCATTGCCCTTCAGATGTTTGCAAGTTGGTGCCAGACACGGCTGGGTCACGCCTGAAGCTCACATCGCCATCGCCGGACAATTTTCGCCCAAGCTGGGATCCTACCACGGGTTGCCGCACGGCTTTTCAGACGCCTTTGCAGACGCAGCCAGCCAACTGCATAGATCCGTCCTACTGCGTTCTGTCAGGGGGCACGCGCGAAGACTTGAAGAGCTTTGGTGGAGGACCAGAGGGTCCCTTTCAGTTTCTTGGTGATCGACCTTTGCACGGACGAAGAACTTTCCACTCGGCGGTTTCCTTCGACATCTGCTTCTGCCTGTCTGACTGCAGAAGTACGTTAACTGTTCCAAGCTACTTCAAGGTGGGTGAAATGTCCATTGTTCCCCTGCGCTTGCTCGGCCCGAGCCTTCTGCTGCAAGTTCCTCGGAGAGTCGGTGTGTTGCGACTTCAAAGGGTGGAGGCGGACATCATTTCGTTTCAGCCACCTCCTCAGTCCGTTCCACCAGCCGGTACAGAGGAAGCCTACGTGAAGCTGTTGGCAGATGATGCTCATCAGGTGCATGATCGAGAGTGTGGTCTTATGCCGTATGCCTCATACATCAACCAGTCCTCACCTGAATTCCACCTCCTCTCAATCTCCAGCAACGACTTCGCTCAGCTGGACGAGGCCGACGGGGCTGTCGAGGCCGTGATTCGCGCAAGATTTCGGGGCGAGCCAGATTTGGCCAACACATCGCACTTGGTCTTCAACGAAAGCTTGATGTTCCTGCGACCCGGCCGCGTGGCTGTTTGCTATTGCGGAGTCGACGTAGCAGGAGCTTGTCGGCCTTCCTTCTGGAGGTTGTTGACGCATTTGACTGTGCGAGGCCCCAAGCTGTTGCGTGACCTGGCCCCCTATCAACGCTGGACTGTAAGCCCGGATGTCGTTTTCAGTTTGGAGCTTCTTGGCTGGGGTCTTGTTGCCACCGATCAGATCTTGATCCTGCAGCCGGGTGCATCTTGTGTTGACGATGTGCCAAGCATTGAAGACTCCATTCTTCGGAGCTGTCCCAGGAACTGCAGCAGGTTTCATGATGGAAGCAATGGCAGCACACCAGGTGTAGCACTTCACGTTCTGAGTGACAGTAGTGTGCCTTGTGGTGGAGCGGCTGAAGACCTTGGGCTCTGCCCGCACGTGTTTGTGGAGGCGGTGGAAGTGGCTGGGTGAATCATGGGAGCTTTGATACTTTAGGCTTATAGAGAAGCTTAGAGATTTAGAGGCCGGACTTTCGGACTGCCCGGATATTTAGCTGAGTGAGGTTCGCGCGAACGGTGAGACGAGCGAAGCTTTCCTTTCCTTCAGCTCCTCACCGGGTCTGATGACGGGAGACATTGTGAGCCTGGGAAACCAGCTGGCCTGCTCGGCGGAAAGCTTGGAAAGCGGCACATGCAGTGTCGAAGACGAGGAGGAACTTCGAGGTTGGCTGGGCTTCCAACTTTCCAAGACCAAAAGCAACAGTTGGGTTTAAAGCCAACCATTGTGGTGATTTTGGCTGATCTGGATAGTGGCCCCCCATGGCCTGGAAGCCCGAACCAGAGTTTGGAGTTATGCGTTGTCGCAACCTGCGAAGCATGCAAGCTGAGGGCATTCGAAGCACCATCATGCTTAACAGTCGCCACTCATAACTGACTCATGACTGTCCCTGAAAAGGCGTCCTCACGGCCGCAGGATCTTCGAGCGGAGCTGGTGACCCTTCTTTCAGCACATTCTCTGGTGATTCACATTACCTTGTGGGAAGGAGAGGGGGCTGGCAGTGCACGAAGGATGCACGTTAAGCGCTGCGCAGCCCATGCGCGCCGCATCCGCGAGGACAGTCACATCCACTCCGGACAAGCAGACGTTCGCGATTGATGTCACGTGGCCATCTGCGCGGCTGCCTGTTTTCGAGAACCTCGGTTACCATTCAGTACTGCCAGCGTAATTGATGCTGCAGTGGGGCCAAACGGGTCTTCACCTGCTGAGGGTCCTTGGTGCTGGGCAGTGGACTCGGCACAGCCGAGCTGAAACAGCCAGGGAGCTTCGGGCGACGCACGCAGCAAGCGAGTTGCCGGCACGGGGCTCAGGGCTTCACAATTCACGTCAAGGGATAGGGAGCCCTGAAGAGGCACTGAGCTGTGTGAGCTGTACAGGTTTGCTGGAAACCCTGGAATGGACCTCCCGTGATGGCTGGAAGCCTGAGCGTGGAGGAGCCAGCCGAAGCGGAATGTCAGATTTTCCTGACGGCGACTGGAAGACACCAGGCAGCACCAGCCACCGCCCCAGCGTGGCTCCCTGCAGACTCGCTGCTATTTGATGGTCTGTATTGTGGGTGTCATCGTGTCATGTTTGTGCGATCGACGAGCGGGTCTTTCAGGTCCTCATCACCTACAAGACGGGAGATCTCGTCTTGGACGGCTCTGTCAACCAGATGCGCTTCTCAGATATGTCCAGTTCTGATAGAGTTTCCTTATCGCTCCCTTTTCGATTAGCTGGCTTAGCTTAGAGTTGCATGGTCTGCAACGAAGGGGGTGCGGCCAACATAAGGTCTGGAGTTTCCTGCTGCATCATTGCTTGGCCTTCGACTCTCTGTATGCAACGATGCCACGTGAAACCAGCCCAAGAAAGTTTTTATCTGCCAAGCCAGCCTCCATGGAATTGCTACCTCTAGGTCCTGAATGTTTCTTGTGATAGACAGCTACTTTGGTTGTTTCAAAGGTTTCATGCATCCCAGGAAGAGCAACAGACGAAACTGATGTGATGGACGAGCTTGCTGGTGACACTTCAGCCGAGGGGGCGAAGCAGGCTTGGTGCGGCTTTCTCCTGAAGGCCAGGGGCATTTGGCCTGTAGGCCCAATGTAGGCAATTGCGTTGGATGTGGCGTCCATGCCTTTCACCACGTCGGAGGAGATAGCATCAGATGGCGTGGATGGCTTTCCACTGCCGCATGGGTGCTATTTACAGCGTCCGAGTCTTTGATGAATTGGTTGAGTCTACGGGGGAACTTCGCTGAGGCGCCTCTTAAGGGCCACCTCGGCAAGCTCAAAATACGGGGGATTTCTTGTACAACTGCAACATACTGCAACCATTTGCAACCCCTCCAGCTAGCGGTCGAACTGTTCGTGCTGTCCTTGGCTGACCCTGAGGTGCTGTAATGTGAGCACTCCTTGAAACAGTCAGACGGGTGCGCAGTGTACGGCTGAACCTTGTTGTACTGTTTGTTGCTGTTGCTGAGACAACAGGTGCACACCAATAACATCCTCAGCATGGAACTGTGTAGCTTTAGAGCAAGTCCCAAAACAAAGCCCCAGTAGAAGAACGCAGGCGACTTTTTTGCAACTCGCGTACATGATTGTAAAAACTGTCTTGACGTCCGAGAAGTTGCGATTGCCCAGGACTGCAGACTCATGGGTTTTCGGGCTGGTATTCCGCCCCGGCGTCCTGCTGAAGCCACAGCAACGATATCATCTAGTTGTGAATGCTGTGATCGGTGAACTGGCAGAGCAAGGGTGGCTTGTCAGGATTCTGTGCCGCCATTCTTGCAGCATTCGCAGATGTTTGCATGGTGATTCCGCAACAGTCAGCATCCAAGGGATGAGGTGCTTCGAATTCTTGACCCTCATCTGATCTGGAGGTATCCAGAGTTTAGAGGATGCTGGAGTAATATGGAGTACAAGTCTTGCGACCGGGGGCGCATGCCCACCTCCGCACACCAGCCACCCTCCCCATCACCGCACAAACGAATGCCAGGGCCAGATTTCAGACACACCGGAATCCGCTTGTGCCATCTTGTGCCCTCGCCGTACCGAGGTCATGGATGACGTGGAGCTGAAGCCTTTCCATGTAGTGGAGCGAGGACGCTGCATTCTGCGCAGCAGCCCTCAAGCTGCTGGCCCGCATGTGTAATCTCAGAATCATAGATTGAGTTTGGTGTGAGAGTCGTCCGTGACGCAATAGCTTTGAGCCTTTCAGCTGTCAACCCTGGATGCAGTGGCCGCTGCAGGTGCCCGCCACCACTGCCGGTGAGCCAGACCTGCCGCCTAGCTTTCAAGATGAACATGCGCTTGAATTGCAGGAGTTCGGTGGTTGCTGCTTAGGAAGTTCTTGGTGCCGTGCTGAGGCAGAACTGTGCAATCCTTGGGGGCACGAATGGCGTCTTGGCTACTTAAGCGCGGGCAGAACTTTCGAGCTAGTTTAATCCGCACTCCGAGGAATACTGGACTTGGGATCAGAACTGGCAACGTTGCGCTTGAAGCTGCAAGCGGGCACTGCCCTTCGTGCAATCACAGCCTCCAGCCACCTTCGACTGTTTCTATGGCCCCTGCTGGGATGCTTATTTGCGTTAGCCGGTAGCATGGTTTGGATCTGAGCTGAGAACACACGAGGATGGCACCTGCGCACGGGCACCTGCGATGCCACTTGCAGCGATCACACTGGCTACTGTGGCGTGGTTACCAGGATGGACTGCACCACTTTCTCAGTGAGCTCCAGTTGGCCTCGGCCCAATGCCGTGACCTGGACCCAATTTTTTCCCTTCCAGCTGTTGTGACTTGTGTGACTTCTGCGTGCCGACGTCTTTCCTGTGTGATTGCGCCAAGAAGGTCGGAAACAGTGTGTGTGTGTGTATGCATCTACGTATGTATGTATAATATGTGTTTGTGGCCTACCACTTGAGTGTTGCCCCGCATGCTCTGTAATGTTGACCTGGATTCCATCCCTAGCGCACATGTTCGAAATCGTGACAATGACAAGTCCGGTTGCCAAGCCGGTTTCCCAACCTCAGCGGCCCCAACCTTGTATTACCGAAGGCCGATGAGGCACCTGCTGGTGATCGCACACCCCTTGATCTACCACCCAGCCTGGGGTTTCGGAGGGTTGGTCATTCTTGGCCTGAGAGCATTTGGCGGAACAGCTGATGCTCTTTATGCTGGGAGAAATCAAGGCTGAGCAATCGACCGCCGACTTTAGGGGTTTGGGCCTGAAAAATGGCGTTGCCATCCCTCTGGCTCTGGTTTTCGAATTTGTCCATCTGCTCGTCCCCCAGTGCACTTTGACTCATATCATGCAAGCCCAGGTAAGGATAACTCTGCCCAGTGATCCGCGGCTGCATGAAGTTGTAATACGACTCAGTCTCGCTCTCTCTCTCTCTCTCTTTTTCTCTGTTTCTTCCATGGGTTCAGAGTTCACAGATTTCAGAGTGTTCAGGATCTGGGCGACATGTACGGCGGCGTGCAGAGCATCTTCGAGGTCTTTAATCTGGCCCCACCTGCTGGAGGGCTCTTTCCTGGGCGCTGTGGCGTGCAGGTCACCTTGCCTAGTGATGCGGCTCCATCCTACCGCGCCCTAGCTGTCATATGTTCTGATGCAGGGGTTGTCTACAGCTCTGCATGTGTGCGATGTATGGCTCGACTGTGTGTAAGAGGTGCTACCTCTGGTGACTTCATCTACAGGATGCCCAGCCGTAATTTTATGATCGATTTGGAGAGTTGTGAGAGCTCCTGGATGGATCCAGTGTCGATGCATTGTCGTGCCACTCCATGCTTTGCTAGCACATGCAGGAGACCCACTGCCGTTGCTGGCTTGCTTAGCACCGCTGGAAATGAGAGACCGTTCCAAGCGCAAGAAGGCTACTTACCAAGTTGCATTCGGCATGCTCCCTTGCTCGGCATGCTCCAACGCTCAGAAGCCGGCTCCAAGGTAATACGCTGTATGTGAAGATACGCTTGGGAGCAACTTTGCTCAGTGAGTTGACAGACTTTGCTACTTGGCTGTGCTTTGAATACTTTGACCCTTTTCCAAGTTGTTCAGAGCGGCGGGGAGCAACAGGTTGTCCATATTTAGTTTTCCCGTCGCCTGCAAAGGCTGCAACGCTGGAAGTCCAGCCGCCTTGGGGCTACAGATGTTCAGCAGCGGAAGTCCCGGAAGCCCTTCCGAGCCTCGTGGAAGGACTCGAGTGTGTCGAGTGTGTCGAGTGGGTCGAGTGGGTCGAGTGGAGCGTGCTTTGCAGTGGTGACAATGGCTTGCTGGATTTGCTGTTCCGGCTATGACCTTGCAAGGAGGAAGCCTCCTTGGCAGTCTCCAGGAAGATGGCTGGAGCAGCGGATCGCAAAGCTGCTTCTTCAACCTCCGAGCAGGATTCGCCATTTTCGCAGGCACCGCCTTCATGGTGCGCCTGAAGGTCAACAACCCAGTCGTGCCGCTTCCACGTGATGATCCACTCAACGCCTGGCATCTGGGAATGGAGTCGATGGGCTCCTCGCTGTCCCGACGCAAGTTCAATGCATCAGAGGCATTCTCCGAGTCGCTTGTATTCGGGGAAAACTATACTTCCTCGGTAGCAGTCTTGGGCCGGCTGACTGCAGTGTCCCTGCAGCCGCAGGGGTATCAGCCTGCACCTTCTGCATCCATATCTGGCTCTGGCACCGGCACAGTCAGCACGGTGATCCATGTTTTCTTCAGGACGGCACAGATGCTCGTTGCAGGTGGCAAAGTGCTACTCCAAGCACCCTCTGGCTACGATTTTGGTGCGGTGTGTCAAGTTTCTGACCTTCCAAAGGATGGTCACCACAGTCACTACTATTCCATTGGGGGAGACCACGTGACGCGGCGCCTTCCGTTTGTGGTTTGCGCAGGACAGCAAACTTTCAACTCCGGCTTTGACTTGGCACTGGTCCAACTGAGCACGCGCCTTTTTGCCGAGGAGATGTATGGATGGCAAATTCTGGTTGACCCTCCAAGACTCAGTTCTACATTAGATGGTGACTGGCTGATTTTTACAGAGGCGTCAGGCCAGATCGATGGGGCAACTGTTTCGTCAGGCACACATGGTGGTTCATACATTTCATACCAACTATACTACCGGTCTCTGGCCTCCATGCAATTCCACGTCTCCGACCTGAAGCCGCAAGAACTTACTGGCAAGGAAGCAATACTGCATCTTTTGTTCCGTCTCGGGGGCATCGTTCTCAACAGTCACTCGGTCGTGCAATGTTGCGCTTGAACGCCTAGTAGGTTGGTTGCCTGTTGTCTTTCTGTCTCTCTGTCCGTCCGTAAGTCGGTCTTCAGTGCTTTAACAAACCTCTCTCTCTCCACTAGAAAAGGCGCTCGCCCTTCTAGGCACTAAGGTGTGCTGAGAGTGACTTTGCCAATCGGATTCATCTTCAACTTCCCTGACGCGAGTTTCATAGCTACGGCAGGAAATGCCTCGCACATCCCATCGCTTGAGGAGGCGCTTCAGGTGCCAGGTGCCACGATTGACTGGCCTGCAGGACTGAGCGTTGCATCTCTCGGTATAGCAGATCGCTTTCAGGTTAGGGGCATGTTGAACTATGTGGCCGGGAGGACTGCCTCAGCAAGCGCTGAACGTTCTAACTTTTTCTAGCGCCTCCTATCACCCGTTGGAAACGCTGCTCGGTAGCAGTAGGGAAGTTGCTCTTGTGCTCCCACCGCCGGCGAGTTTGCGTTTCGACTGGCGACTTGTGACATCTTGTGACTTCATATGTTTTTCGCTGAGTTGCCTCAAGGTATGGTTTCTTGGCACCAGTTGCAGTTCCGTCGAGAAGCCCTACAGAGTCTACCAATTCCTTCATCTTGGAAGTGGGCTATGATGAAGAAGTGCTGAGTGCAAGCTGGGACCTCGTGCGAACCACTGGATGTGCTTCCGATTGCCAAGCGTCATCTTCCGAGACTCCATTCCAGTACTCACAGTCACTGGCTGATGCAAGTGCGCTGCAGCAGTTGCGCGAAACCTGCCGTGAAGCCTGTCTGCTTCGACATGGTTGTGCAACTTGGATTGAATGATGTTGAAAGGTAGTGAAGTTTGCGCGATGAATAGGCCATGCTGAAATCTGAGGCTGAGATAGAGATTACCTTCGCAAGTTTGGATGCCACCTGCTCCCTATGCTCCTACATGTCATGTTGCTTGACCGATGTCGGAGATGGGTGTGAAATGAGTGTGATGTTTTGTTGATTGGAGTTTGAAAGGGCTTCTTTGCTGATCAGGCGAACGGGTTGAGAGATTTGACGCAGAGCTCCACGTGCTGGTGTCTCTGACTCGGCCCGCGGCTTCTATACAGGCAGCTCCTCTGGTTCGCGCGCTTCTTGATGCCGAGGCCCAGCAAGAAAAGCAGCGAAAAAGCCGAGCAAGCAACGCCCGTAAGACGCAAGATCCATCAAATAATGCCAACCAACTCGTATTGGGTTTTTATATCTGTAAGACTCAAGAACTGATGAGAGAAGCATGCCTCCCGAAAGGTGTCCTTTCGCACCCAGCGTGTGGCTGCGGTGAGCGTGGTGCGCTTTCGTATCCGTCTTGTCACGGCTGTACCAGCTCCACGGGGTGCTTTGCTCATTCAAGGTCCAGAGGCCGATGCATCAGTGCGCCAGCCAAACAATCACACCCCCTTGCCCCAGCCCTCAAACTCTCAACTTCAGCCCTCAGCCCCTTCCCCCCTCAACCTCTAACACTGGAACATGTTCGCCTTGGGGGGATTTCATGTTTTCACCCACAAGCTGTGTGAGCCTTGTAACTCAGTGTGCAACCCTGCATGCCTTATAGAGTACACCTCCGCCCGGTACTGTTGTGAAGAGGAGCGCTAACGACTCGCGTGTTTGCTGGGGAAACGCGAGTTTTCGATGCGAATATCATATTTGCCCATGGCGTGTGCAGGGAGCTTTTTGTTGTCTTGGACATGAAGTGGCCCACCAACTTCACATTTTCTGCGACCCACTCTGGTTGAATGGCATTTTGAGAAATGACCACGTACAACCAATGCAAATGCGAAACCATGTGCAATTTTTCAGGGCTTCTTCTTCTCTGAGCAGTGCCAGCCTGTCGATGTGCCTCCTGAGACCCCGGACAGTCTTGTGATACGAAGCATAGGACACTCGGATGCAGCTTCATTTAGACATCTCTGTCCACGTTCGCAAAGATTTTTTGGAAGAATTGTTGTGTGCCAAGGCGATGGAAGGATTGGCTGCACTTTCTTTCGCCTTGCTGGTATTCCTCGCATTCAGTTGCAGCCTGGAGCTTCCGATCTCCTGCCCGGGCTTTATCTCTTCGAGCTTCCAGTGCAAAACCCGGTGCTGCGACTGCAAGCCAGACCTGCAATGAGATGTTGAGGATGTTCACCTGTGCTGAGAACCGCCTGACCAAGGTTGCACTTGGCACCGAAACTGTGCCTCAGTCGAAAAAGGAGTTTCGATGATAAGCTGTCAGCGAGGGGGGAGGGGGGTATTGGCCCTCATGATCTGGAAAGCCGAGGAATTGAATGCCCAGTGTGACGTGCTTATCTTCTCCTTGCAATCGCTGAGTGGGATCAAGACTCAGGCAACCTCATGCCGTCAGCACTGCATTCTCAGGTGGAGCTTTGCAATGTTGGTCCTTCACGGCTGTGGAGGCGTGGCGACAGTAGCACAAGCAAGACACAACGCATGATCGAAATCTACATGATTGGGGACGGGAGGGGACCACGCGTCACTTCTACACAGCGGATCTGTGTGAGAGGGTCTGCAAGAGCGTTTCGCGACGTTGGAGCCCCACTCCAGGATGCCTCGGCCAGTGTTCTCGAAGAAGTGGACCAGCGTCTAGTGGTCGCTTCACCTCCGCTACTGGAGAATCCTGCCTGTTTGAAGCAGGATGTTTGTCAATTTGTTAGCATGATGATATCCTGACCTCAGGCTATGTAAGGCTCTTTTTCACATTTTGGCACATGACCCCATAGGCTGCGCTTAGGAAGATGGCGCTTGCTGGCTTGCAGGAAGTCCCGGTGCCACAGACTCTAGGCGATTTAGCCAAAATCTGAGAGAGTCGGTTGCTGCTGTCCAGAGGTGTCAGATGGTGACCTTAGCCACCTTAGCCTTGTCTGCTTGGTGCCTTAGCGCGGCATGTTGAAGGGAACCAGGCACAATTGAAGCTTCGAAAATTCCGAGGAGAGTTTCAACAAATCGGAATGACCAGCCCAGTGCTGCGGCTTGACTTTTCTTGACCCTGCTTGACGAGAACTTCTCAGATCAACCTTGCCGAAAGCTCAATGTTTCTTTAATCTTTTTGTACCAAGTCTTTTGCTACAGGTCAACAACTTGATCTTCTTCTTCGCTCTGACGGTGCAGCTGTTCCAAGACACTGCAAGTTTCCAACTAACAGCTCCGGATGGCTTCGTCTTCTTTGAGGACTGTTCAGAAGGCGGAATGTTCTGTGAAGCTCTGATGCTCTCTAGACTGGACCACCACCGTAGGATGAGCAACCGATCACATGTATACTCTCCGCCAGGCTTCGTCGTTGCCGAAGATTTGGTCTTCGGTAGCGGCCAAGCTTTTCCAAGTGACTTGCACGCGCTGCCTGCCGGCTCTGCTGTCCAGTGCGTTGGCAAGGGGGAGGTGGCGGAAGCGACCCTTGCGCCAGCTCGGCTCGCTGCCAACACGAAGTACGCCTTCCGAATCCGAGTGATGAACCCGCCGGTGCCATCGACACTGAACCCGACCTGGAGCCTCACCTTGGCAAATGAAGCCAGCGAGCTCTTCGACTCCTTCCCTCTTTGGCAGATCCAGGGGCTCTTTCTCTCACCGCCCGTGCCAGCGAACCTCTCCTCTGAGACCGAGGCCTTGCACACAAGGGACGTCTTCAGAACAACGCCTTTGTTTTGTGTTGTGCGCTCTGATTTCTTGACCAGGTTTTTCCGCAGCACCGCGACGGCACAAGCCATGCAGAGTTTGTGAGCTTTACAGTGCTTTACAGCTGTTGCAGATGCGCCGAAATGCCGACCCCCCCCCCCCCCCCCCAATTGAAAAGCATTTGAGGTCTTGCTTCTTTCAAGCCGCGAGCGCCCTAAACATGCCGCCGGTACGGGTACGCTTCCGACCACGAAGCGCTTTTCAAGAGTTGCAAATGGAGGCTCCCGAAGGCACAGAATTACCTAACTTTCTCCGACATGTCTTTGCCATTTGCCATCGCAGTGGTAGAGCGCAGTTTACGTCGGTGACTCTGATGGAGGCTGGACATTTCTTCCAGAGCTGTACTGCGCTTTTGGCCTCGATGGATGGGTCGTGCGCTTCGATGCTTCCATTGGTGGCAACACAACTTGCCAAGGGGTGGGCAGGCAATTGGCAGTGCGCGTTGCCAGCACCGGCCTCAGTTGTGCTGTAAGGTGTGAAAGTGCTCCTTTCGGCTTTCGGTGAACTGCATGCATTAAGAGGCACAGAAGACTCCTGGACACTTGGCTGCACAGGGCGGCACTCAACATGCAAGGCCCGTTTAAGAGATGCACATGTTTGTTGATCACGTGTTGCGACCCTTTCGAATCAGGTCTGGGGTTTCTTTCTACGAGCTCTGGGTCGCAGTAAAGCCTCCGTCTCTCCAGACAGATGCGGCAGTATGGCGTCTTCAAACTTTCCGGGTTTCTCAGACTTGTTCCAGTGTTCTAATCCCCGTCGTGCTATTCCGTAGCAACTTCTTGCTGGAAGGGCTCAAAAGCTCAAAATCATGCTGCAGCTAAGTTGGATGTCCCGGCCGATGCTGAAGTTATCAGCAGACTCATTTATGACGTGGGCATCGTGCCTGGAGTTCATGTCCATCAGCGCATGGCAAGTTTCTCGACCTTCTAAAGAAGCTCTCCCTCTGACCAAAGTGGCACCTCTCATGATACTTGCTCCTTTTTCGATCAGGCTGGGTGGTCATCAACAGAGGCCATAAGCTTGATTGCAATGAATCTTTCCGAAGCACATGCTCTTTCACTTTTCTTCTTGCAGAGCTGGTCATGCCAACAGAGCTTGCGTTTGCTTTTAGTTTCACTTTTGTGCTGAGCCTCGCAGAGGCAATGAGTACCTCGGTGATACAATCCTTGACTTAACTTTCGTCATCGTTCTGAACAGCCCCGTTCTGGCAGCTTGGACGAGCTTTGAGGCGCATGTGACGTGCCATACGCTTGTGTCGGCAAGCCTCATGTATGAGGCAGATGACGAGCTGATGTTTACTGCTCCGAGTGGCTTCAAGCTTGCGGCGAATCTGATGTCTGGTGAATGCCAGCACCCATGACTGCACTTAGTGCTTATCGAGGCCACATCGAGAAGGAAGTGGATAGACATAGTTTCGGGGGGGGGGGGGGGGGGGGGGAGGGCGGGGGGAAGCGGGGGAAGGGGGCGAGGGGGGGGGAAGGGGGGGAGGGGGGGGCGGTGGCCGAAAGGGAAGGGGGAGGGCGGGGGGAAGCGGGGGAAGGGGGCGAGGGGGGGGAAGGGGGGGAGGGGGGGGCGGTGGCCGAAAGGGATGGTGGGTCGTGCGGCAGATGCTTGGAACGTAGTGCATGGGGAGTCACATGCCAGCCTTAGGCAGCTTCAAGTGTTCACCGGCGACATTCCGGATGCAAGCGGCTGTGCAACTCATTTGCGTTCAAATCATCCGTGCATCCTGCCTTGCTGTTAGTGCAGACTTCACTATAAGGGCCACAATGCCGGACATCTACTTGCGGTGGCCAGCCACAGTGTCTTCAGGTTGCAAGAGGATGGAGCTGTGATGTGCGTTTACAACTGTCCGTAGCCAATCGGACCTGGCACCGTCCAGTCACAGGCTTCTTGTTCAACACGCAGCTTGATCTTGCACATTAATTCTTCGTGGTGGCAGACTTAATCGGATGCCACAAATCGTCAAAGCTCGGCAGCGTTTTGACAGCCCCATGGACGGCATGGCCCTGCGATTGCAACTTTCAGGGCAGAATCTATCGGAGCCTCCATCCAGCTAAACCTCCAGGCAAGGACATTTAGGCGACTCCAGCAGATGCGATAGCACACAACACCACCGTGCCCTGAGATTTTCCAGCTGCAGGCTGTGAGTGCATCCGTGCCGCCTGCGGAAGAGGACGGCTCGGGACCCTCACAGTGCCAAGCACCTCAGCTGGCTGCTTGAGGACAATTTCTGGTCAGCATCGCTATGGCGGAATGCCTCGGTTGTGGAAGGTGAGCTGAACAGTTGTGATCGCCACAATGGTGAAGCTAGCTGGTACTCAGGGAGCGATCTGATGTCCTGGCGGGTCATTCCGCAAGTGCAACAGCCAGCCCCTCAACACCGATATTTGTGTTGCCGTACTGCCTGGCCACGCGTAATGCTCAAGTATCAGCTCCCGCGGGAACCTTTTGGTCAAGCCAGTGATCAAGCCTTTCAAGGCCATCGCTGCAGCCAGCCATTGGCTCCAGGCCGTCGCGCAGAAAAGCCAAAAGCTTTCCGTAGAAACGCAAGCAGTTTGCTGTTGCTGCCATAGGCAAGCTGCTGGGGCATACCCTGTCCAGCTTGAGTTCTCTTTCGTCACCCGAGCTGCTGCAGATCGATGGTGCCTGAAGGCCCGGCATCTGCATTAAAATGCAGTTTTGTTTGAATCAGAGTGGCTGCTTGCATTACTCACACCATCGCTGTCCCCTCCGCTTTTGTAGTGTGGTTGTAGAGCTTGGGTTTAAGTTCAGGGTTCTTGGTCAGGGTATAGGGGGAGATGAGGTTGGCTCAGAATTGCGTGATTTCAGCAGACCATGCAGGCGCTGCAGCCATCTGCGTTCAACTTCTCGGCTTCGATGTGTCCTGGCTGCAATATGTGCTGTTTAGCGGTGCTTATCAAAGGTAGCACGGTGCCTACAAGGCCTGCAGCACTGCTTGGTCGCACCTAACCTCGCTACTTACATTCCCCTAGTCTGCGTGGAGTTTATTCTTGGTGCCTTCTGCAGGCTGTTATCGGCGACAGAGGCCAGATTGCTGCCAGGTGACGCAGGCTTGCGCGGCCTCAAACGACTTTAAAATTCAACGTGGATACTTCTGCTCGACATAGCTCTGCTTGACAGGAGTGCAGCTGGCCTTGAGCTCACAGCTTCTCATTTCGATTGGAGAAGTGGGCAGCTATACCTCCATGCTTCCACAGAGGCGAGGCTGCATTCCAAATTTCTCCCAAGCCTGCGGTTTGAGACCTGTAGGAAATATGTCTTCATGCTGTCGAACGTGAGATTGCCAACTCTGGCGGGAATTGTGTTCTTCGAGGAGAGCATTTCCGTCAATGAGCATGTCTCAAGGGGGCGGAACGCAGAACTGCCTCAAGCGTTTCCTGTGTAAAGGCACACACTTATGATTCATCTGGTGCCTTGAGCAACAGTGGCAAGGCCCGGGCACGTGGGATGTAGCCTGAGTTGCTAGATCGCTCTTGAATTGGTTTATGTGGCCTCAGGCAGTTGAAGCATTCGCGGTACTTGGGAAAGTGGAGGCAGGGGGTTCCAGGCATCGATCTGTCGAAGTTACGCAACTCTGTCAGGTTTCAGACCTTCAGGTGTTCCCCTGGCTGCCAGAGACAGTCCATGAGGCAGAGGTTTGCTTGGAATTGCTTGGAATGTGGCGAGAATGCGTGCGCTCGTTGAAGTTGCACGCTTTTTGCAATCCCTTGCAATCACTTGCAATCCTTTGAGCAGACTTACGAGTCTCAAAAGAGGCTGCGAGTGCTCTTCTGGGCAGCTTGCCTCCGCGACCTGGGGACCAAGCCTTGGTTCACATCAGCACGGGAACCCGGACATGTTTTCATTAGTGTTTATATGTCTTAATATGTCTTAATATGCCTTAATGTGTTTTAACATTCTTCAGCTTTCTTCAGCCGTCAGCAACTTTTCGGCGGTCTCAGTAAGAATTCATTCCCCAATCAAGGTCATGAATAAGGCTCAAAAAGGTTTTCCTGGCCGCGTGAACCAAGCCTAAGGTCTTTGGCTCAACGCGCTTTCTGGCGAAACTCTGCGTGTTTCAGCTGGAGATTTGCTCTTGAAGGCAGGATGCCTCCAGCCACCTCTCCTGTGCAGACATTTTTCATTTCCAGCACTGGAGTCCATGCAGGAGATGTTCCTCAAAGATGCGCAGTCCAATAATCAGCTGAGGAAGGGCTGGGGTTACCTTGCTGTTGCGACTGCTCTTGGGAGAGTCGTGCTTTGGCTCATTGACGCAATCTTCGTTTGCTTGGAAAATTTGGAACGTTGCTGAGGCATCTTCTTGGGATACTTCAAGTTTGCATTAGGTGGAAACTCCTGTTCAACTGTGGCAGCGTGGCAATAGGGGCTATCGGGTTGTATAGCCTTCCTAGCCCTCAGATTCTTCCCTGAAAGGCTATCGACTTTGGTGTAGACCCCACAGACAGACTCCACTTGTACAAGCCCTATCTCAGATTTTGGATAGGGCCTGTCCAATCCGAAATAGGCTCTCTAACCGGTGCTTCATCGAAGGGAGAATGAAAGAAACTCATGTTTTTTCACGCACTGGGGAGTGCTTTATGGTGGTGCAGCAGGGTCTATACAGGGTCAGGCTTTTGGGGCTTTGGGATTATAGGATCTACCACTTTGCTGATTTAGGTGTTTGAGGGTTGTGGGGTTTAAATTTCACGGAACAGTTTATATTTAGGTACTCAGGGCTTGCGGCAGGGCTTTAAACAGCAGTTAAAAACTTACTTAGGTACTTACGGTAGGGCGTCAATATTTCACCCTCGGGGGAGGAGGGTGTGGGGGGTGGAGGTGGTGAAGGTTTTCGACTTTTCCGGGTGGGGACTTTTCGGGTTTAAGACCTTTAGGGCTTGGTCCTTTTTCAGGGTGTAGGCTTTTCGTGATGCTTCTCCGTTGTAGAGATGTGATGGGCCAGGGCCAGAGTTTAGGGTTTCGGGTGTTTGTGTGCAGGGTTTTAATGGTGCTTGGGTGTGTTGAGGTTTTGAATTGCAGTGTAAAAGCGCTTTGTTCTGGAGTGTGGGGACTGGGTCTAGTTTTGAGATGCATGCTGGCTTGCTTGGGGCTTTTGGATTTTAGAGTGTAGGGCTCGTAAGGCTATAATGTGTTCAATCGATATATGGGCTTTCAGGCGTTTACGGGCTGTTTAGCATGTTAGGAGGCTGGGGGATTTGTGGCTGCAGTGGCTGCAGGGGTTAGGGATGCTGCCTGTGTTCCGGATCGGCGGGGTGGAACTAGCATTCGAAGAAACATGGCCCAAGACCAATGGCCACTATGCCTTGTCCGTCTCGCCCTGCACCACTAAGCGCGGGTGTTCCATGCATCTACCCGGCCGGGTGCATGTAGGGCCCTGGCCCAACGGTGGCCAATCCGTACTGTTCCAGAAGTTCGTTCTGCAGATCCCTGCCATACCCCTCTGCAGCATGTGTGGTTGCAGCAGATAGTCTCACAATTCTGCTGCGGCAGGGCTTTCTGCAATGAGAGCAGGACATCTACAGCGGTATCTTCTCCCTCTGGCAGCGATCTCGTCGCAGAGTTCCTGGGCGCTGTGAACGATGATGTCAAGCATGATTTGGAGGCCAGCGCAGCTTTTTTTTTTTTTTTTCCACAGGTCAGTCGGAGGTCAAGGGTAACTGAGCAAGCAACATCTCTGCAATTCTCTTCTGGGTAATCAAACAATGTCGAAGTCACACTTGGCGGATCTTGGCAGGTTCAGCTCGCTCTTCCCGCAGACTTGACAGGCACCAAAAGATTTCAAGATGCGAGAGCAGCTGACAGCACTGACAGCTTTGCGAAGACTTTTGCTAAACTACGTGCGCGTCTTCCAGGCGGAGCAGGCGCTGCTCCGGTGTGGCGCATCGAAGTGGTGTCGGACTGCCAGCTATCACTAACTTTCGGTATCGCCCCTTCTTTAGCCTATCCCTGCAATGACAATGAAACCACTTAAACCACTCCTCCAGGATGCCCCCAATCAGAGTGACGTCGTTTTGAGCTCACGGCTGAGCTTGAAATCTGAAGCTGTGGACACTGATGCACACTGTCATTGGTAGGGGCACGAGCGCTGATGAGCTTTTCGCAGACTAGGTACTAATGATGGCGACTTTTCCCCTTCGCTGTCGCTCTCCTACGCCTTCCAAGTGTCAATCTCTCCTGCCACAGCCTCTGGTTTCAGCCAATCGGCTGTCTTGTTCTTGCTCTCTGCAAACCCGAAGAAAGCGGTGGCATATCTTTAGTTATGTTAGACAAATACATCTGTACATAAGCATATGAGGTGGCAGTGGCTCCCAATTCCGAGGCCAGAAGTATCGCCACAAAGTGGCCGAGTGATTGCTGCATCTAGCTTCAGACTTCTTGGAAGGTTGTTCTGAGTGTCAGCATCGATCCTAGTGATGCGCAGATCACCCATGTGTGGCCGACATGCCTTTCTTTTGCCTTGCAAAGGACTGAGGAGGGGTGTAAGTGTGAAGTGGGTGGACAAATGGGAGGGGTTGAGTTGAAGAGCCTCGGTGACGTGAACTGGCCCGACTCGCCACGGCATCACCGCCGCTGTGCCAGGTGGATCTCTTGGCACCGCTTGGGGTCACGTTCCCCACGAATTGTCTTGCGGCATGGGGCTTAGGATTCGGCAGATTCCGCCCAGGACTCCAGCTGACCTTGTAGACCGAGGGACTGCTCACGCACACGCACACGCACACGCACACGCACACGCACACACACACACACACACGCACACGCACACGCACACGCACAAGCACACGCGCACGCACAGGCACACACACACACGCCCAGGCACGCGCACGCACGCACAGGCACGCGCACGCACGCACAGGCACACACACACGCCCAGGCACGCGCACGCACGCACAGGCACGCGCACGCACGCACAGGCACGCGCACGCACAGGCACGCGCACGCACAGGCACGCGCGCACACGCGCAGCGCGCACGCGCGCACACGCGCGCACGCAGCACACGCGCAGCGACACAGCGCACACAGCGCGCGCACTGCGCAACAGCGCGGCACGCGCGCACACGCGCACACGCGCACGCGCGCACACACGCGCGCACACACGCGCACACGCGCACACAGCGCACGCGCACACACACACGCGCACACGCGCACACCCGCACACGCGCACACGCGCACACGCGCACACGCGCACACGCGCACACGCGCACACCCGCACACCCGCACACCCGCACCACCCGCACACACACCCGCACACACACACACACAGCACCCCCCCCCCCCCCCACACACACACACACACACACACACACACACACACACACACACACATACACACACACATACACACACACACACAAAACAAGGTGTGCTTGACTCAAAACCGTACATAAACATACATAAACCCTAAAATTTCTGGTTTCTAAACACACCCTGCCATTTGGTCAGGATTTATAGGGTTTGAGGTTTCAGGTTTAGGGCCTTCTTAATACAGTTACACCTCTTTGCGACTTTCTGGAGTTGCCGTGCCTTCAAGACCATGTCGTTTTTGCTGGGGAAGTTTAGAGGGCAGTCGGTGGGCGCTACAGGCAGCTCACCAGAGTCCCAAGGGTTGGTCGAAATCCGAAGGCCGAAGGAGAACAACGATAGCCTCGTGACACCTTTAGTCAAGCTAATTTGAAAAGTGGGAAGGCAGAACATCCCGAAAGGAACCCTGACAAGACCCTGAACACGACACCTCTACGAGAAACCTTCAACCCCGACCCCTTCGAAAGCCCATGAATGTCCGCACGGCGGGCAACACGTTGGCTACAGTCGCTCGACCTGGCGCCCAAAGTGCCTGTCAAAACTTCGGCAAAAGGCCTTTGTTCCCCACCCTCGGTGTGGGGTTGTTAGATTTTAAAAACTCAACTCTTCTCCTCGCCCGGAACTCTTCTCCTCGCCCGGAACTCTTCTCCTCGCCCAGTCTACTCAAAAGAGGTGTGAGACAGCACCTGTATGCACCTGTGATAAGTTATGACAAAGCCACTCGTAAGCTTGGTCCGGGCCCAGCCGAAGATCAGGTCTCGGGACATCTTGGAGAACGTGCAAACAGCGAATGGAACAAAGAAAGCAAGTGCAAAGCAAGGTCACCCCGGGAACCCAAGAAACCAAGCAACACAACAAGTGCAATGGTGCAGTTGAAACGTAATCCACGGCGTGGTCCCAACTTGGCCACCTTTGAGAAGCGGAACCTGCGTGGAGCGCCTCCCTCGGCACCAGGGCGCCGTACGCTCACAGCAGATAGCGGAGAAAACAAGGAAACCGCACCTCAGACCGATGCGCCCGAGTGCAGCCGGAGGCTTCCAGCCGCAGTGTCCTGAGCTGCTCGGCGGAGCAGGCGGAGCATTATGCCTGACGCTGAGGACTTTTTCAGGTCTGTCAAGAGCGAGACAGTACTGAGCCGCTGAGCCTGCTCGGCCGTGGAACAAGGCTGGAAGAATGCAGCTGACCCTTACGCTGACATTGGCAGCCACCATGGAACGGTCTGTCATGGATGACATCTCCATCAAAGCGCCGTGGCCTGAGGGACGCGAGCAATCTCAGGATGATGCTCCATATACGGTTCATATGGCCTCTTCTCAGCAGCTGTGCCTCGCCGAGGCAGAATCCCGCAAGCACCAATCCTGATGAATGGAGATGCTGGCGTGATTCTCTTCCGGTTGTCAGTCAGTTGGCAAGCTCTGCAGACATGCCTCAACCAGGAACCGATGGCTGGGAATAGGGCGCTTTGGCCAAGTGGAGGTGTCTCGGCGGCTACAGTGCTTGATCAGGGCAGTCGCCCAAGCCTGCTCGGCCCGGTTGCTGGCAAAAGTGTCCCACATGGCCATACGGCCTGCCAAATCCAGCCATCGGCCAAAACCTACCTCTCACAACCGAGCAGTGCTTGGGCCGAAACCACCAGATGACCCCAAAGGCACCGTTCAACAGGAGACGCCATGATGTGCATCAAAGTTTCGGAATCGGGATGCGGTTCAGATGAACATCATGACCAGCATGTGAGTGGACAGCAATCATAGTCATAGCAGAGCTGGTGGTGCCAAAGCAATCGTGCTAGGCAGATCATGAACAGCATTCCGAAACATGCGCGCTTACGCGTCTGCAGGGGTAAGGGGGTGAGTGGGTGTCCCAAGAAGTTCATGCACGGTGCAACATCCGTGCACCAAAGCCGAAATGCGAAGACCAGGATGCCAAGGCTTTGTTGGAGTGTGGAGGAGTAAACTCACACTGGTAGGGGCAAATCAGCAAGCTGCCTCTGCATGTCGGGATGGATAAAGGTGCTTTGCTCGGCGATGGAAGCGTTGTGGAATGCTGGCAGACACGATTGTTCTGCGATGGCATTGGCTTTCATGTGGACACAGAAGCTTTGTGCCAAGTGTCGTTTCCTGCACAGCTCACTGATGGGCTTTTACGTGAACTACCAGCCTGTCCGAGTCGTTGGACTGTCATGCAGGTGAAAGCTGATAGCACCTGATCATATCTGATCGAAGCTTTCGCAAGCACCTGCAAAAAGGATCTTGCACGTTGCAACTTCTTCCGTGTTGAGGTGGGTTGGGCCGAGAGCGATTCTGACTACGGAGTTGCATCGATGGTTGGGTGCCCAGAGTGCGAAGGTCCTGTTCCAATGCCGCATTGGCGATATCTCCTGTCAAGCAGCTGCCATGATGTTGGCTCTGCCACAAGGTGGCGTCGCTGGACTACCCATCGGAACCTGGAAATCTGTCTCTGCTGCTTACCGTGGAGGCAGGTGGGTTGCACTTGCAGCAGGATGGATTTGTACTTAAGTGTACATACACTTCAACGGATCCAAAACTGAAGTTGCGGCGAAATCAGAGGAGGAGCTGCAGACCGACACGACAATCATATGTGTATCATGAACAGGTGTCATCACGAGCGGTCGCAGCTGTTGCCTCAGACTCGCCCACGGTGAAGCCGTGGCAGTGAGATGTGCTGCGTGACTTGTTGTGTGAGCATGTCGACATGATATCCGTGGGATGATGTGTCATGGGACGACGTGTGCGTGAGTTTCTACATTGAGTTCCTACATTGTTTCATCACCGGTATCACTCAGTCTAGCCGCATTGCTTGCATGCGGACTCTGAGCGAGCACGCATGCTGACAGCATCGAATACGAGCCCCAAGTGATCTGTGGCTGAGGACCTTCAGGCATCTGGAGCTGAAGCTTTGCTTGAGCTGCGGTACCGTGGCAACCTGGCTGGCAATTGGCGGGTGTTCCCTGGTCGTGCAGTCCCCTGATCCTGTGGTCTGGTCCCTGGATCCTTTGGTCCTGCGCTAGCTTCATGATTGAACGTACGCTGTAGGGTACCTGTTGCAGGGCTAATAGCTTCCGGACTAGTGACTAGAAAGTGTGCGCAGCACATGCGTGCTTGTGCTTGTGCGTATATGAGTGTACATGTGGCAAGAAGTCTCGAAGGCAATTCCTTGGCTGCTGGCACCAGGCGCAGTGCCATCCGTCGCAAAGAAGAGAGAAGCCGTGGAGCAGCTTTGAGACGCGTTGTGTGCTTGAAGTAAGTAATCTATTGCGCTCGATCAGATTCGTTGTTCTCCCTTCGGTCTCCTTCCAGCTTTGCGCACCTTTGTAAATATGCTTTTGAGCACCTCCCGTTTCTCGGCCTGCCCCTGCTAGTTCCATTGGCGAGAATGTCGGCCGTGGCCACAGTTCCAGCACGGCTGAAGTCGAGAGTGGAACCGCAAACATGACAAAAGCCTTGGAGCGGCTTTGTCATCTTGTATCCACATTGTCCCCCCTCATTATGCTTTCATGCTTGCATTTCATGTCACCTCAGGTGCCAACCAAACGCCGGAAACGACGCAGGCGTGACATGCTTGCGAGGCTTACAGCCTACGTTTTGACGGTGCAATGCGCTTGAGAGGCAGAACAAGTGCAATTTCGTTGTGATCTGGGCGATCCACCGGAGGCTCCATGATGTTGCCGGTATTTTCGTTTTGAAGCTCATAGGAAAGCAAAACGTCGGGCAACTTGGAAACTTGGTGCAGGACAATGGATGGAGGCAGGAAGGTCTCTTTTGGTATCGGTCGGGCGGTTGGAGTCCACTCACCCTCCCGCAGATGCCTTAGCTTGGCATGTTCGCGGCTTGCAGTTGGGACATGCTGAGAATGCATGCTCCTTTCCTACGCCAAGGCCTGCTGCCGACATGACTATGCAACCTTGCAGTGCTGCTGGAACGTCAACCATCGTGTGTTCTGGCTGCCAGAAGTTCTGGAGCCTGATCTGAGGATGGTGACCCTGACCTTTGCGCATCCGAGGTTTCGGATTACAGACTTGACGCCGGGCACCGTGTCACTGACCATCGAGGCCGGCTGCTTCGCGGCCTGCTCCTTCCTTAGCGGCTGTTTAGTTTAAGCCTAGGCCCTAGGCTGATGTTTCAAACATGAAGACTTCGGAACTCTCCCCATCGATATCTTCGCTTGTCACAGAGCCAAGTATAGCACATTCAAAGCGGTCAAGACTCGTGCCACAGAGCAAGCCATTTCGTACTGGTTTCACTTGTGCATTCAACAGGCACAGCAAAGCCGACTATTGGTGCAGCATTAGCAGTGTACGGAACTTGATTGATCAGAAAAAGATCTGCAGTGCTTTCATATGGTTGTGCGTGCATAGCATGATCGATGTGCGGCTGCTCACGTCGAAAGAGGGTAGCGCAGGGATCGGGAGGCGGTGCTGCTTGCTTGGGGGCTCAGCTCTTGGACAGTGGCTGGATGGCAGCGCCACAAAAACCGCTTGATTTTGGCTGGTTCGGTCCCCACATTGCAGCCTGGACAGCAGTAGCACAAGCTTATCCATCTCAGCTATGTGCCGTGCTTGCTTGGGTGCTTGCAGCTCCATACCACGCTGACCCTCCCTCCCGCCCTTTGTGAACACCACGCGCCTTGGGTGGCTTGGGAGATGCATTGGTGTTTAACGACGTGTGGCCTTTTTCATGCTCTTTACTTTGTAGTCCAAAATAAAATGTCTTGGAAAATAAGAAATTGCCCATGAGGGCCACGCTGTGCATCTTGAAGTTTCGCGTGAGCATGATTATGCGATTGGAACACATGTGTCTGTTACTGGCAGCATGTGTTGCGATCTCTGCAGTGGATTTTTCGCACGTGACAGTTTCTTGGAATCATGCGGTGGCTGCTCTTATTTCTTAGCTTAGTGTTAGCAGCGGGCAGGCTGTCCTGATCTTGCCGGATGGCGTCAGCTTGGACACAAATGCAGCGCTGAACTTATATCAACCGACCCGGGTGCTCCACGCTGCGCAGTTTTGCATGGCTATGGATGCAGGTCGCTCGCTGGGATGTGACACTTTCGGCCTCTGGCGGAAGCATTGTCGACATGCCTGGGGCCTTCAGAGATGGAAGTTCTTGTCAAACTTAAGTTTTCGCTGCCATATGTTGCCTTCAGATTGCCTTGTGTGTCGTTGTCTTCGTCCCTCTGCGTCAGGTACCCTGGATTGGAAGCCAAGGGTTGGTGGGACAACCCGTGGGCTCTCCGCCCTTTGCTTCTGTCCTGGGAGGGTGCGCCACATCCAACAAAACTGCAAGCGGCCTTTGTGCGGGGCGGAGTTGGCCCGTTGGCCTATGCCAGTGTCCAAAGCAACTGAGCCGTGGCTTCAGGTACGAGTTCCCCGGGAGCCAAGGCTTCGGCTTGGCCGGGTTGTTTGGATCTTTCGCTTGGCGAGAGCTTGGGCTAGTTGTGCAGGTTCCGGTGCACATTTTATTCCGAAAGCAAGATGGCGATGCCCCAGGGAGTTCTACCTGCAAGAAGACTTGTGCTATGTTATGCTGGGTTTCGAAGAGCCACGCTGCCAGGGCTAGGGCGTTTGGGATGCGTTTGGGCTACAGTAAGTATGGTCAAGTTCAGGTTGCAATTTTGTGCGGAACTTTGTGAACAATCGCTTCTGATTCGTTTCTGATGTTGGGACACCGTGAAGAAGGAAAGGGTGCACTCTAGACCTTTGAGACCCTGTGGAACAAGCCAGGAGTCACCAAGTACTCACTATTGCCGAGCAAAGTCGGAACATGTCGGAACCCTTTAGCTTCTTGAACATTGATCGAGCCGTGCCTACTGAAGGGACGCGCCGTGACGTGATGAGAAACACGAGAAGCGAGAACCACGCCACACATTGACATGGACAATGGAGGAGGCCAACCGAAACCCTAAAGCCTTGACCCCTCAGGGGTATGCTCATATTTCGTGGACACTAATTAACACGTTTTGCCTGACTGTAAGTGCATAAAAAGAGTGTTAGGCCCAGGCCCCCTGGGCAAAAGGTGGCTGTTGCCATCGCATGGCTTTATAGTTTGTTGCATCAGCGTGTGTGACGCCCAAATTGCGCGAAGGACAACTCAGGTCTTAGCGGCACATGAACGCGACAGAGACGTAATTATACACACATACGAAATTCTGAGTGTGCTCTTGGCTCCTCTGCCGCATCTGGATGCATTTGTGGTCGATTGCTCTCTTCTTCAAAACATGAAGGATGTCGGGGCGCGGTACGTTCTTAGTTCTTAGACTTGCTTGGCGTGGCCCGGACTGTTCCAAAGCACGCATGTTCAGAACTGTTAGAGATTAACTCGACATTCGCGAAGTTGTCAACTCTCGTCAGCATGTGTTTGGAACTGGGCTGGCCAAGGATGATGTGTCTCGAGTCGCCGTCCACGTTTGGGCAAGGATGCGGCAACTTCTCCATGCTGATTGTTAGGGTTTGTGTCGGGCGCAGAAGGTGTGTATCCACATACCGGAGGAGCAGACTCGGGAGCGGGCTTCGGCATTTCGATGGCACAGAACACAGGCGCAATGTAGCCTGGCCGCAGATGGGTGCCCAAGAGCGACAGTATGCAGGACTAGGACATACTACAGTAGCACTAGGACCAAAGGACTTCAACCGGCCTCCCTGTGAATGACTCTCAGGACTGAAAGTCTGGGTCTCTTGCCCGATGGTTGGGCGTGGATCAAAGAAGCTGAGGCTCACCTAGTGTTTCTGCAAGCCAAAGAAACCTTGCGCGTTTCCCTGCGTTGTCCCTACACGTGTACGCAGAGGTGGATACCGGTAGCATTTGTTGGGCGCCCAGCTTGACCTGGGGCGTTTTGTGGTGTTTTGCTGCGTTGCTGAATTGGCACCTCAGCACAGCCAAGCTCAGGCCTTTTGACTGATGCAGCCAACATCACGAACTCAGCTTCTGGAACCCGATTCTCCTTTACCGTTGGCTGCCCGGAAAGAACCCGGCACCATAGTCTGACGTCCATCCGCATCTTAGCGCCCAGGTCTTGGTATCCTTGCCAGACAATAACAACAATTGGCCCGCATGGCTCTCAAATCTGCGGCACATGATTTACGAAGTTCTTTTGCGTTTGCCCGAAATGTGGTGATGTTATGTGATGTTGCCATGCTGTCATGCTCCATTCTTTGAAGTAGGGTTCCAAACGCTGACACATGACGGTCTGCACACTAAGTTGCAAAAGCAAAGCTTTGTAGCACCGACGAGCCGAAGGTTCAGAGTTCAAGGTGTAGGGCTAGGGTGCCACAACACATGTCTCCTTCATGTGTTGGCAGTGTTCCTGATAAAGCTTTCTGACACGATCGCCATCCAGCGCCCTGCGACACATCTAGAAAAGCATCGGGGGTTGGAGGTGGAAAGCTGATATAATTTAAATGCTTGTTGCTGTCAGCAAGATGCCCCTGCTGCTCAACGATGACAAACCTGCAGCTTGTTCCCTCAGGTTGACAAGTTTTGGCAGTTACGCTTCTGTCGTCTGACATGTGCCAACTCCTCCAGCGGTGAGGTACATTGGCTTGTCGGAATTCTAGCCTAAGGTTCTTGTTCTGGTTTACTGTCATTGCAATTCTACCGCAGGTAGACACTTTCTACATGTCGGGCTTCTTGCAGGGTGAGGCCTTTCAAGAAATGTCATCTGAACTTGTATACTCATCTAGTCACGCTGCCATTGTCGTGGCAGGTTTACCCGGGCTGGGAGCCTGTGCAGACCAACGGCAATGTCGAAGGCCGAAGCACGTGGCTGGGCTTGGTGGCAGCGATGGGAGCCCTGGTCTTGGGCATCCATGTACAAACCTGAGAGCACGCACGCGTGCGAATGGAAGGTATTGCTTGTTGCACAAATGTAGATAGTGTGCTTGGCCTGTACATAGAGGTGTTGGCCATCAGAGGAACTGTCTAATACGGATAGATCTGATGCCTCTCCGCTCCAGCACCTGGCCAACGCTGGTTCGCAAAAAGTCCCAATATGTTCCAACGGAAAGTCCTGTTCGGGAAGCAGCACCGTCACATGCCACATGCAAACATCTCCCTCTCTCTCTCAGACTGACTGACTGAACATGTTCGCTTAGTTTGCTGTGCCCGTATCGCTGCACCGGGCTGACAGATGCGCAGCTGAAAGGAACAGCATGTAGGGGATCGCAAGGACGTTTCCTAACGCAGGGAGCTCATCAACTTGAGTGCTGCGTGCTGCTGGTGCCTGTCACGAATCATGAACAAGACAGGATCGAGGAGTGACAGGAGTGACGCTGAGGACTGCGATCCTCGAAATGTCGCAGACTGGCAAGTCAAAGCGAAACCAACGTGAAAGCAATTTGGCCGATTCTTGGCTTTGGTGAGAAGTTGATGCGGGGTGGTCGGAGTGGTGTGGCGTGATGTAACGTGCAGATCATACGTGCAGCTTATGCGCAGTTGTATGTTGCAATCCACGTCAGCTTGCAAGGAAAAGTACCAGACAGAGGGCCCCTTCACCACGGCGCCCCGGCATCTACACTTGCGATTCGTTGACTGCATCGAGCGTTCCATCCTAGAGCTTTCTTTCCCTGAATCAGGATAGCAGGAACAGGGCTGTGAGTGAAACAGTGGCAGAAACCGATTGTGCACATGTTCAAGCACAAACTTCATGTTCTGCGGTGTGCCTGGAACAATATGAATTGCTTGGCAACCTGCGACTGCGACTCCTGACTTCACAGCGCTCCCTAAACATCTTTCTGCTTCCAGCCGATGCCAGAGGATTTTGTGTGTGTTTGTGTGTTGTTGGTGATGTGTAGCGAGGGAGCGGTTAGAATTCCAGATCCACACTGGGCCTACCCCATCGACGGAATATGACGAACTAGAGTGGGCCTGAGAACTAGTTGGATACGGCGCCCTGTTGCTTTCTCTACGAAAGCACGAAACCTAGGTTGTCGCGCCATTGGAGGAAAATGACGGTAGTTGGACATCCAGGAAATATTGCATTGAGAAGAACCTTACACTCTTTGCTAAATTGTGTTTCGGTTTTTGAGATTGAGTGTGTTAGCCCGGTGTCTCAGCCCTTAAAGGTCAAGTCCGCAACCCGCAACCTGTAGATAAACAAAGCGCTATAACTACCGCTGTTTCGGCAGTTTTGGGCATGGTCGCCAAAGGGCATGGATGCTTGTGACAGCTTGACTTGTTCCACATCCTTGTGCAGTACGTTGCGCAAAGAGGCAAAAACGGTGTAAATACCGGTGTTTTTGACATGGTCGCCAAAGGCAGCATGTTGTACAAAGAGGCGACAGCGCTGTAAATACCAGTGTTTGCGCATGGACGCAATAGGAATGACGTTCTTGTCCCCCCACCCACCCACCCCCAACCCAGCCGAACATTCACAAGGCTTAACAACCCGAAAGACCGCACCATGTAGCAGGGCTCCCTATGCGGACGCCACCAACGAATTATTCCAACTCTGAATAAGCTGCCATCGACGAACCCTGAATCGGGACAGGAAGTGCTTGCTTGTAGTTGTGTGTGGTGCTCTTGTCATAATTTTCTAGCATGTTGTCTGCGGTTGGCCATTTGATGGTTCTGGGCAAAGGCTGGAACTTCTGCTCTGACAAGTTGCAGGTGTGTCAATGGCCGTAATCACACTCACGGCTACTCTACTCACTCGCAAACTGGGATGTTTCGCTTTGGTGGGTCTGGAACATCATGCCGGTATTGCAGCGCTGCTCCTTTGTTTCAGTTCCCACCCTGAGTTCATACCCCATGCGCAGCTTTTGATGTGCTCTCCCAGTGACATTGATGTCGTTACAGACTGGTGACCGGTGCATGCCAGAAGCAAGGCTACTGAGGCCCATCCCCAACTCTTAATTTCGGACCTAACTGGCTGCTAAACAAGCAGCTGTTGAGATGTTTGTGCTTGTGGAGTGTTGTCACATTGCGATTTTCTTAGACTTGTGACAATCTGTTGAAGACAATGGCAAGCTTCAGTCAACATAAAGTTGTGTCAGCTGAGGTCATGATTCGAAATATTCCAACGGAATACACGCAGGATGAGCTAATTATGGAAGTCAGCGAGGCCTCTTGGCGCCGCGGTGCAGCTGTGGTTTCTTCCTTGAAACTTCGTGAAAAACTGTACAGGTCATGGGATCTCCTCACTTCTTCGATTTCTTTTATTTGCTGGGGCCCCCGGTGGGTCACGGCGAGTCTGCATCGCCAGTGCATGTTCTCTGGATTTGTTTTCCCTGGGAGGCCGTGGGACACGCAGAATGACTGCAACATAGGCCGCTCACCCGGCTTGATGAATGCAGTTCTTGGCAGCTCGCAGGCCTCTATATGCAACACGGAAACTTGAGGCAAACCACTGCAGGGAAGCGCTTGAAAACGTTTCAGGAAGTCGACCGAAAGAGTTTCATGGAGGGGAAGCATGGTGCTGGAATCGATGTTTCCGTGAGTCGGCCGGGTTTCATTGCTTTGTAGTCCAAGCTTAGTACTGGAATCGACGTTTCCGGTGAGCCGCCTGGATTTTCATTGGTTTGTAGTACAAACTGAGCATTCGAAACGACATCTCGTTAGACGGCTGGGTCATAAAGCGTTACAAGTGAGATGAAGACAAGCGCCTCCTTCGGGATTTGCAGCCAGCAGGCACTCGAAATTGTAAGAACAGTCCAAAGCATCAGCGTCCGCCAGGTATCGTGGGTTCTGAGCCCTCACGAGTTGACAACGACGTGCAGCGTCCACATTGGTGTTTCGCATTTACTGATGTGTATTTTCTGCCACTGATGTGCAATTTTCTCCAGGCGTCCACATTGGGGTTATCGGTATTTTCGCCAACGGATGTGAGTTAAATCCACTACTTGCAAGGCAAATTCGCTGGCCACCGGCTGCGTCGGTAATGCCTGAACACCCTATGAAAATTGCGTTTCATTGGGGGCGGAGGCCCTTCAGCAACCACTTCGGGAGATATTGAGTAGCATGCTTAGGCTAAGCGGCTAAGCTTTCCTGGGGGATTCTCAATATTTCGTATCAAATTCGCTGCTTTTTGACAGCATAAAAACCCATCATTGGGGGGGAACCCGCCGTCGACTTCGTCAACTTCCAGAGTCTGCGGCGTTCATTGGGGTTTCAGGCCCCCCTTCCGCCAAAAAGGTCAACTTTCCGGAGCCCCTATAGGTTACATAAATTTCTTTTAGCTAAGCGCGGTGCATCTGTGCAATAGGCAGCGCGCACAAATGCCGATTGCTCTGAATAAGCGAGAGTTGCCAGAGTTGGGTGTTTAGTGTGCGTGACTGTGTCTAAGGCTATGTTTTCGTAAATTTCCCCGATCCTGCAGCGGCTCAAAACGCTGCCGGGGCCCAAGTCTTTCAGAGCAGGATGGTCATCACATCCGCAACCAAGCCTGAAGACGCTTTCGTAAGTTCAGTCGGCTTGCTGTTTAGCTGATTGTCCATAACTTGTTTAGAGCCCAGCTTGCCCGAACTTTCGGGCCCTCAGGTCTGTTTTTATTGCTTATGATTCTAGCTGGACCTGAGGTTCGAGCTTTTTCCAATTATCATTTCCGCCAACACGACAGCAAGAAGGCCGACCTCTCATCTGCAGTTGAGAATCAGCGTTGCCTGGAAGAATGTGTGTCCGGCTTGTGTGGCCCGCGCTATAAGCGCTGCCTAAGCTGCTTGTGCCACGGCCAATGCTTGTTGCAGGTTGGCAAGGTGTCGCCAGCGCATATCCAGGTCGGCTGACTGTTCTAAAGTGGCAGTGCTGGTCGGCAGTGGCACGTGTGCATGCAGGGCCTGGAGAACAACCTCAGGCATTTGCAGGCCTTGGCAGACAATTGTACCATCTCATCGCCCGTCAGCCGTCGACGTCTGCCAGGATCGCGCTGTCGTGCTGGGCAACCATCCATGCAGCCCCATAGTAATGTGGACTCTGGACGGCCACAGTTAAGTTGCACAAGTTGCTGGAAGTGTTACATGTCTGTGAGCACGACAATGCTCGGGAGTGTAATGATTGCTGAGGAAGGGACAGAAGGCCACTTGCAGTCTGAAGGGATCCCACTGGAATTTGAGAGTTGCATCTCACAGTTTCTCAGCTCGCAGGTGGAGCTGAGCCTGATATTCCAGGAGCTGAGGACGCAGGAGTCTCCTGCCAGCTTGCACCTGTGCAGTCACGTTCCGACCTGCAGTCTCAATGACACACCCGATGCCTCCCCGCTTGTCTTTTTGGGTTGCAGACCTCGGGCCTTGCCAACGAGCCAGCTGTTGCTGGGCAGTTTCTTTCATCCTCTGTTTCGAGCATGTGACAGGACACCCTGAGAAAGTTTGAGAGCGGACACAGTTCCTCTCCAGGCTCAGTTTCCTCAAATCCTCTGAGCCACCTGTGACCCACTAAGCGCGGGGTTCGTTTGCAGTGCACAGAGGCCATCTCGCGGCTGCACAGAATGACCTTGCCCAGGAGCCTTGAATATTACATAATAGCGCTGCTCAGACCGTTCTCAGGGAAATTCTGAGAAGAGGTTTTGCTGTGTTGGACTCGGCAGGCTGCTGCCGAGGCATTAAAGGGACCTGCTGCGCCTCCTCCGGTGGTGAATGTCGGTGAGGCTGGAATTCACGAAGCGCATGCTCTTTATCCAAAGAGTGGTCCAAGCAGTGGTCAAAGCATATTTGCTTGTGTTTACTGTGTTTTGCCGTGTTCCCGGGTGTTCCTGATGTCAGACCTTTGCTGACCTGTTGGACCGGGCTGCAGGGCTGTCACGATCACAAGGCCAGATATTCACTCAGCTTAGCTCCCAAAAAGCCCAAGGACTCGCAGGCTTGCCACAATCTGCTAGACAATGTGGCTCTTTCCCCATTGCACAGGTGCTGTGATGAACCCTGGTTTAGTGATGCCGTACATGCAGCGGGCAAGCCCTGCAAGATTGATTGCTGTGGTGCAAGAGGTGTGCGGGGTTGTGCCATGCTGACTCAGGCAGCGCCAGGAATGCAACAAGGCGTGGGAGATTTCAACGCCAGATTCCAATCTCTGTACCGATGCAAGAGGTGGCACCGGCATGTTGTCACCCCCTGGATCCGTTGGTTCGAACTACAGCATTGTGACTGGACAAGGCAGGGGCAGCAGTGCTTGTGATTTTGCCAAGCAGATGCGATCTGCGCAGGTGGTGCATCACCTGCCGCTGCTGCGTATAATCGCATGATGGCGGCTGGAGCTCAAGGCTAGCTACAGAAATCAACCAATTTAGTAGCAAAGCCAGCACACGGACGGAACAGCGACGAGCATCACAACAATCACTGGCCCGGCAGGTTATGGAAGCCAGCCTGGACTTGGCCAGGTGGTGAACATGTTGCAGACCGGGACCAAGACTTTTCTCACATTTTCTCACGTGTTTCGGAACGCATTTCTTCCTGAATCGTCTGTAGGTCCCCATCGGTTCCTTGCCAGAGACCCCCTGGCTCGGACAAGGGGGTCTCGATGGGCCCACCACCTGGCCAGTTCTTCGCAAGGCACCGAACAATCGCACCTGTCCACAGAATTCCACAGATTTGGCTGATTTGCTGTGATGTTCCCGCGTGCTCTTCAGAGGAAGCCTGAGCAGATGAGTGCTCCGAGTCCAAGCTCTTTGAATGCTTCGGCCGCGCCTTGGCCATCGCCGCAGGCTTCCGAGATCTTCAGCGAGCCAGCCGCGTTTTCGTATCGGTGAAAGTGAAAGTTCTTGATGGACAGGACTTGGCCGCAATCGGACTTGTTGCTGATCCCAATCTGTGCGCCTGAGTTGGAGCAGATGTCTTTGATCGACCAGCTCCTGTGACTAGTGCACACGGGGCATACAAGGAAACACAGTAGCAAGAGCTTGTTCAGCCTGCCTATGCAATGCGTGGCTATGCCGCGAACTTTGGAGTGTACCTAGAGTCGCGACTGGCTGGCCTCTGGAATATGGCACGCAATGGCACGCCGGCACACTTTGAAATCTTCAAAACAACGCTGCAAAGTAGTAGCTGGTTGAGCGCGTGCAATTTGCTTTTGGCCTATCAACAGTTTCGCACGCCACCTGCCCCTTTGGGTACTTGCCTTTCTGATATCGGCGTGCAGGGATACAGAGCCGTGCTGGGTGCTCCTGGCATGGCTGTAGCCATTTTGGCACGGGTCTGGAGGGCCCCGTACACTCCTCTACAAGTGCATGATCCGAAGTTAGAGATAGATAAGAGAAAGATGGAGTCAGCTGAAGGGACTTCCATGGTTTTCCCAGAGCCGCCGGAAGGTACGGCATGATGCAGAACCGGTCGGCGTGTCAGGGTAACCAAGCCTGGACTGTGCAGGGTGCATGGGACTAGGAGTGAGCTTGTGCCTTGCAGGCTTTTTACAGTGTTCGCTTTGCAGGAACGTCGAAGAGGACATCTTTGGCGGAGATGAGCAAGATGGCTCGGATCTTGAGCTATAGGAAGCAGCACGTTCATCCGGACTGCAGCTCTGCAGCAATGCCATCAGGCACGCCGTATGACTCGCGAACGCCTGCCGTCGGTCTCTTGAATCCGGAGCTTTTTGAAATCTTGCATGATTTGGCCAGTGCATAAGTACTATGGCGTTTCAAGGTAGTTTCGCCACATTCCTGGTCCGGATCCCCCACCGCACCGCCCGGCTTGGCACCGCCTCCTGGTGGAGCGCACACGGCTTAGTTAGCACACACTCTCGTTCTGCCCCAGCGAGTCGCATTGCGGTGCTGTGCATGGAGCTGGATGATGCAGCCGTTACGATCAATTTTTTCCGCAGAGAGTGCTCTGCGCGGCAGTCAAGGCACCAGCTGCATGACGGTGGCAGCCAACGAAGCATGCACGGAGCCTGTTTTCAAGTCGACTGCAGAGCTCATTCGCAAAACTATGGGCGGCTGCAAGGCTCTCTCCCCCTTCAAGTGCTTCAGGCAGGCACGCACAGAGGCACCCGCATCCGAGCTGTTGCAAGCGCAGTGCTGTGGTGTGAATGTTCTAGGCCGGGGTTGCAGTCCGGATGCACTTCCGCATCGACATCAGGCATCGCCAGAAAGCGACTCTGTCTGTCAAAAAGATGTTGGCAAGCCATGCTCAGAGGCAACGGATCTCCAGAGCTCATGGCGGGCTGCCCAGTTATGTCCAGTTGGCTAGAAGCACTGATGGCATCTGATGGCCATGTCGGCTTGGTTTTGCTTGTCCCACAGGCTCCAGCAGCCAAGCCGGAGTCTGCAGCGGTGGTGTCAAACTTGGCACCAAATAATGTTATCGTCGGAGACACAGTATTCTGCTTCATCTGAGCCATTTGCTTGCGGCTCAGTCTGTGCCGCAGCATCCGGTGCAGGGCGTCAAGGAGATAACCATGAAGAGCGCAGATCAAAATTTGCGCCCCGGCTATCTAGTTGTGTTCTTGCCGAGGAAGATGTCTGGGCGGACGATGTAACCAGCATGTGTATGGCAGGTTGGACAAGTTCATGGCAAAATTTGGCTCTCCTTGAAACGACTTCAAGGACACTCAGCTTGCCGGAAATACTCATCAGGTTGGACATGCACCCCTGTGTCGAAGGACTTTCCACCGTTCGGCTTTTCTTGTAGTTCTGGCAGTCCGCCAGAGCCTGTCCTTCAGACAAAGTCCTTTGTGGGTCCAGCTTTGCTCTCAAAGAGTTAAATTCGTGTTAGCGCTTTCAACCACTTTTCACCACAGGGGCTGGAGTCACAGTAGTGGAACATGTTCCACGGGCAGAGTTGCCAGTTTCGTCTCACTCAGACACGCCGCGGATTGTTATTTCCTCGCAGTTCAGACAAGCCGTGTGCTGCATGCACCCATGCTTTTTTTGAGGTTGCAGCCTGGAGCTTAGTAGTGAGATCACTGATTTCAAGAAATGATACTCAGCAAACACTCAGCAAACACCCGTGCCATGCAGTGCCCTCTTGCAGCAACCTGGATTGCCAGCTCCCAATGTCAAGCTGGCAACCAGCTTGCAAAGGCAGAACTTTATCCAGGTAACGTACCCGCCGCCGGTGAGCAGGCAACTCAAGCGAGCTTCGCCGGAGGCAGCTCGCGTGAGATCTGCTGTTCAACGGTGACAGCGGTGGTGCTAACATCTTTGACAGGTCAGCCTCGGTCTCAGTTCTGTGCATCAGGACGAGCAAGATTTGCCCATAAGTCCCACTAAAAAAGAGAGCTTGGCAGTGCACCGACGCAAACTGGACTCTTCATGTTCAGGCCAAAAACCATGCATGAAGGCGGCAAGATTGTTTGACTTGTTTTGCACGTTCTGCAACGTTCTTCAACTGTTTCGAAGTCAGTGTCTTGGCAAGCCTGATGCACGTCAGCATTCAAGCCACAAACCATGTCTAGCGGCTTGCGCAGCTTTTGAGAATGCACTTTAGAGCGTTTTTGTTTGCACTATTGTCGTGGGGGCAGCCGCGGTGGGCTATGCAATGAGGCTATGCAATATTGAGCAGGAAGAGTTCATTACAGTTCATTACAGTTCATTACAGTTCATTACAGTTCATCACAGTTCATTAGCCATACCTGGCGAGGGGGTGGAGGCTTCGCCATACGATGGATCTTCCTTACACCAATGGGCCAATGACCAGTGGCCGTCATGCTGGGGCGGCTTCCATGATACATCTCACGGCCAGCATGCAGCATATTCATCAGCAGAGCAAGGTCGCAACAGCAGCCAGCTGCATTGCTTTTCAAGGTTTCAGCAGGCGTATCCTAGGAAATTGACCCGCCTCCAATCCCTGGATTCACAGTCGAAGCTTGGACGGCGTAGGCATCAATGAAGCATTGGCATTGAGGAAGTAGAAGTGCAAAGGGTCACAGTTCCGAATGTCGATCTGAAGCGCACGAAGAAGTAGACTGGACGAAGTATGTTGAAACGGTGATTTATTCGACTTAGTTCGAGCCATGCTGTTGGCCGACAAGCCAATCCTCAGATCGCAGCTGTGTTGCAGCATTCCCTGCAGCATCCCTACTGCGGTGGCCAATCATTCAGTCTGGGCAGTCTTGGGATTCAACGACTGGATGTTCAGGCTTGTCTGGTTCTGGTGCCAGCCAGGCGTTGTCTACGGTCGCTCCGAGCCGATTTGTGGCCACGGCATCAACCATCAATCGCTGCAGATTTCCAGGAATGGAAAGGGCACAAATTTGCATGAGGGGAATGTCTGCTTGCCATCGAGATCGATCTCATCGAGGGTGAATAATTTGGAAATGTTGCAGGAGTGCTGCCGGCGTAGCAGCTTTCGCTACTTGTCAGCATGGTCTTTCAAGATGTTCTCTGGGCATTGTCCTAAGGGTCCCAAGATTGCTCGTTGGCAGGGTTCCTTGTTCCTTGGTGCCCCAACCCAGCATTGTTTGCAAGGTATTCAGCTTGCGGCGCCGGCAGGCCAGCGTTGTGCAGAGAAGAGCCGCCCAAGGCCGCACTTGAATACATTCGCACTACCAGTATCGTGAGCGGGTTCCAAGCTTGGCCAACCGTGCCGGAGGCAGCGGAGGCCAAAGTTCTTCCGCGTGCGTGGTGGTATGTGGCATTCCTGGCTCTGGCAAAAGCACGTGCGCCATTGTGATTCTACTCGCCATTTGTCGAAGCTTCAGCTTGTCGTTTGAAGCAGGCTCTGCCGTTTGCTGTGTGCTGCAATTGAAGACAGCGTATGGCATAATCAGGAGCAGCTTGCGGCCCTCATGTTGGCAATTACCCGCGATCTTTTGGAGGACCACTTTCCTGCTGGCCCGACAGCGAAAGTTCACTTCTTGAGGCAGCCTGTTCTCCCATCTAAAGCAAGGGATGACGTAGCAAGTGTTTGAAGTCTCATTATTTGTTAATGCATGTTAATGCGCACCGTTTGTCAGGGGTGTGCAGAGCAGCCTGGATACCGCTGCCCATTCCGATCGTGGGGCCCCGGAAGATCACGCAGCACTTCGTTGAACCGTTTTCGTTGCAGTATATGTCGGAGTACTTTCTGCTTACAGACATGTCTCTTGTGTGTGAGGTCCGGGATTGGTCTGCATAGACAAGGTGAATGTTCAGAAGGCTCGCAATGTCAAAGATTTCCTTCTTGCCGGCGCCGAAAAGCTAGACCAGTGAGTCTGCTGTCCTGCGCCCTTCGTCGCTGGGCGGGGATCAGATATGATAGTGATACGTCGGGATTCGGGATCAGGTCTGGCCTTGCTTGGAACTGAAATCCAGATTGGTTTCCCGGGAAGCAGGGGGTCGAGCAGGAGTGTCAGCTTCCCTGCAAGCCGCAAACGCGCTCAACACACTCGGAAGGCCGGAAGGCCCGGAAGGCGGCCTGGAGCACCAGAGCTCCACGGGGAGCCTGCATTGATGAACAGGGTTAACACCCCGCACCATTGCCACGCCACCAGTGTTTGAGCGACCCTGAAAAGCCCTCAGCTCATGTAAACAATCTAGGCAGGGCGCCTGAGGGCGGTGGATGGCGGTGGCCACTATCGGAAGGGTCTCCTTCCACGGGACTTGGGAGCGAAGTATGAACCATTTTTGACAAAACTCGCTTGGTTCAGGGCTTGGGGCTCAACGGTTTGGGCCATCTTGGGCTGTTTCGAGGCTGGCGAACAGGTTCTTCAAACTTTGTGTTGACTGGCTCCAACCACTCCAAGACTGGACATGGGCGGCGCGTTCCTGCACGTCTGTTCAGAAACCCGAAAGGCTGGCTTTGGAAATGCCAGCCCGCAGTTGCTCGGAGTGACGCTGATGGTTTGGCTTCAGTGAGTCCGAAGAATGAGATGGCAGGGCAAAAGCGCTATATGTCCCGAGAGCTTTATCGCAACAACTGGATGCCCCCCGAGCTTGTGAGCAAAAGCTGGCCCACAATTTTCATGTACACAAACTCTCAGCAGGGAGGCAACAGCTGGCAAGAGGCACGCGACCGACGCCGCTGTTACCGCTACTCGTACGTCGGATGCTGCTATGACTGTGTTGAACGGACTCGTCTGCGGGCTGGCACGGGGGGCAGCGCAAGTGAGTGAGTGGTTGTTGGATGACACCGCCTCAGGTGCGCAAAAAGTTTTCATGACCACTTGATGCCGCAAAGTTCTTTGCACAGGTGCACCGAGACGGATTTTGGCAACAAGCTGAAGCAGTTGGCTGGAAGGACATTCCGGGAGTGGCATGGATACACTACAATTAGAGATTACAGCAGCTTGAAGGAGAAGGGCGGCATCACCATCTTTTGTGAGCTGACTTCGATAGACGATCTCCTGAAGCATTGTCAGTCAGCGCCCAGCTTTGCAATGCTTTGCATACGGATTTGTTCACACTTCTCACAGATGGAGACTTTCACAAACGTTGCGGTGGGTCTGGCAGCCGTTCAGGCTTTTAGGTGAAGCATGCGAATGCCGAAGTTAGGTGTATGAAGCATGTGCATGCCTAGCCAGAGAAACAAGCACATGTGTCTCATTCGTCCAAATTCGCAGTCACGTCTGCGGCACAAGATTTGAAAGCAGGATGCCACACAGCTGGAGGTAAAGCATGAACGAATGGCAAGAGCATAGCCATGACGATTGGTGAGGAGGCCTTGCAGAACATGCAAAGCTCACTTGCTTGACCTGAATGACGTTTTCGAGACGTCAGGATGATACGTATTTGGGCCTGCATGGCAGAGCCCGCAGCGCACCAACACAGGCACGGCCTCATGACGTGTCACCTGCACCATACACCGTGAAACAACGACGTCGTTCCATCTCTGGCCAGACGAGGCTTCAGCTCACGACCGACGTCAGATTCGCGAGCGCAACCCACCGCGCACAGCAGTCCGACGCTTCCTCTGGGAATCCCCTTAAGCCTTGTAAATCTGTCAACTATGTCAGCCTTGAAGTATCTCGAAATATGAGAGAGTGAGAAAATTGTGAGAGGCTGCAGATTGCAAGAGTGACGACCTCAGGTCGTCGGAGCGCATGGAAGGGTGAAGTTGCAGGGACCAAAAGGAGGCTCTGTGAACTTGTTCCTTCAAGGGGCTGCGCCCATGGGCCATTGGCGGGCAGCCGCGGGCAGTAGCAAAGGCTGCTGATGCTCATGATGTGCGCCCCTGTGGTGCTTCATGAGCAACATCGCCTTGAGCCGTGCGGGCCAAGGATGCTCGTGATGCTCTCTTGAGTTTCTTGCCGGACCGCAAAAAACCATCATGCCTGCGAGAATAGCGGCTAGCGGCTAGCGCGTTTCAGGCGCTCCCCTGCGTGGCCCAGGTCGTTGAACTAGCTAGGTTTTTTGCTTGCAAAAGCAAAGCTTGCAACCCCTGAGCGGGGGCAAGCCCAGCCTGATTTTAGGCCTAGCGGCAGAAACTGGAACATCTGGAGCGTCAATGGCATCATTATCCTCATACCTACAGGTGTTTGCGAGAGGGCGCAGGGGAGTGGGGGCTTCCATCATTTTTGGAAGAAAGTATTTTCAAATAGAACCCCGAAACACCACCTCGCCACACCGGAGCCCCGGTTTGAACAGTTCTGGGTTGGGATGTTTCAAGGTTCTGGGGTCAAAGGCTGCAAGGGTTCCGGGGCTGAGGGTCCAAGCCGCTGAAGCTCATAATGCAGGTGCTCGTGCATGCAACACCATCGCGTTCTTTCTTCTTTGTATGTGTTATTCATATTTTCTTTTTCTTTCTCTTTCTTTCTCTCTCTTCCTCTCTCTTTCTCTCTCTTTCTCTCTCTTTCTTTCTCTCTCTTTCTCTCTCTTTCTCTCTCTTTCTCTCTTTCTCTCTCTTTCTCTCTCCTTCCTCTCTCTTCCTCTCTCTTCCTCTCTCTTCCTCTCTCTTCCTCTCTCTTCCTCTCCCTTGCTCTCTCTTCTCCTCTCGCTTTCCCCCTCTTTTTCTCTCCCTCTCTCTCCTTGTCTCTCCTTGTCTCTCCTTCTCTCTCCTTGTCTCTCCTTGTCTCTCCTTCTCTCTCCTTCTCTCTCCTTCTCTCTCCTTCTCTCTCCTTCTCTCTCCTTCTCTCTTCTTCGCTCTCGTCCACTCTCCTTCTCCATCCTTCTCTCGCCTTCTCTCGCCTTCTCTCGCCTTCTCTCCCTCTCTCCTTCTCTGGCCTTCTCTCTTTCTCTCTTGCTCTGCTTGTCTCTTTCTGGCTTTCTGGCCTTCCTTTTTTTGTTTGTCTCCTTTCTCTCTTGTCTCTCTTTTTGTTGGCTTTCTTTCTTTCTTCCCTTCTCTTTGCCCTCTTCCTTTTTCTTTCTCCCGGCTTCCATTTCATTCTCTTCTTTTGTCATTCATGTTTTATCAATGGTTTCGCGTGTCTTTTCTTTGTTTTTCTCTCCCTCTCTCTAAGTCTCTCGTTTAGGTTACGACTTTCGGGGCTCAGCAGTTTAATTAAGGGTTTTTGGGCTTATGGGGCTTAGTTTCGGCTTTCGTGGTTCAGGCCTTCAAGCCTTTAAGGGTACACGGGTTCAGAGGTTGAGGGGTGGAGGGTTTCTGGTTTAGAGGTTTGTCAGTGTAGGGGTCCAGGGTTAAGGGGTCCTTGAATTCCTGGACCAAAGCCGCTGATTCTCATGATGCCGTTCCCCAGGAGGGTGCCTAGAGCAGGAGGATGTGGGTTGTCGCTTTCACTTTGATCCCTATGAGGAACTGGGCTTTTTGCGGCTGTGTTGTGTGGGTGCCAAGCAGGGAACCATGGGGGGGGGGGGGGGGGTTGTTGGAGGGGGAAGGGGCCATAGGCAGGGTTTTTTGGGCGGTGCAGGGAGGGGCCATGGGCATGCTCCGGGGCAGGGAGGGAGGATGAGGAGCGCAAACGCACGGCCCTTTCCGAGGTGGATTGTGAAGAAAGAGGGGGCGCGCGGGGGAAGAGCATATGGCGAGGATTGCGAGAGAGGAAGGGGGTTTAACGAAGCGGGAAGAGCATAGGGGGAGGAATGCTGCTTGACGCAGACCAAGGGAGTCGGCGGATAGCTTCGCGGCTTAGCAGCTGCAGCTGGTGCTGAGCTGTGCGGAACATCAGGTCTGCCTTACTCTCCATCAGTCTGAGCCTCTGCGTGCCTTCGGAGCTTCGCATAGTCGTAGCTTCACACGAGCCGAGGACAGCGCTGCCTTCTTTGGGGAGCCAGGCAACAGTTAGCTTTGGAATGGTTTGGCGTGGTAAGCAGATGTGAGCAGACTACCACTAAAATTCACTGGAGGCGCGAGCAGAGGCTTTTCCCGTTGCATGACAACTGAGCCGGCACCTTAGGAGCTTTAAGGGACCCTTTTGCACTGACCTCACCTCAACCTCACCTCAACACCTCAACTTCAGTGAATGGGCTGTGAGGTCTGCGACATCTTTTTATCTGGCAAACAGTCTGACACGATCCATCATTCAGATTGGGCTTGCGGAGGCACGCTAGCTCGTTTCTGAGGATCCTGGCAGAGGTTATGTCAACATGGTTGGGATTTGTGAAATTTCTTGAGGCTCTGTTGGCCGTAGTAATTTAAACGATTGTCCAGCTCGTCAGGTCAACTCTCAATCTGATGCGACTTCTGCGCTGAGCGAGTGCCCAGATTGAATGGCTGAATGTGCACATTATGTCATGGAGACCCAGCTCTTGTAAGGGAGCCTCCGACAACAGGCCAATGCGCAGCAATTCCGCAGCAAAAGTGGACATGGGTTAATTTCGGCAAAAGCAGAGGGAGACTTTGACAGGCACATGGACATCGGAGGCTTTCTGGCTGCATTCGACGGAGCACTGGGCGGAGCACTCGGAGAACTCACTCCAACGCGTAGCCGCGATCAGGTCCCGCGGGTGCTTCCAGGAAGTCAGCTTGCCTCCCTGGCCGCTTTGGTGCACTTTGCCGTGCAGTGTAGACGATTCCATCCGAAAACCGACGGTCGAAGCACATGCACATCTTTTGCTGGGCTGTGTTTTACATAGTCGTCACGGTACAGGTATTACATGGTATTAGTATAGTATGTGTAGTTATTATTGCTGTCATTATCATTTTCTTTTTATCAGTTCTATGTGGAGGGATGCACAGACACATGTATGTGGAAAGGACACGACTCCTCTGCACTCTCCATCCATGGGTCAGGAGATGCTGTGGCAGTTGCACACATGCAATGCAACGTACGGCACATAAAGCCGGGGATACTTGGGTGTGGAGAGTCTGAGAGGAGACGCCCCAAGAAACCGAAGCAGCCGCTTCTCGGACCCCGGCTCAGCAGACTCTCATCTGGTGGGCCGTTGACTTCGCCCTGTCTGAGACAAGCACTCACGAAGCAGAGTCGTTGCTGTGTGAGGCAGACCAACGATCGCCCAGAGGCACCGCCGAAACACTTCTGGTTTGTACTTGTTTGTGCATGTGACGAGCAAATTCAAGTGGTTCTCTGAGTAGCGTCGGAGTTCGCTTTGCAGGAGTTTGATCCGAATTTGTCCTGGTCTGCGAAAGTGCTCTTGCAACTCTCTGAACAGGCCGTAAAGAGTAAAGAGTGTCAAGATGTTTCAAGCAGAGCTGCTGAGCTAATCTGAGCAGCTTACATAATTGCAGCATGACTGGACAGCTCTCTTCCCTGGTTCTGATTTCTGCGGAGGCAAGTTTTCCCAAGACTTTGCCTCAGAGGCACCATTTTGTCCGACCGTTCCAAGCTTTTGCTTGCTGCCAACGGACACAGCTAAATCGCAGCTCAATGTACTTCACACATAGGCTATCATAGGTTGCTTTGAGGGACGGTGTGCTTCTTCCCATGTTTCCACAGCAGGGACTTTGACTTCAGTCCGGGTCACTTGGCAGCGCTGTTTGGCATCGACCTCGCAAAGTGCTCCCAGGCAGGTCCGATTGTCCCCCTCCAATCCCCTCCACAAACTCAAACTCACAGCTTCCAACATTGAGACATGCGGCAGAAGTGCTGATGACATGTGACGCAGGAACAGACCTCGAGTAAGCCATTGTGCAGAGGCTCGACGTACGTCAAAAGCTGTCTCGATGTACCACAAAATGCAGCTTTTTAGAACACTTGACAGAACCATCTGGAAGTTCACATAGGAATGAGAGACTCGTTGTTCTCCAGGCAGGCCAAGCATTCCAAAGTCCTGGCCTCGACAGCGTCGACACACAATTATAGACTCAAAGACCCACAAAGACGTAGGAGACTGTGTCATGCTGCGGCGCTCCAGTCCAGGCTTGATTTGGCTCGTGTCAAGAGGGACGAGGACGAAGACGATGACGAAGATGAAGACTTTGAGAACAAGGCTGGTTAAAGTCAGAGCTTCGCCAAACTTGTGCATTCATGGCTCCTGGTGCGGATCTAGCAGCCTCGTGGGGCTGAGACCTGTTGGGCATTCAGCTGGGCAGGTAGACAATAAACAGGAGCAACTACCATCTTGACATATCTTGACCGTAGATGCTGCAATTTCGTCTTTATCTCGACCTGTCTGTGTTTTACTTGCTGAGACATTTCCGGGCAACATGTCGGCGTGTAGAGTCTTGAGTGTTTGAGATGTTTGGGCTGCTCTGGTTTCTGTCGCTTGTGTTCGCCCCCTGTGCAACTCCGGCGTAGCACGGCGAGACACGTTTGCGGAGCCAAGAGCTGACCCCGACACAAAATCGAAATCCAGCCTGCCCGGACCATCCCAGTACCGCAATCTTCGGACCTCCGGCAGTCCCCGATGAACATGATGAGCTGAGAGTTCACCGACTTAACCTAGCCGGGTGCTGGTCAGGTGGGGTCAGAGGCGACTGGTGTAAAAGCAGAGCTGAGCCCTAAGGAATCCAATCGAAGGAATCTGACATTGTGTGGGTAACTTTGGGAGACTGGGAGCCTGTGCTCGCCTTCCGAGGTTCATGCCGCAGAGACCGAAACCTGTGGAGATCCCTCCGTTAGCTTTACCAGGCCACACCAACTCAGACCTTTGCGAGATCATGTGGGAGTGCCCCAGACTGAGAGTCAGGCCAAGAGTCAGGCCGAGAGTCCCAGATGCCCCGTGAGGTTCAATCAGTGAGGCCAACGAGGACATGTCGGCCATGCCAATGCAACGAGCCAAGTCTGTCCCTCAGACGGGACAGTACTCTCCGAACTCTCCAGCAGACGGTTGTGTCTGGTGTCTTTTACTTGCCCCTTTCAACTCAGAGCTGGCAACTTGATTTGATTCTTATAGGAGCCAGAAGATCCTTCCATCAGCACATCCAGCCCTTCGCAAGTCCAAGAAAAACCTGACAATGAGCCCTGGATGCATTGAAGCCTCATGAGGCCCGTGAAAGTTCTTGAAAGCGGCAATACCGGGCAATGCTGGCAATGATCGAGGTACTGCGATGATCTTACCCTCATGCTTCTCAAGCAGCGCCATCCGCTCAGTGGGCTTTGAATCGTTGAATCGACGAGTCGAAAAAGAACATGTCATTGCCGCACCATCACCGACAGTCTGTGGAGCCTTTGGCTGCCGAATGCACGTAAAGGAGTCTTCTCCGGTTGCAATTTTTCTTTCAGTCAATTGCTTCTGCACTGGCTGACTGTCCAGGTCGGTCCTTGGGACGGAAGCCAGTCAAGCTTCGCAAAGAAAGCGCTGTGCAACTGCCTGCTCTGTCAGGCTCTTACTTGAGATTCTGCAGACAGTTCAAGGGTACTGCAGCAGAATGTCGGTACGGCCCTGAGGCCGAAGAAAGAGGCACAGCAGCGCAGATCACCTAATCGTGTGCAGTCTCTGGATGTTGCGAAGCCTGGAAGGCCTCGATGTCAATGTCCCAAAGCAGAGACAGCAGGGAGCCCTTCGAGGTGCCCCAATACAGCTGGAAGTGCGGCATATGAAGAAGTCAAGACATGTCAACAAGAGACCCTTGAATTTCATTGAGTTGCCTGTTGTGTTGTTTTCTAGAGTCAGAAGCAGAAGCGTCAGGAGAGCGTCGTGCATGCGCACTTCCACTACCACTACCACCTTCCTGGCCTCCAAGGTTGCTGTTTCTCTTGCCCATTCTTTTCAGCATTCTGTTAAGCATTCTTTCTGAGTTGAGTTCTTGGATGTTCGGCTTCAAGCTGGCAGGCAGGGCTGAAGTCAGCAAGCCCGCAATGGAGCCCTGCTGAGCCGTCTTAACGGTCTTAACGCCACACAGCCTGCGTATGTTTCTCTGTAAAGAGCATGCTCTGGCTGTGACACTGCTCCCATCAATGGGACCGGTGTAGTGTAACCCGAATAAACGCGCAGCCAACGCGCATGAATGCGCATGCTGATCGCATTCCATCAACGCTGCCCATGTGTTGAGCCAGGCTGGCGCTTTTCCTAGCCTTGGCTCGCACGAGTCACAGAAGTCGTTGGCGGCCGGTCTAAGAAGATTGTGTCTGATTCTCAAGGATTTGAAGAGGCAGACCACAGGCCCACAACCCAGGCGTGCTTTTCCATCTCTCGGCATATCAGAAACCTGATTCCCGGGAGTCATGCCTGCCACCAGTGCAGTCAGCGGAGGGGCCTTCGCAGCCGCAGTTTGAAAAGAGACTGGCTTCAGAAGCATCTGGGCTTCCATCCCAAGCATCAAGCAGCTAGGATGGGCATGCGCAGGTCACGCATCGAACAGCGTGGCGCAGCCCACAACTCGCTACACCCTTCGCCGAAATTGCCAGCAAGGGCCTGGACTGCCCGGTGTGTGCACAAAAGAATCGGCTCATTTCTCCGAGGCGATACTGCGCAGGCAACAGCTCAGTTGGGAACCGCTAGATGAAGGCGAGTTAGCTCGCTTTGATGCCCATGCCGAAGCCCCAGCTAGCTATCGAATGTTCCAAGCGTCTCTCCTGTACAAACCTCAGGTCGAAATTGATGTGGGCGTCCAGGCGGTGGATAAGGCCATGAAGGCCTCACCCACCTCATGACCCAAGCCAGACAACGGGTATCTTCGGGCTTCTTGAAAGTCTAATATTTGACACAACACTCGAGCCGAACGCCCCGAAGCGCCGAGTTCCTATAGCATGTTCCTTGGAGTACAGGAACCCTACACCCTGATTGCAAAATCGTGTGTCCAAAACAAGGGTCAAAATAAAGGCAAAAAGGGACCAATAAGAAAATACCCTAAACCCTTAGCTCTATATCTAGGCCTTAAACCCTAAACCCTAAATCCTAAATCCTACCCCAAACCTTAAACCCGTGGTTATTTGTTTTTGTTTGATCCTTTTGTGTTTGTATTTTGATCCGGCAGCCCAAAGTGCTGCAGGTCATCACAGCGCTTCGTCGCCTGGGTTGGTCTCCAAGATTGCGGTCACTTGCCAGCGCGAATCCAGAATCTGACGAGGCTGATTGTCCGATGCCCGTCATGCCCTGGGTGTTGCTGTACCCCCTGCAAACACACCGCAGCATCTGCCCAGGTAATGTCAGCAGGGAGCGTAAGTCTTTGTAGGCTTTTCCTTGCCTAGCATTGCCCTTTGCTGTTGGAGCCTGCAGCATATTCAGCGTGCAAATGCCCATGGCATCAAGCGGAGAAACAGAGTAACGAAGGCGACCAGTGATTTCCGATCCCACCAGATGCCTGCAGAATCACGTCCCGAACCTGTCTCGCACTTGTTCTCGTCAAGAGTGAGAAAGTTGCAGAGTTGGAAAAGGGAATGGACGGCAAGCAGGCGACATGATCAACCAGAGAGATATTGAGATATTTGCCTGTCCAGATGTTGGTTTGGCAGCTGAACGAAAGAAACTTTGAGGAGACGCCCCGGCCATTTCAGGCTGTAGCTTTCCAGGCTTTCCACACGACAAACACGCGATCAAGGCGGATTCGCAGGTCAAGGCACCGACTGGAAGTGCTGACCGGAGTCCCATCTGGTTTCCCCTGAGCAAAAAAACACAACAGCAGCCAGGCTGCTGTTTCATGCGTGGCTCCTGAGCATCAGCCCCCGATTCTCGTTGTTACCTACGTGTTTCTAGTACATGCAGCTGAGCGTGTCAGAGATTTGCTCCGGTTGTGAGAAATGCCCGAGAAAGCGAGACAGTGGGCAAAGTCATGCAGATGTTGGACACCAAGCTTCGCCATTTCAGGTAGGTAGGGCAACAGGTCATATGTCAGAACTGAATGGCCGGAGAAATCCTCCTTATCCTGTTCCTGGTTTGGCTTGCTTAGCGGTACAGCTCGCACTTTGCTTGCCAGTGGGTGGCCTTCCCGCGTCTTGATCAGCCAACGTATTATTGGTGCCGCTGGCATGTCTGAAGACCTATGGATGCCACAGTGCTGCCAGTAACTGCCAGTACGTGAGTAGAGCATTCCATACACAGGAGGAACACGCATCATGTCAGGAATCGTCGAACAAACCAGCGGCTGCCCCAGTCCTCTGCAGATGCGTTTCAGCGTTGCAACATGCCATTTCCCATGCGGTGTACGGCATGAAGCATCAAACGCAGGTCTGTGTGGCAAGTTCCGAAGGTCACGGCGTAGAGCAAGCGGAGTGAAGACGTTGGAACATGCACTTGCTGATGCCTGACCTGCAGGGAGTGGAGCCTGCTTGGATTGGATACCCAGATGGAGACCACGCATTCTTCAGGCTTTGCAGTTTAGTCTTCCATGTTTTTTTCAGAGTTTTAGAGCCGAATCTACAGGCGTTGGTTCGAGATTTTCTCAGCAGGATTGTTCCATCGCATGACGTGCACCAACATGATCTTATGCTTCGACAAATTGTATAACTTCAGCACGAGGCAGGTACCAAAGGCATAAGGAAAGTGGCCTGTTCTCAAAGCCAGAACAGCACCACGAAGCCTCCCATGCTGGTCCGTCGCTTCGCTTCTGCTCGATGCGTTCGAGGCTTGCAACTCCTTTTGACGGTAGGCCAACTGGCTTATGTTTGCCACGAGTGACCAGAAGATATGCCTGGGTATTGGCAGGCACATGGGCGCGATGCAGGATCTACAGTCACGGCACACACCAGCCGCAAAGCATGAGGTGTCTGGTACCAGCTAGGTTCAATGCCAGCTCAAGTTCGCCCTCAAGTGCAGCTTGGGGCGCACAGCATCTGTTTTGTTGCATCCTTCTGGCGGTAGGTGGAGAGGTGGAGAGTCGCCTTGACATGTAAGGAGTCCAAAGACAAAGAGAGAACTACTGCATCGCTTCCTCAGCTCTGGCAGATATTGCGACCTGAGCGGGGACGACTGCAGCTCCTTTGCTGACACATCTCCGTGTATTTTCACACTTGCATCGCACATTCGCTCGTCGCACCATTCTGTTCTTTTGCGGTAGTCCTGCTGTTGGTCGCAAATTTCTCCAAGACAGAGTTACCTGAGCCTGGAAAATGCAAATAGTCACCGGACTGTCTAGGCTGCATGCTTAAGGCTTGGATTGCTTTTCCACAGCGTGCACGCTTACGTCCTTTCACGTTTGGTTCACTGTTAAGTCCAATGCTGTCAGCCACCAGGAGGGAGGCGGTCGAGGATCCACTAAGCATCTAAGCAGCGCTGCGCAGAAAGGCTCTGCCCGTGAGCTTCGTTCTCAAGACCTAAGGTTGGCACTTGCAGCGCTGTGCGCATCGTCTTCCGTCAACTTGTCTGGGCCCCGCGCTACTCTGGAGCTTTGCAGCCGTTGAGTTGGCATTCTGGCATGTAACTAAGGTCGTACCCATATCTTATGGGAAAGCTTGTGGATCTCTTTGGGCAAGGTGCCGATGGACTTCATTTTGTCATGGATCATACTTGGCTTTGTGCCGGGTTCATGGTGGCAGGTGGTTTTGCCACATTTTGCAGGTTATACCTCATTGAAACGGCCATTGAAAGAATTGCTTTCCGTCTGCGCCGCGAGTTCTTTTGGGCACTTATACAACGGCCGATCTCCTTCTTCGATGCAAACAAAACCGGCGAGCTGGTGAACCGCCTTGGCAACGACATCACCATGACGAGCCGGGTTCTCGTCGATGCATCGGCCGGGATCCGAAGCTGCATCACTGCGTGTGTGGGCACCTGAACCTCGGACTTGGAGCAACTAAACCTGTAGTCATCTGTGGCCGTGGTCACGGAAGGTCTGGGTAGCCGGAAAAAGCTTTGCGCTAGTTGAACTCGGTGCACATAGTCATGCCAGGCGCTAGCATCCACTAGCCAAGGCATGGTTTTCCAGCTGGCGCCAACGGAGATGATCCTGGGCTTTCTATCGCCGGTCGCTGCACTCTTTGTCGTTGGTTTCGGGTACGGCCGTGTTGTTCGCCGCATTGCAGAGAAGCGGCAGCAAAGACTGGCAGAAGCGGTCCAGCGTGCGGAAGAGCGGTTGGGTGGAATTCGGACGGTGAGGACTTTCAACGCTGAGAAGTCAGAGCTGGCTGGCTTCGAGAAGATGCTGGACTCAGTTTATGAAGCTGGTTGGCAGAATGCTCTCGCGACTGGGGGCCTCGCCTGTTTCTTTGTTACCGGCGGTGGACTGTTCCTGATACACATAATCTACAATTGTGGGCTGATGGTGACGAGCGGTGTGGTCAGCATTGGGACGACAGTCAGCCTCGCCATGTACTGCTTCATGGCGGGTTCAGCATACACCGGGATCATGACATCGTATGGAGACATACAGAAATGCCTTGGATCTTGTCAGAAGGTGTTGGAGATCCTGTCGGCTCACGGTTCTATGGATGCAAGGCCCATGCTGACAGAGAGCATCAGGAATGCAGTCTCCGCTTCGCATCCGTCGCATCCGTCACATCCGTTGCACCCACCCCTGGCTGTGAAGTTTGAGAACGTCCACTTCACTTATCCCACAAGGCCGACTCCGGTGCTCCAAGGCTTAAATCTGGACATTCCTGCTGGGGCGCGTGTGGCACTCCTTGGGAGAAGTGGCTCCGGAAAGTCCACTGTCGCTTTGCTGCTTGCTGGCCTCTATCCACCCAGCGAAGGCAAAGTGATCGTAGACGATCGCGACATGTATGCTGATGAAGAGACAGCATTCTGGGTGCGCTCGCAGCTTGGTGTAATCAGCCAGGAGCCAACACTCTTCGCACTCACCATCCGAGAAAATGTTGAATATGGAGATGAGACTCAGCTGACTGAACAAACTGTTCTCGAGTCGATAGCTGCGGCACATGTGAATGAGTTTGCGGATCATCTGCCGCTTGGCTTGGACACCCCTGCCGGAGAGCGGGGTCAGGCCCTGAGCGGAGGTCAGAAGCAGCGAGTTTGCATCGCACGCGCCTTGGCACGCCGGCCAAGAATGCTCGTGTTCGATGAGGCAACATCAGCCCTGGACCTTCGCTCCGAACGTCTGGTGCACAAAGCCTTGAAAGAAGTCTTATCGTCCGGAGACTGCACGTGTCTCGTCATCACGCACCGGACACTTAACTGCAAAGCACAGTTAAGCACAGTCCGTTCCAAGTTGGGAAGTTCGTGATTTGGGAGCACGATCAGTGTCTCTTATGCACAGTTGCCCCCGGACTGTTCAACCAGTAGCACATTACTTGTCCTGACAGCCTGACAGCTGCACATGGGAAGCGTTGGCAGGATGAGCGCTCTGGAATGGTGCGATCATGTGGCCGTTGTCAGCCTGCCGCGCTTGCACCATCTCAGAACTCCCTGAAATAGTTGACTCAAGAAGGATGTTCACGTGAAGATCATGCTAGGGCCAGCTGCTAGGGGCAAGCCAGGTGCACGAAGGAAGAGTGGTTCAGTATGGCCGCCGCCTTAGCCTGAAAGCTCGTTCAAAAATTGCCAGAGTTTTGAAGCAAGCCACCATATGACAAGAGCCAAGGTAAGAAGAGCGAAGTCTTGAAGAATCCATGTGCTGCCTTGGAGAGCATTCTCAGAAAAGATGATCTTCTTCTCAATGAGGAGACCTGAGCCGGAGTTGACAGCTTCCAATTGAAGCAGGAGAGTTTCACTCACGCAACATGCAGACTTGGCCAAGTTGGGCGGAGTGCCTAGCTGCACTAAGTGCAGTCCTCATCGATTTTCGCACAGATCTGCGCGCAGCAAGATGCACAGCTGCCTTACCCGGGCTGTTCAGCGGCTGTTCGGTTTTCAGTGCACATTGTGAGAATTGTTAGAGGGCATTCTTCCAAAGGACGCGTAAAGCGAGCAAACTGTGACTGTGCACCATCTGCTTCTCTTTTGGCGAGGTGCGCACGGACTTCAGAAACTCTGTGGCAGCTTCCTCCAGTGGCGCAGCTCTGAGAATACGAATGGTGGAATCGCATAAGTTTTGCTACAGTCAGTAATGTGACCCCTTCTCTTGCACGAGACCGTGACCAAGTACTTGCAGCTGAGGCCAGTACATCCTCAGCATGGCCTTCCGCAGCAAGGTGCCAAAACGTAGAAGACCAGCTACAGTATCTGCTGGAAGTGGCATCCTTAGCATGTACCAAGCTGCCATGGCAACAGGGTAGCTTGAATGTAAAGCCTTAAGTGAGGCCGAGTGGGCACGCCTACAGGGTCGAGAGGAGTCCATCCGTCAAATCGCTGCGCAGTCGTAAAAACAGTGTGATCGAGCCCAAATGTGGATAGCATTGCGAGACTGGCAGACCAATAAAACCACTGGACCTGGAAGCTTGCATCCTTAAATTTCCTCCTGGAGCTTCCTGAAGTGCGTTGTACTACGCTTGGTGCACCTCATGTCCTGTAAGTAAGGCCCAAAGACCCTAGCCGCAACCCCACGAAAAGTTTCTTCGATCCCTCTCAAGCGATTTGACACATCTCAGAAAATGCCATAGCCTCGTTCGGTTCACTCATAACGCCCAGAAATGTTCAAATGACGGACCTATGCAGCACCAAATCTCGCGATCCGTTTAGTCCGTTGAGTTGGAACCTTTAGCGTCATCACGGCCACTTTGCCCACTTTGTCATGGCAGCTTGCCCGCTGCAAGTGGCTGTACGAATCCGGCCTCCGCAGCCACACGATGGGAAAGCTGGAGCGCCTGCAGTAGAGGCAGCCGATGGCGTGACGTTACAAGCCAAAGAAGGCTCAGAATCCAAGCAGTTTGCTTTCGACCGGGTCTTTGGACCTGTGCCTTGGCTGTCAAAAGGAAGAAGAAATCAAAAAGACTTTCTGTGCGTCTCCATGTTTCTTTGACTAATCTATGGCAGTGCAGAGTTCACACCCTCACCGAGGAGGCCACACAGCATGAGGCGAAGAGCTTAGTTGCAGGAGCGATTGCTTTCGAAGCTTCCATAGCAACATTATGATGCACCCTGCATTTCATCTAGAATCGAAAATCTTTGAACTTTTCCCTTTGCTTGGCCTGGGGAAACCCATCTCTAACAGCATGAGGTGTACACTTTTTGCGCTTTGCCCCTGGTGGATGCCGTGATCAGCGGCACAAACGCTTGCATTTTTGCATTTGGGTGCACAGGTGCCGGAAAAACACATTCCATGCTGGGCCCAGAGGGTGGACGTAAGCAGGCGAAGCAAGATGGGATTCTCCCAAGGGCAGCTGCCGAGCTCTTCAGGCGCATTGCACGACTGGAAGCGGAAGCCAAGGCTGCAATCGGAGCCGGGGGATTTTCTGCCTACGAGGTGCGAGTCTCTTTCTTGGAAGTCTTCTGTGAGAATGCTTTCGACCTGCTCAGCGGACCAGTGTCTGCTTCGCGTGATCCGGCAAGCTCTTGTCAACTCCGTGAAACAACAGACGGGCGAGTCTATGCAGATGGGGCGAAGGAGGAGAAGATCCGATCCTGCGAGCAGTTATTGGATGTCGTGGCCCAGGGTGCCAAGGCTCGAGCTACGGCAGCAACTGGAGTTCACGCCCATTCTTCTAGATCTCATGCGCTGCTCATTATGTCTGTTGAGCATCGCTGGCGAGACGTTGCAGAGACCGACCCGCAGAAGTGCCTTAAGTGTGAAGCTGTGCAACGTTTCGATCGTTCAGTTGCGGGTAATGCTGAAGATGTCCTGTCCGCAAGAGAAACGTTTCCTCAGAATGAATAAATCTTGCAAGTGCCCAGGTATCGATCGCAAACAGCACGCCTGACATTGGTGGATCTGGCTGGTGCCGAGTCGATGGAGCGTTCGCATGGTGGGAGTGTGGACGCTGCTGGTGTTGGTACTAACATGGGTTTGCTTGTTTTGGGGCGCGTGATCCGAGCCCTGGCAGAAGCCTCAGAACGGGTGCCATACAGAGACTCAACCTTAACCCGACTTATGCAGAGCAGCTTGGGCGGCAAGGCCAAGACACAGATGCTGGCCTGCATAAGTCCAGCAGAAATTGAGGCTGGACTGACAATGCAAACCCTGAAATATGCAACCAACGCGCGGAGCGTGATTCTGAAGCCGGAGGCTGCAACAGTTACAACAGAGGTTGAGTTAGACCCAATGCTGACAGATGTTGAAGATGACGATGTCGCTTTAAATCGTCGATGCCTTTGGATTGAGACTGCCGATTTCGGCGATGTATTTGCTCGCTGTGTTGGGAATCCTGCAGACCCGCTCATCCTCTATGTTCACGGGTCGGGACCTTGCAACAGCTCAAACTTTTGGAGCAAGCTTGTGGTCGATGTCGCGATTCTGGCCAGCGCAGGCAGCCGCAGAATCATAAGCCTTAAATGTCCGTTGACGCCGGAAGGGTTGTCAGAGCTTGTACGCGGGACTAGCTTGAGGCATGTACTGAGGTTTGTTGTGCTTGTGCTACCACTTGATTCCCAAGACTGAGTGTTTCTTGTGGCTGCCATGTCATTAGGGGAACAAGGGCTCAGACCGGGGTCCTTAGACAATGTGCAGCGCTGTCCTAAGTTGAAAGAGCACAGCTGCCAATAAAGCATTCCGATGAAAGTCAGTCAACAGAATCAGATCGATGAAAACTGAAACAAGTCGGTCAAAGTTCTAAGATCTAAGTCAAATCAAAGTTGAAAAGATCCACATTACACGACAAGCATCCTCGCTTCCAAAAAGCCTCGAACCCAGGCCCAGGAACCAAACTGCATGGACTGGAAAGTGTGTTGGCAGCCGGCGGAGGTCGGGCGGGAGTGGAGCAGGGCTTAATTTCTTTCTAGACAGAACTCAAATCCCAGGACTTTACCGAGTTAAGATCAGCTTAAGTTAAGGAGAATATGAATGGCACCCTTTCTCTGTTATTCAAACGTAATCTGGTGGAAATCCGGGCTTAAAGGCCGCCAGATCTTTGCACCCTAAGCTAGTGACTGAACTGTTTCGCAGCTTCAAGCTGTTCGAGGTAGGGTAAAGATCATGTTGGGGCCATTCAATTCGCGCAATCGGCTGTCTCCTCCAATCTCGTTGGCCTTGCCTGTCGCTTTCATTGTGGTCGCTGCCGTATCCTCAACTTTGTTTTCCTATTGGGCCTCATCTTTGGCATTGCCTCCGCCCTTGCCCCTGTTTAAATGTGAACGCTTGCGCGCGCCGCCTCGGCAGCCGGGCCGGCAGGTCCAGCTTGAGTTGGTTTTGAGGGTGTCTTTGTGTTTCGCTACAGCCGCTAGGGGTGTGCGTTACCTTGCTGGTTTAAAATGGTTAAAAGAGTCATCCTGATGTTTCGTCGTTCCAGATCACTTGCAAGTCCTTGGGGCCCCCAGCCAGGCCTACCTCAGTCCCGCCGAGCATTCCTGGAGCGCCACCCCCAAAGCATTGAGAGTCCAGCGACAGAAGCTTTCAGCGGATCCTGAATTTCAGTACCTGTCCGAAACGGCAGGATGGCGTCCACATCGATTAGCTGATGGGGTGGGGATGAGCGGAAATACAAAAACACCAAGCTGTTGCTCCTGCTGACTTTGCCTCCCGAACACGCTTTTTTGTTGCAAGCAACCTTGGGCAAACACCCTGGGGTTCAAAGGCAAGCCCTCCGCTGGCGGTTTTTGGGGTTCGCCTTTCTCACAACCTCTGGGTGAAGAAAAAGGTGAGCCTTACAAGAAGGAGCCTTGTTTCGCTGTGCCATTTTGGATATAGGAGTCTGGAATGCGTGCATGCATGTATGTACACAATGTATTACAATGTATGCAAAGCACATGTGCCAGGCACCGCGGACTACCCGAAGAGCTACTTTCATGTCGCCATTGACTGCCCAGGATACGGGCGCTCACCAGGTGATCGTCAAAGCATTCGATCATACCCAGGGGCTCTGATCTCCAACATTGTGCGGGCATTAGGCCGCAAGACGGTAGCATGCCTTGTCGGGTCCAGCCAAGGCGCGTGTGCTGCCTTGAATTGCGCGCTGGAGTGTCCGAAGTTGATGCACACAGTTGCTGTCTGCCATCCTGTTGGGCATGCTCCACATCGCTATGGCGCCATTTCTCAACCAACCCTTTTGATCTTTGATACGGAGGATGATGGGCACCCAGTCAGCGTCGGGCGCCAAATGAGGCGCCATCTCCCAAACCCACGGTACTTTGAGTTTACAAGGTCGAAGGATGGAGATTGGGAGTGCCATCACATGGGTGAGGAGATGATCGCAATGCTCCAGGAGAGTTACCAAAGCTGGAAGGGCAAACGACTTGGCGGGCGAAGGGACAAGGAGTTGCCAGACTTGACTCGGGTTGCAGGCGGCTTTAACAGCTGGAATGAAAGACATGGTGTCGAGTTTGAACCTTGGGGCGGCTACGACGCCGAGGATGAGCCGGAGGCTACCACTAAGGAGGTGGGTGAAAACAGCTGGAGAGCCAGGCTGGATCCCAGCACCAACACAATTGTTTATGAGAACCTTCTTTCTGGTAGAATCTCCCGCGTGCGTCCTCCCGGTGCGCAAGTGGTGGTTGAGCGCTTGGGAAGAAGTTCGGAGGAGACCTCGGCCCCAGCAGGGCCAGCTGGCCCAGCTGGCCCAGCAGGCGCAGCCGCCGAACCCAGCGACAAAGATCCTCCGGCCAGGCTCGATGTGGGCCGGGCACTGATCCCCCTTTTCGAAGGGGCTGATGAGGATGATGACGAGGATGACGAAGAGCGGCAGGCACGCGAGGAGAAGGAAGCAGCGGCAATTCTTGAAATGGAGGCTTCGCAAGGCCACTGTGACTTTTGCCGCAGGGTGCTTGTGCAGCCTGTCCGCTTGGCAGGATGTCGCTGTGCGCTGTGTGCATGCTGCGTCGAAGTTACCGTCCGGTATATGCGCGAATGCCCCGCGTGCGACTTGCCCGTGGACATGAAGGGTGGCAAGCCTGCATCCGACGTGTCAGCAGGACTGCTTGCCAAGGTGGAGGCTTTGTCCTCGGCTGGAGGCCCCGAAATAGAGGAGCAACAGAAATTGCTAAAGCAGCTAACAGACCTGCGACAGAGCTCGCAACGAGTTCTTCTCCAGTACGGCAACACATCCAGCGGCCGTGGAAGCAAGCGCTCGTACACGACCTTCTTGAAGGTTGCCATGGTGGATGGCACCCTTTCGGACAAGGGCTGTGTGGCCAAAGTTGACTTCAACATAAACCCTGGATACAGCAAGCCTACATCAACGGCCAAAGAGCCCAGCGACAAGTCTTTGGGATTTACCTTTGAATATGCCATGGCACGGGCTTACCCATGCCACATGACTGTGCACTTCAAAAGTGACCTTGGCTTGCCGAAGCTTGTGATTGAGCACTATGTCAGAGATGAGCCGAAGACAAGTCGGCGCGTGCTCCTCCAGTTTCTTGGCGGAAGTGTGGCCTTTGTTGGAGACAAACCTCAAGCAAGGAAGTTGGGGATAAATCTTGTTTATCCCACAGGGGATTGATTAGAGCTAAAGGGCGCGTAGTGTACTCAACATCCCATGCGTGGCCCACCGGACTTCTTCCTTGCCTTGGTCGTGACGGGTGTCAGCCACATTCTACAATTGGAACACGCTGCTTATGATCGTCAAGCGCTGGCCTTCCTCCCTTCGTGACGCAATTGAAGGAAGATGAGACCTAGTACCCAAATCTCAGAACAACACCAACATCAAGAACGGTTCAAGTAAGTTGCGCTTTTCAGCTTCTTAAATAAGTACGGCTCCGCAGCCACGACGCAACGACACAAGGGCTGCCCCGGAAGAAGAGCTCTCTCGGGGTGTGTAGAGCTCACTCGCACCCTTCGCATCGCTCAAGCTCCGAAAGGCCAACATCATGGCTTTCCACAGCAGATCTCAACGGGGGAGCCCCGAGTCTCAACAAGCCCAGTTCGGAGCCACCAAAAAAGAGTTGGGCAGTTGGGCGTTTCTCGGCTCACAAGGATACGATTGCCAATATAGCACTAGCACCCTGCCGCTCTAGGCTTCCACGAAGGAAGTAACCAAATGCCGAAGTTCCGGCACATGCCGGAGCGTTTTACGCGACATGCAAAGCTGCAAAACTACAAATGAGGAATCCCATGATGATTCTGGCCTTCCAAGACCTGCCCATCATGCCACGCAAGTCGCAAGTAAAATATGTAGTGAAGTAGTACGCACACTGTGATTTGTCTGAAGCTCTGTGTATCTCTGTGTCCCTCAAGGTTTCGATGCCTGAGAGCTCAGGCTCTCAGTCCGCGTAGTGGTGACGAGCAGCGTCACAAGCAACTTTCAAGCAACGCTAGAAGGACGATGCGCAGACAACGCTGGGAGAACATTGCAACTCAACCAGCGACGGCATTGGCCCTCACCTAATGTCGGTGAGAATGCACGGCAGGATTTGCAGTGCCAGGGTCGGGCACATCGCCAGCTCAACCGCAGCCTATTTGCCCAGCGGGCTGTCTCGTGATCTGTGCCCGTGCAAGGACACGATCTGTCCGTGTTGCTTCTCGCAAGCATAGTCATTGCTTCGTGCGTGAGTGAGCCGAGGTTGCCGCATCCGCGTTTGCCTCCAGCAGGCGCTCCAAGGATTACGGAGAAGGAGGTTGTTTTTGATGCCGACGCTTGCCTACACGTCCAAGTGGAACAAGGTGGCAAATGCGTGAGACTGAAATTGGCTTGGCTAATGCAACCTTCATCGGCCTGCCATGGCCTGCAGTGAAAGGGGTTCAGTCAGGGTTTAGGGTTTAGTCAGCTCGTAGAAGTGTTCTGCCACAGAACGCTTGAGCGATTGTCAGGCGCGAGGCTTTTGGGGTGCAATAAAGACCAAGGATCCTCCGCAGAATGCTTGGTTGTGTTTCCAAGCTGGACGCAGCTTCTTGCCTTCACTTGCTTGGCAAATAGTGGGCACAGTGCTGGGTAGTGTTGGGTAGTTTCATCAGCCAAGGTGTGCTGACAACTTCTCCCCAGAATTTCCTCGGTACTTTGACCGGTGTGGCAGTCGTGCTCTCAGCTGCTTCAGCTGCATCATGCTATGTCCTGCCCTGCATGTTGCCCCCTCTTGCCGCATCCAGGTGCCAGAGGCCGCTCCAGTGCGTCCCCGCAGTCGAACTTCCAGCAAGGCAAGTGGAGGTTCTGCTCGGGGCAAAGGCTGAGCACCTCCAGGTACACTGCAAGACCCAAATGGCGGCAGAAGAGCCTGTCGTGAACTTGAAAGCACGACCGCGGTTTGGTGCAGTTGCGGCACAGCAGGAGCGCACTGTACGTTTATGACTTTCCAGTTTGAGCCCATGGTCGTAAGAATGTTTAACCATGTTTAATTTGCAAACTCGCAGCCGGGTTCGCTTCTGGTGAAGGTTGTAGCGTTGGGTCTCAACACTGACGTATCATGCGGGACTTTTCTGCCAGCTTGCAATTAAATCCTCCCAAAGCACAAAGCTGTGGGTTGAGCGAGAATGTTCCTCACACCGCTGCATGCCTTGTTGAGTCTGCCAAGCAGGGTCTCACCTTGGCAGGGGAATGCGATGTCATCTTGTTGAACAGGATGTTGGTTGCCTCCCACGCGGAGTCAACGCCTAAACCTGCGATAAGGCATGAGTGCAGGAAAACGAGAACATCCCACGCTGCAGCACCAAGACGTGCTTCCGGCTACATTCATGTCACATGCAAACCACATACGAGAGCAATACTTAGCTGCTCGATGCCCATAGGTAAAATTAGCAAATGCTACATTGAAAACATAGGGTGGCTGAGCAGCCGCTTGTGTGAGCATGTCTTTATTGGTAGCCCAGATACTGTACCAACGTTCTGTCGCAGTTGGTGGTCTGCCCCCGAAAGGGAGCTGCATTGACGACGCTTGCGGATTGTTGTCACGGGAAGGTTCAGGTTCTCAGGTTCTGTCACTCCAAGGCCGTGCAGCATGAAATGCACACGTACTGCTGCTTGTGGGGCTGGATCTTCTTTCCAGTGTTTCCAGCTCGTCTCATCGAAAGTTTTTCCAGATCAGCCTAGGAGCTGGATCTGGGGCCTAGGAGCACGGCCTGATCAGCCTGATCAGCCTGATCACCGTAGCTTCGAGATGCCTTCGAGGATCTTCGAGCCTTCATTCAGGGTTAGAACAGGTTAGAACCTCTTGGAACCCTCTTTGCGACTCTCTTCGTGGATGCCTTTCACACCAACCCCTTGCCGATTTTCTGCCCCAATCCTCGAGCAGTTGACACGGTTCGCGCGTACGACTCTCAGCCCCGAGCTCAAGCTTCTTAAAGCTTTGGAAGCATTCAGGATGTAGACAGAGTAAGTCTTCGAAAGTCTTGGGCAAGTCTTACCCGGGTGTTCCCCGTACTCTAAACTGGCCCAGACCCAACATAGCCAATGCCAGGTCACTCGAACATAGCTCAGAGGTCCCTGTCCTTGTAACATCAATCCTATTGCCCACACTTCCTTGCACGTGTCACCACATGTCAAGTGATCGTATTCTTAGCAGCGCATTTGCAGGAACTACAGGAGTGACATAGCCCTGGCTCCCACACTTCCAACGGTATGAGGTGAGGCACTGAGACGAGCTGCCATGGCCGGCCTTGGTTTTGAGGGCTGGCTCCAAGGGCTGACATCTCCTTGTCCTAAAGGACTTGCACAGTATGAGCAGTTCGTCCTTGACATCCCTGCGCTGCGGCTGGCGGAAGCTGGCGCGGAATGTGGCAAGGAATGTGGCAACAGCAACAGCAGTGCCTTCGAGAAGCTCTCTTCCACACAGCCAAGAAGCTAGTCTCTGGGACGTTCTGGAGTACAACTCGCACTACTTCAATCCCCATCGCATGGCACCGCTTCTGGCACAGGTCTTGGAGGAGCCACGTCTGACCCTCAGCCTCAAGCCCTAGCCGCCCGAGTTGCACTGAAAAAAGTGCCTGCAACATTAAGGTAGTGAAGCCCGCGGTGATGCCAGGCTCCATGCATATTTGCAGAAGGCCATGAATCAGCTTTCGTGTGTTTCGTCTTCTCATGCTCCCCTGGAAGACAAATGAAGTGGGAAGGCCTTCCCGGCAATAGGGCTCGACAGACATTGCTTGAGCCATGCTGTCAAGGCGATTGCTTCGTGCCAGCTATACCACAACTTGCAACCGGTCACCGCCAAGGCGCTTTGCAATTGGTAAGGGACTGTACTTGCAGAAACAAACGAGAGGTGCAGCGAGTTGCAGCTTTAAGTGCTGATGGCGAAAATCCCTATCATGAATAGGTTCTGTTCGGGTTTAGGGATTTCGTGGGTCAAGGGTTTTGTAAGGGAGGGAGTGTTGTTTTTGAGTCGTTTTGCATTTGTTGTTTTGCTTTTGGGGAAGTGCTTGGTGTAGAATTCATCGCCCGCAGCCAGACAACAACCACACATCCTATCTTTCCGTCGCGTGATGTGTTTGGCATGTCACCAAGGGTACGGAGCCTGCCTAGCCTAGCTTGGCACACTGTTCTGAAAAAGGCAGTTGTTTGCTTTTTGCGGGATTCCAAACCCCTCGATGGTTGTTGGTCGAGAAGTCCCTACTGTAGCTGCCACAATCTGTTCAACTAGTGTGTCAGTGACCGTCGAATGTTCACCACAAGCAGGCCTGCAAAAGAATTGCTCCCTGAAAGTCCCAAAGTTCACTCGAGTCGAGGAGACGGCTGCTGCCATCATGTACTGCAGACAGGCGCGCTCTGAGCTTTCAGTGCATCGGAACAAAGGAAGTGAAGAACGTCTGCACCGTTCAAAGCTTCATTCAGGCCTCACTCGACTCATCCGCAGGGGTGGAAATAAGTTGCAGAGAGCTGGACAATATTTAGAGAGTGTTGCAGATGCATCTGCCTGTCCCTTTGCTTCAGATCGATAACATGAACATAGTGTGACAACAGGTGGGACATCCGGCAGCCGAGGAGCTGTCGGATGTGATTGTTGATACCGTCTCCGAAGAGCTTGCAAGGCAGACAGCACTTGACAGCACTCTTATGCTGTGCATCCGTATGTGGTGTTGTGGCAGGCTTGGTATGCAGCGAGTGTCCTTCTACATCACTTCGTTTGCCAAGTACAACATTGAGGAGCTCTAGGTGTCCTAGGCGTTCAGCCTGCTCTGAAAAAAATTGGCACGATATCGACACATGCTCTGCAAACTCTGCCAAGCAGGACAGTCGGTTCTGGAAGTCAGCGGCACGGGTGGTGGCAAGCACCTCGGAACCTATGTCTCCACAGGACGGGGTTGAGTTCTGACGCAGGACATTGAAAGCCTCAGCTGAAACCTGGTGAGTATGTCGCAGGAGATGGTGAGTCTGCTGGACGCGTTTCGCAAAAGCGGATTGAAGCTGCAGAGCCCATACAAGGCATGGCGGATTCCCAAGCTGACTGAGCGCATGAGCTTGTGTCAGAAGCTGATGTTGCCTCGTGTTGCGTTGTGTTGCATTGTGCTGTCTACTCCTTTATTCTCGCACTGTTCTTGCACGTCGCGTATGCGGCCTTTGCTTTTGGGATCAAGCCAAATGGGCCACGAGACGTGAAAGAGAAAGAGGATGGTCGTGTAGCAGACATGGACAGCCCAGCCATACCATACATTTCGACAAACATGGTCATTGCAAGTACAGACAAGCCGCCCGAGACAGAGTTCCACTGTCTGAAATGGAGGGCAACGCATCCAGAGAGGATGTCAGCTCAGAGGAGTTCGAGGCCCGTCAATGAACAGAAGTGCCTCAAACGCATCTCATGTGTGTCGTGTGAATGGCAGGCTGAACCAGAAAGTCTCGAGGAGCCTCCTTGCGGTAGTCTGGTGGTATTGGTCGGGCTTCGGCAAGTCGAGCTGAATGGCCTGGTCGGGACGGTGGAAGAAGGGGCTCCTCCAGGACGCGTTGCAGTGCGACTTGGGTCGGGGAAGAGCCTGGCGGCGCCCCGATTGTCCTGAAGTGCTGAAGTATGCGTGACATTCTTTTCTGCGAGTTGTACTTTTTTTCCAACTATCCTGCCACTCGTGCTTTGAAGAACTGATTTTGGGTGTGTTGCATGTGCTCGGCCCAGGTGCGTCCTGGCAACCTGCGACTGGCTGAGCTCGATGGCTTCGATGCCGATCTCAACGAAGAAGGGGAAGAAGGGGAAGGAGACGGGGAGTCTGAAGGATCCTCTGAGTCTTCCGACGGTGCAGGCCTTCGCATGAGGAAGGCTGCTGCAAAACCGAAGTGTGATGAAGGCGGTCATATCTGTTCAGCTTCAAGTGCAGGCACCTGTCGTGCAAGACCTGCATTCGACCCACTGAATCAGTACCAAGCCAGACCCGGGGCTTCTTTTGAAGAGGAATACGCTCAGGCCAATAAAGACTTGGACGAGGAGCCGGCAAACCTTCAGCAACGGAAGACCTGGCTGAGTTTGATATTCCTGGTGCTGTTTGTGGGCCCGGCGGTTGCAACATTTTTCATGACTGCAAAAGATTGGGCAGACCCATTGATTCGCGTCGTGCCACCGGATGACTCAAAGCAGGTGCAGGACATCTTCTTTGGTGGTCATGCTTGGTTGGTCTCATGTGTCACACTAAAGTCGGCAGCTGCCAAACCTCCGGCAGCTTTACAGGGGGCAGCCGAATTGCTCCGGCCCCGAGGCGTTCGCGTTGCGCGAGTTCACTGTTGGGAACCTTTGGAGACAAAGAAAGGTCTCCGCAGCTTAGCCCAACGGTTTGGCTTCCGCGAGAAACCACCTGTGGTCATGGCCACCAGGGGCAAAGGTTCTCCAACCCTCTTGGCTGCTACAGGACTACAAGCAGAAGCACTGGCTGCGAAAGTCCTTGCAGCTGTCATACCGGAGGAGTCGGCCACCATCAAGGCTACGGTTCGTGACGGGGAGACGCTTGCTTGCTAAACCATGCTGAGGCAACTGCATTTTTGATGTGTGCGTGTGCGCGTGTGTGCGTGTGTGCGTGTGTCTCATATTACATTCTAAGAGAACTTCTTTCCGTGGCATGTAACTGCATGAGTATTGCATGTGAGATTGTCGGCTTTTCTAGCGTCACCGAAACGCCTGAACGCAGAGCTGCAAGGCCCCAACCTTGGTCCAGACGAAATTGACTTTACCCGAACTCTTCCGAACTCCAAGGGCCCTAGGGGCATAAGCCCTTGAGCCGGCTTAAGGCAGCGATGCACATTCCAAGCAACACTCGTGCCAGTTTAAGTCCTACAAATACTGCAGTCCTGTCATGTCGTGATGGTCGCTGCTGCATGCAGCAGCACTAGTGGCCTCAATGCTTACAAAAGGAACAAAAGCAGCAGCACAAAGACACAAAATTTTGCATGAGGCCAGATCTAGTGCATACTTTTCGATTGCCTCGCAGTTCCTCTGGTGCCTTCTCACCCAACCGGAGCTTCACTCCACAGTCTGCAGGCTAAAGAATGCAAAAGCCTCCCGATTACAACTCGGGGGCGTTTATAGACATGCACAAGTGTCTGCACCTGTGAAATTCACCCCCCCCTCCTCCTCTTCTTCCTCCTACTCCTCAATGTTTGCTTGTAGCATACGATGATGCAGTTTATGGCCACCAAAATAATCCTTATGTAGAGTCAACGTCCATTCTGCAAGCAAGTGCGGGGTCGAAGTAGGGTCTGTGGCTATGGTTTAAGGTTGGAGTTTGGTGAAAGAAGGAAGATTTAGGGTTTCAGGTTCGAGTGTAGGCGTTCAGGTTTGCGGCTTGTAGGGGTTCGAGGGCATCGGCTTCAGGGCAATGATTAAGCTGTTGCATGCTGTTGATGTTGGATTTAGTGATTGCTGTTGAGGGTCGCTTTCTGGGGCAGTTTCATGCCCGCGCCCCTATGCATTCAGGCTACTGCTGGGAATGTGGCCAGAATACTCTTTGAGTATCGAAGAGTATTAGAGCGCCCATGATTGCTAGCTTGAGGCCATGCCAGGACTAGCAAGGCGGCTCGGGGGGCAAAGCAGCTGTTTCGGAAGGGTGTTGAACGAAAGAAGTATGAGAGGCAATTTCATGCCAGGCAGCCACAAGCTGTAGTCGGTTACACGCGAACTCCGACTGTGGATTCAAGCAAGGTCGACTGTGCGTAGCGAAACTATACTACAGTTCTGCTGAAGTTAAAGGCTAGGTCTGACTTGAACATGCTGTGCTTCTCATCCGAGGCGTGGGAAGTCAGGGAATCGAATGGAACGGGTCGGCAAGCGCCCCGAGCCTGAGCAGACGGAGGTCGTCGTAGAGTTGGTTCAAGTGCCAAGCTGTGTAGATTCAGCCCATGTCAGTCCTGTGTTCCTCTCAACGATCCTGTCGCAGGCGGTCATCAAAGATGATTTCGAGGCTGGCAGTTGCAAACGTGGTTCCATTGAAAGCCTGCTATCGCTTTGTGACTCTGCGTGCTTCGTTTTGGTTGAAGTTCAAAAGCAGGTTTTATGATGGTAAGTAGTAAGAACCGTTTTCAGCGCTGATCTAATAGCACAGTTCACCAGGTGCCGCTCGGGCATGTTGAGGTTGAGGAGGAAGAGATCAACTTGGACATAGCTTAGGAGCCCTCGCAGCCCTTGCAGCCCTCGCATGCTTCGAGAACAGGATAAAAGGCAGATGCTGTCAAAGGACCGGAATCTGCGTTCGCCTGCACACAAATCAAAAAGAGAAAAGTGCCTGCTGCCAGAGAAGCAAGTTTGGTGAAGTTGAAGATGGTTCCATCAGAAGCCCCCAATTGGCATCCAAAGCACAGCCAGTGGAGGCACTTGCCCGTCGGGTGCGGCAGGTTGCTCGGAGCTTTGAGGCTAAGCCAGACTCTGAGAATGTGTTGAACGCCCCCCCATTGCAAACAGGCCTACTCCTACAGCAGCAGCCAAGGCTGATCCCTCCCATTCTTGCCACAATCTGCCGTGTGGCCCTGCCAGAGGAGGCATGTAGGGCCATCGGATAGCTGCTCCGCGCACGCTGAAGTTGAGAGCCAAGCTGTACAGCTGCAGGACAGAGAGGAGGCAGTGCGAGCGCTTCTTACGCAATGGCTTCTCCAGCTTCGGCAAGAGAAGGCCACGTTGTGCCATCGACTGACTGTGCTATTGACTGTAGTTGTGATTTTGACGGTCCTTCTAAATTCCATGCGGCCTGGCATTGCTTGGGAGTCCTGCGTGCCAATTGCGGGTTGTCAGAGCCATCGAGTGGTATCCGGTTTGCAAGTGCCCAATCTGGCACGCGCAAGGAACATCCCACAGGCGCCATCACCGTGCAGCAGATTCTCAGCTTGGCCGTGCCGGGCACCAACGCCTTGCTTGTTCCTTGATTGTTCAGAGAAAGGAGCAGCTTCATGCGGATACGAATGGGAGGTCTCTCGGCTTGAATCCGGAACTTGTGAACACTGCGGTCTTCACCAGGGACGCTTTGCGCTAAGTTGTGTCTTGTCCACACAGGGTTCAAACGCCAGCAAGCTCTCCGTGTAGCTTAGCAGAGCTTGGTGCTGCTGCACGCACTTCGCAAATGATCGCCACAGTGCGAGTCTTAAACGTTTTCAGGTGGCAGCTTATCTCCGCAACCGTTTCGATCTTCTCAGACCTGAAGAGCTGATCGTGTTCCTGTGGGCCTTGGCCCTCGAAGTCTGAGATTGACATAGATTGACATCGCGCTGCAAGCTGCAGGCATTCCAAAGGCTGGTGCCTCCGCAAACTTCCACTGCTTTCCTCTCGAGCGGATTGCACAAGGTGGAACTGCCGTACTGCCCCAAACTTCTGGCCCCCGAAAGAAGTGCTGCCATTCGCTAGGTGCATCAGCAATGGCGACTCTTAATGGCATCGGCCGAACTGAGCCTGTCCATGCCTGAGAGTCTCTAATTTGCTCATGTGGGGGCTGTTGCATTCCCGACATGCAAGAGAAGCTACTTATGCTTGCCATATGTCGTTGACAGCTTGCCAGCCAGGCAGCGACTTGTCCAACTTTCCGACGTTCTCGTTTGCGTCAAGCAGGAGGCACGACTCAGGGGATAACGGTCCGCTGCGAAGCAGCTCAATACCTTCATGACCATGCCTCGCGGCCAGGCCAGGAGCAAAGCACCATATTGGACTGAAGACTTGGAGAACCTTCAGGAGCTGCGTTCAATGGCCCTGCCAACTGTAGAAGGAGATGTTGAATATGTTGATGAAGGAGCTGGCAGGGATATCCCCGTGTTTGTTGGTCATGTTAAGTCCGTTTGGTGGATCTTCTTCCCACCATTTCCCTGCTTCCTGCTTGGCTTGCTTGCGTTTTACTGATGTGACATTTTGGTTCACAGCTTCGGGGTGAAAGCCAGAGCTAAAATGGCCGGATTCTTTGTCTTCTTGTTGGCAACGGACACCAGAAGTCGAGAAGATGCGGGTGGTGCTGGAAGACTCCCACATTCGTCCGGTTTCGAGTCATGATCCACAAGCCCACGCGCTGTTCGCATGCCGGCTGACAACCCTTAGAACTGCCAGCCTATTGAGGATGCATCGCTGGACATCTGTAAGTTGCTGAGACCCTGAGAACGCGAAAGCGAAGCTTGCTACTCTAGATTTTCGTTTTGCGCAGGGCGAGAAAGGCAAGGCGTTCCATTGGGAAGACATGGCATGTTTTGAAGCAAAAAGACCTGCAGGAGCTGGTCATTCAGGACTGCCGTGCTGAACATTGTGAGGTGTGGTGCGCTTTTGAGTTTTTAAGTTGCAGGACTTGGTCGAGTCCATCCAGTACTGCCAGCTCCCGGCTTAAAGTCATGAATGGTGATTGCTGTGGGTCGCGCAAAGAGCCAGCGAAGACGGGCTGCAAGGGAACCGCCTTCCTTCAAAGTGAATCAGATGATGAGCTGACGATGGTCGTCCCTGCTGTGCCTACCATCGAGGCCTGAAGCTTTGGCTGAGATCTTGGAGATCTGGGCTGGGACAGAGGCCCGTGCCTGCTCGTTTTGTGACGCTGACAAGCTTTGCACCTGCTCAGGAGTTCTGGCACCGCCATGACGACTTTGCAAAGGCCATTGCAAAGAGGATGGAGGCGGCGGGGTCGTGTAATTCAAAGTTTGCATGTTTGCTTGAGACGTGCCATCACTATCCAAGGAAGAAGGTTACTGTGGTTGCCTCGCCTATCGTCTTGCGATCTTGCGTGCAGCTATCATGTTGCCCTCATGCGCAAGTGCAGCTGCCCTGCCAGGAGCTTCTGCTAGAATGTATGGACCTGCAGGAAATCGTTGGCTTATTGCAGGCTAGGGATCCATGGGTCTTTTTGTCCACAGCCACATACGGCCATGTAGCATGTAAGTCGTCAGTTTCATTGCTGCATTGAGGCCGCCCTGACAGTCCCCGGATTGGTTGCCACCTTGCCTGCCAGCATGCTCAAGGTCGCGGCTAGAGGTGTGGCGAGCAGTTTGAACTGCCACTGGCACAGGCTCTCCAGGCAGCTGTTATGACCCGCAGCGATGAAGATGCCGAGCGAGCAGGATTCCCAAGTGCCAACAGCCACACAGTGCCAGAGAAAAAAAAGCATACACGAAGGTGCAAGCTGTTCTCGCTGGCAGTCCATGGGAGGTGGTTTGTCAAGGAGCCATCTTCGACATGCGCGCATGTACCAATGTCAAGGCAAGTGCATGCCAGGAGCTCCAAGCAGGGACCTATCGCAGGTCAACAAGTCCTCAACTTCAGTCGAGGCCAATGCACATTTGTGGGGCGAGATCCACTTGGTTCTTATGTTGCTTTGCTGTGACAGGACCAGACGTCCAAGTTTCAGACGCTTCTCAGTACATGGCAACAACCAAGGCCTGTCCTTTGTTGGCCCTCATTTTCTTCGAATCCGTCCCAGAGCCCCAGAGATGCTTGAGCCACGTGAGACCCCAGGACGGATCTCGATCTGACTCAGTTCCTTCGGGATGTGGCTGCCTCGGACATGTCGAAGACCGAGCAATGCCTCGAACTACTTTCGAACATCCTTCCAACATCACTTCATTCGATTCCTTCAAATTCTTTTCGCTTTCTTTGAGACTGTAGGCTGACAAGCACTGCAGCGGCCCGGTAGAGGCTTTGCAGGCTCTGGAGGCATGGCGGACCATGGCGGATCATGGCGACCCCCGCAAGAGAACTCTGATGCCAGGGCTGTTCAACTCAGCTGACAGGCAGCAGCCCCATTTGCTGAACGCCTGGCTGCGGGTTCCACTGCGGAGGCGTGCCATGTCCAGCTTGCACTTGATTTCGGAAGGTTCTCGACGCAAAATGGCACAAATCACCTCTCAGCCAGGTGCTCCAACTGCTGGACCGGCTCTGCCAACGACTCGCAGACGCTGCGCCAGACCTGACACCGGAGCAGCTGGCGGGCAACTTATCCAGATGCACCTTGCGGTCATGCGATCATGATCATGTGAGGGCACTTGTAGGGCCATGTTCTGAGCCGCGGCGGTTCTGGGGGAAACAGCATGCGCTGAGCATCGAGCCTTCCAGGGCGGTGCAGTGCAAGCTTGCGCGGCCATGTCCTTAATACGTGCATAGACCTTACACTGCACTCAGACTTGCTTGCATCAGCGCGTCTTTGAGTCCTAGGATGCTGGCTTTCCTCATGCTCCGCTCTTCTCTGCCGCTTTGAGCTGTATGACTGAGATCACCAATGTGGACGGCTCAGCGTCTTTCAAAGGTCTTGGGCCAAAAGAAGTGTCTGTGCTTCGCAGTCAGGTCATGCACGTCGTGGAGGCAGCAACACTTTCCGGTCAAGAGCATGGTATCAGTTGCTGAGCAACCAACCGCACAGGTGCTGGAATCATGCGCGCGGCTTCGGCTGGCGATTCCGGAGCTGCTCTGCGGATTCATGGGCCTGAACGCACCATACACGTCCAGAATCAACCCATATCCGCCCTCCTGCCCCTTTGACTAATTGAGGGGTGTTTTGACCGGAGAGAGCTGAACGCCTTCCGAACAGTCCAATTCGAGCTAATTTTCATCGAAAAAGAGCCATTGTTCGATTTGTTCGGCACATCGCCTGCCTCCTCGGTGGAACGTCTGCGCACAGGTTTTTCTGGAATTGTCGAATGTGGGGAAAAGCTGGGAGCAGCCATCCTCGACAATGTCCGTGACATTCTTCAAATTAAGAACGGAAGATACAGAGCATGAAGCGCAGGTGAGCTCCAGAAAGTTGAGATGCTGACGTAGTCTAGCGGAGCTTCCGGGCTTCATTCCGGCTCGTGAACAAACGCAACGTCTTCATTCGCGAGTCCTAAAGCACGGCCCCATTTGAGGAGACTGGAAACGCAGGCCCCATGGCAGGGCCCTCCTGTGTGATAAAGGGTTAGAAGAGTACCTTAACGAACGACCAATATTTGATGCTCCATTCACCGAGGTTGGCGCCCTGGTTGCGGATGCTTCTAGCGGAGGAGTGGGGCATAGTGGGGCTTAACGGGCCATTCAGGGCTTGGAAAGTAATGGAGGAGCCGAATGTGAACGAGCAAGTTTTAGGACGCAGGGTTTGTTCGAGGCTACGGGGTCAGTTTAATCTTTGGATTTCCCCTGTGGGCTTGTTAAGCTGTCGGATGGAGGTGAGACAGGTCATGTTCGCCCGGAGAGACAGATCCAACTACAGATGTTTGATGTTGCCGTTAAGCCCAAGCCCCGGATGCACTTCCAATCTCACCATTGGATCAGTATTACATCTGTTCGGAGCGATCACTGTTATCATCTTGCGTGTGCCCATTGCCACTATTAATGCCCAACTGTTGGATCCAGAGCGTGTCCTGGTGGACTTGAATGTTGTAGAGACGTCTGCAAAGCAATACCGCCAATGTCAGCTGTCCAGGATTTGCAGGGTCGACATCCTAGGGCTTGGACACAGTCATGCCCAGTTTGAATATCGGAGCGTGGGCCGTGGGTGATGGGGAGGGCACGTTGAGCTCACGCATATTCAAAGGTGCTCCGGAAAGATCTCCATAGGAAGATGTTATGCGAAACACCATACAACCCAGGCAATGCTCCGGCATCTTCTCCAAACCACAGTCCAAACAATACGAAAAGTGTCCAGGCGCCGATACAAGCCCCCGACTCCTGATAGAGCAGATTCAAACAAGAATGTCCAGTACCGCAGGGTGGCAAACGTGAGGCTTAGACCGAAGGAGTACCCAGTAATGCTCAGCAATGCAAAGGTTTACAAGGCATGCGAAGCAGTTGCGAAGTAGTGCTCACAGGGGTAAAGCGAGCCCGTGGAAGTGGCAGGGAGTGGAGCGCCAACTCTCGGCCAGTGGCTTGGCACGACTCCTGGCCGCTGCCGCCAGACTTGGCCTCCTTGAGGCCATGAGGAATCTGCAGTTGTGATCTGGACATCTGCTCAAGATCTGCCTTCCAAAATCTTCCAGGCTCAGCAGGTTAACCACATCGTGAAGAGGCCCCCCCGCAAGACCTTCCAGCATGCGTGAAGCACGCTAGATGCCCTGGCTGCCGATGGGAACAAAGATGGCAAAGTAAACGGAGTGACACATGAAAGGCTTGCGACGGTGGCCTCGCCCATTCGTCCAATGTCTCCGGAGACTCTTGCTGCTGTTTGCCTGGGTCTAACCTTAGCGAGCAGGATGCTTACATCGCGCTTTGTGAGAGATGCAGAGCCATGCAGAGCCTCTTCATTGTCCTGAGACATTCAGCTGCAGGGTGGAGTCCTGGAAGTGGGCAGTCGGAGCTGTGGGAGGTCAGGGTTTGCTGAAGCTGTAACTCCAGCTTGGCGGTTTGCTCTTTTGCATTTGGGGCTTGGGAGGTGGCACGGTGGCTTCGCAGCATCAAGTGGGCAAAAGGGGCCAAAGAGCCACAAGTTGGAGTAGCCCCGGCGCACGTGGCCGTGTTCAGAAACTTTGTGCCTCGTGCTTAGTGCGTAGATGTGCTTCGACGTGCTTCGATCTGCTTCGATGCTGACGCTCACCATGCAAAGTCCAGGCTTGGGCTCCTGATTTCACCTGCTTCAAGAGAAGCTGTTCACGGGCTTTCCCCTGAGCTTCAAGAAGTCATCGCCTGCCACTCAGCTACTCAGGAGCTGAACGGAAGTTCACACCATACCTCGCTGAAGCGGACCAGGCAGATGCGGTTTCTTCAACTTCAGCTCAGCGTCGAGTTGTCTCAGACACGACCCTGAAATTCCGGCACGAGGCTCTCAACGGGATACATACAAACACTGAAGAGAACGGTTTGAAGAGCTTTTGACTGCAGGCTGCGGAGGTACTGAGAAAAGCTGGCCGGTACTGCTCTGAGCGCTGAGAGTCACTACATAACTTACGTTAACAATGAGTGGCAGTAAAGTGTGGCAGAGCAAAAAAGGCCGTATGACCTTGACATCGGCCGGCTGCCAAGTGCCGTTTCTTCATGGCTCGAGTTGAGTTGAAGCTACAGACTATGTTCTAAGGCCTGGGTCCAGGATTCATCGACCTAGTCCGGCATCAAGTGGGTTTTTGCCGTGCTAACATGTGTTAACCTTGAAGCCAACCCATATGTTGTGCATCATCTTGGTGGTTCGCTTTCTTTCTCAGGCGCTTCCGGGCCAAGATGGTGCTTTCTGGCTCTTGGATGGACCCGAGGCACTTGGAAGCGGACACATGCGCTTTGCCCTGCAAAAACCGCACCAAAGCACCGTATGTACCATCTGCACCAAGTATATCAAGCATCCCTTTGGCGCAGGCTTTTCAGAGGCCTTTCCAACATGGGAAGGCAGCTCTTAGCCTGGCGGGAGCCCAAGATCTGAGTGGAATTTACGCGCTTTTATCGTGCTGCACATGTAGGGCTCTGAAGCCCCATATCCCCCCTTTCCCTACCAGTACCCGCAAAACTTGACACCCTGACGTGGTAATAATCGGATAGCTCATTCAGGGGAGCCTCGCTGATCAGGTTTCATCTTTGATTACAGACAGGTCCGACCTCTTCGCGCGAAAATTTGTTTCGAGATGGAGTCTTAGCTTTCTTTAATTTTCTGGGCCTCACCAGTCTTACTCGTAGTGGCCATCTCGCACCACTCGTACCTGTAGCAGTCCTGCACATGAGAGTACTTTACCGGTCCTTGATGTTGGAAGTTTTCACCGTGGCAGCTGAAGCTCCAGCCTTGCAATCTTCTCGATTCTTCGACTCCTGTATGTGCCAGGTCCCGGCGGAGGTTTTTCGTTCGGAGCTGCTCTTGGCAGTTCTGGATCCAAGCCCGAACCTCGGATCCTGTGCTACAAGTTAACGTCTCACAAACGTCGACGAGACTCGGGGATGGCATGCTCAGCTGCGCAGCTGAGCTCAGCTGCGCTTCAGTCCAGGTGCCCTGTCGGAAATGGAGCCTTGTCGGCAGTGGTAGATCACTCACATCTCCCATGTTCTCATGTCAAGCCTCTTCCAGCTTGAAGTCCTCGTTCAGGAGGCGGCGCTCAAATCTTGGTCCAGGCTGGACATCGCAACTGCAAGCAATGCAAACATCTTGTGAGGGTGCGCGACCAAAGACCCCACGCACAGCGAGCTAAAGCAGAATCTCTGCTGCGAAGTCTACTGTACCTTGAGTGCGGTCCGGTCAGCAAAAAACTCCCCTGGGTCAGATACTCGAGCCAGAAAACGCAGCAGCAAGCGAAGCAAACATGACAGAGTCAGAAGGTGCGAAAACAAGCTGTTCCAGCTCCGCGTGCCCCGTTTACAATTCCGAGCCATTCCGAGTTTCCGTAGCTGGGGTTTGGGGTTTTGGCACTACAGCTATCCCTTTCTCGGATTAAAGACGGCTTTCATTCCCGCTACCTCCACTAAGGTTTAAGGTCAAGGGCTTGCAAATCAACATTTAGGGCTTAAGGCTTCTTGCGGTGTATGGCTTCGAATTTAGGGCTTGCAAGTCACAGTATCCCTGGTTGAACTCAAGCTATTCCTTCGAAGCCTAAGGGCTTCCAACTCCTTGGTTTCTGGGTTAAGTCTAAGGTCTTGTACACAGATGTAGGGCTTCTAACTCAGCCTATCCTTTTGTTAAGCCCTGCCCTGCCCTCTCCCACCACCCTCTAGTTTTTAAGCTTGACGGTTTAGGGCTTTGGGTGCAGGGCTTGGGGCTGTTCAGGGTTTATGGAAAAAGGGTTTAGAGAAAAAACATTTAGGGTTGAGGGTGTTGTAGGGCTTACGGATTAGGGCTCAGGGCTTTTTTGAGGGCTTGGGGTTTTTAAGGTTTTAGGTTTTTTAGGGTTTAGGGTTTTTGGGATGTTGGGTTTAGGGCGTCGTCGGGCGTAGGGTTTTTGAGGGGCTTTCGGGCGTAGGGTTCCTTGAGGGCGTAGGGCCTAGGCTTTTTTCGGGTTTAGGGTTGAGGGTGCTTTAGGGCTTAGAGTTGATCAGGGTTCAGGGCTTGGGCTTTTTTGGGATGTAGGGCTAGGGCTTGCTTAGGGCTGTTAAGGGTTTAGGGTTTTCGGATTTAGGGGTTTTAGGGTTTGGGTTTTTTGAGGGCTCGGGGCGTTTTGGGATTTAGGGCGTAGGGCTTTTGAGGGTTTTGGACGTAGTTTACGGCTTCGTTGTTTAGGATTGAAGGTAGGGCCTCTAAGGCTTTCGAGATTTTGAAGCTTAGGGCTCAGGGCTTTTCATGGCTTAGGTTTTGTTTTAGGCTTTAAGGCTTGAGGCTTTGTTGGGATTTGGTTGCTGTTTTTTCGGACTTAGGGCTGAGGGTGCTTCAGGGTTCGGGCTGCTTCGGGTTTCGGGCTTAGGGCCTAGGGCTTAGGGCTTTTTAGGGTCTAAGGTTTGTTGAGAGCTCAGGGCTTTTTAGGGCTTGCGGTCCTTTAGGGTTTAGGGTTTGGGGCTTAGGGCGTTTTGGACATCGGGCTTTTGAGGGTTTAGGGCGTAAGGTTTTTCTTTAGGGTTTAGGGGTTTTTGGAGGCAGGGGTGGGGGTTTAGGAATGATTTGGGTTTAGGGTTTCAGTTCGTTGGGGTTCCCTGGGCTTTGGGGCTAGGGTTTAGGGGGCTTAGGGTTTTTGTAGGGTTTAGGGTTTAGGGTTTAGGGTTTAGGGGTTAGGGGTTAGGGGTTAGGGTTTAGGGTTTAGGGTTTAGAGTTCAGTTTAGGGTTCAGGTCAGGCCTCAGGTTTTTTGAGGCTGGAGCTTAGGGTTGTTTAGGGTTTAGGCTTTTTCAGGCATGAGGGCTCTTCAGGGTTTAGGGACTCGGCCGTGGGTTTGAGGGTTTCGGGCGCGGGGCTTCAGGGTTTAGGGCTTAGGGCTGGCTGATGCCTTGCGATCGACACAAGACATGTTGTCCTTAGGCCTTCTGTGTTGAACAGTCTTGGGTATAGGGTTTGGGGTTTCCAGGCGGCTCAGGGTTTCGTTAAGGGTTTGGGCTCAATGCCTTCATGGTTTAGGGCTTGGGGCTGTTGAGGCCTCGGGCCTTTTGGGCTTCAAGGCCTGCGACTGTTTCGGGTTTAGGGAAAATGAGGTTTCATTAGGGTTGAGGGCGTTGTAGGGCTTCGGGATTCGGGTTGTTTAGGGTTTGGGGCTTCTGGCTGTTTATGGTTTACAGTTTTTTTGGGCCAAGGTTTTTAAGAGCTTTGGGATTTTAGGGTTTAGGGCTTTTGGGGTTTAGGGCGTTGTGTTTTTTCGGGTTCAGGGTTGAGGGCGTTTTCGGGTTTAGGGCTTAGGGTTGATCCGGGTTTAGGGCTAGGGCTGAGGGCTTTTCAGGGTTTAGAGTTTTAGAGTTTAGGGCGTTTTAGGGTTCGATTTTTTGAGGGCTCAGGGGTTTTGGACGTACTTGTTTTTTAGGATTGACGGTGGAGGGTGCTTTAGGGTGTAGGGCTTGGCATTTACTGGGGTTTAGGGTTTAGAGCTTTCTTGGGCTTTGCGCTTTGGGTTTCTTGAGGTTTAGGGCAAGGGCTTTGAAGCCTTTAGAGATGTTGAAGGCTTAGGGCTTAGGGCGTCTTTATGGCTTCAAGGCTTGAGGCTTGGTAGGGTACTTAGGGCTGAGGGTGCTTCAGGGTTCGGGCTGATTAGGGTTTAGGGATTAGGGCCTAGGGCTTAGGGCTTTTTAGGGTTTAAGGTTTGTTGAGAGCTCAGGGCTTTTTAGGGCTTGCGGTCCTTTAGGGTTTAGGGTTTGGGGCTTAGGGCGTTTTGGACATCGGGCTTTTGAGGGTTTAGGGCGTAAGGTTTTTCTTTAGGGTTTAGGGGTTTTTGGAGGCAGGGGTGGGGGTTTAGGAATGATTTGGGTTTAGGGTTTCAGTTCGTTGGGGTTCCCTGGGCTTTGGGGCTAGGGTTTAGGGGGCTTAGGGTTTTTGTAGGGTTTAGGGTTTAGGGTTTAGGGTTTAGGGGTTAGGGGTTAGGGGTTAGGGTTTAGGGTTTAGGGTTTAGAGTTCAGTTTAGGGTTCAGGTCAGGCCTCAGGTTTTTTGAGGCTGGAGCTTAGGGTTGTTTAGGGTTTAGGCTTTTTCAGGCATGAGGGCTCTTCAGGGTTTAGGGACTCGGCCGTGGGTTTGAGGGTTTCGGGCGCGGGGCTTCAGGGTTTAGGGCTTAGGGCTGGCTGATGCCTTGCGATCGACACAAGACATGTTGTCCTTAGGCCTTCTGTGTTGAACAGTCTTGGGTATAGGGTTTGGGGTTTCCAGGCGGCTCAGGGTTTCGTTAAGGGTTTGGGCTCAATGCCTTCATGGTTTAGGGCTTGGGGCTGTTGAGGCCTCGGGCCTTTTGGGCTTCAAGGCCTGCGACTGTTTCGGGTTTAGGGAAAATGAGGTTTCATTAGGGTTGAGGGCGTTGTAGGGCTTCGGGATTCGGGTTGTTTAGGGTTTGGGGCTTCTGGCTGTTTATGGTTTACAGTTTTTTTGGGCCAAGGTTTTTAAGAGCTTTGGGATTTTAGGGTTTAGGGCTTTTGGGGTTTAGGGCGTTGTGTTTTTTCGGGTTCAGGGTTGAGGGCGTTTTCGGGTTTAGGGCTTAGGGTTGATCCGGGTTTAGGGCTAGGGCTGAGGGCTTTTCAGGGTTTAGAGTTTTAGAGTTTAGGGCGTTTTAGGGTTCGATTTTTTGAGGGCTCAGGGGTTTTGGACGTACTTGTTTTTTAGGATTGACGGCGGAGGGTGCTTTAGGGTGTAGGGCTTGGCATTTACTGGGGTTTAGGGTTTAGAGCTTTCTTGGGCTTTGCGCTTTGGGTTTCTTGAGGTTTAGGGCAAGGGCTTTGAAGCCTTTAGAGATGTTGAAGGCTTAGGGCTTAGGGCGTCTTTATGGCTTCAAGGCTTGAGGCTTGGTAGGGTACTTAGGGCTGAGGGTGCTTCAGGGTTCGGGCTGATTAGGGTTTAGGGATTAGGGCCTAGGGCTTAGGGCTTTTTAGGGTTTAAGGTTTGTTGAGAGCTCAGGGCTTTTTAGGGCTTGCGGTCCTTTAGGGTTTGAGGCTTAGGGCGTTTTGGACTTAGGGCTTTAGGGCTTATTTTGGGTTTGTTTGGTTAAGCACTCGGGGCTTGTTAGGGTTTATGTTAGGGTAGGGGCTTGGCCTCTTTTAGGGTTTAGGGCTTGCGGCCTGTGAGGGTTCAGGGCGCAGGGTTACTTCAGGGTTGCTTTGGGGTTACTTTAGGGTTTAGGGTTTAGGGCTTCGGCCTTTGTGTGATTTAAGGGCTAAGGGTGTTTGAGGTTAAGCTAAGGGACATAGACTTCTAGATCCTCTGTGCTCTGGTCCTATGGTCCTCTAGTTTTTTGGTCTTGGGGTCCGCTCTGGTGCTCCGACCCTCTGGTCCTGGTCCCTGGTCCCGTGGTCCCGTGGTCCTTTGGCCCTGGTCTTCCTGTCCATTTCTTAAGCAGCGCAAAACTTCCAAACCATATGAGTCCATCCAAGCCGCTTCAAAGGCCCAACCCCTGCTTTTTAGGCCGTGCCAGCTTGCGTCAAAGCATATGATCCCCTTCCAACCTATCGTGCGAGCATTGTGTCAAAGCATATGATTCCCTTCCGTAGGTTTTATCTCACGCCGCTATTTGCAGCATTTGCAACCACTGCTAAGTTAGAAACGCTGGTATTTCCAGTTCTTGCAGCCTCTGAAAACGCAGAAATGTTGCTATTTATTTTACAGTATTTGCAGGCTTTGACAATGCAGAAATGCTGCGAATTACAGTATTTGCAGTCTCTGAAAGCGCAGAAATGTTGCTACTCACAGTATTTGCTGCCTTTAAAACTGCAGAAATGCAGCTATTCACAGTGTTTGCAGCCTCTGAAAACATAGAAATGCTGCTTTGTACAGTACTTGCAGCCTCTGCAAGGCCAATATTGCCAAGCCAAGCCGAGCCACACCTTAAAAAACACGGGCACGAGCCACACCCTTTGAAAAAAGAAGGCTCCTCCAGTTTTTTTGCGAGGCTCAGGGCTGCTTTAGGGCTTCGTACGTTTTAGGCTTTAGAGTGTTTAGGGCTTAGCGCATTGAGGGTTTATGACGTGGGTTTTCTGGGATTTAGGGCTTATGCTTTGAGGACTTAGGGTTGAGGGCGAGTTACGGTGAAGGGCTTTTGGATTGATTAGTAAATTAAATAGGGGTCAGGGCTTGTTTGGGAATAGGTTTTTTGGGGTCTAGGGCTTAGTGCTCTTAAATGGCTTTACTCCTTGCGAGTGAAGGGTCCTCGAGTTCTTTATGCCGTAGGGTTTATGGCTTAAGGGCTTGTTGTGTTTGCTGTACGTTTCCGAAGTTTGCCATTGATGTTCCCTCTCAGCTGGTATGTTTTTAGAATCGGTGGGTTCTATCTTCTGACTGGGCCGGTTAGGCTTTGTTTTCCGAGTTTGGACTTCTTGGTTTTCTGACTCTATCGTCGTCGTGCTTTCTCGACACGATCCCCCACTCGAACGTCACCCGATATTCGACCTGAGAAATGATCCAAAACACCTTGCGTGGTTTCGTGCAACTTTGCCACCGTTTTGCCACGCTTGTAGTATGAAGTTGGGGTTCATCTCTTTTTCAGACCGAGACCAACAGCATATCGAGGCGAATTTTGAGCCGGAAAAGTGGGCTCTGTAGCAAAGCTGCCCAATCGCTGCATCAAATGAGGGATGGCGTGGGTGACCAAGCGATCAGGAGTCACACCACGGTTCCGCGCTTTGGGCTGCAAGCAGGGAGCTGAGATGTCATTTGTACAAGGAACATGCCGAGCACCTGCTTGTATGCACCATGCGTGCCACTTCACGCCTGCTGAGCTGAGGCGCAAGAAAAAAGATTTCCGTGGATTTACGAGCAGGGCGACGTCATGCCCTCAACATGCCGGCTGCACGCGCGGCTTTTTTGGCACCCTGGCGCTCAGGTGAGACTTGCTCGACTTGATTGGTGCAGCTCCTAAACATGGCCGAAGATTTGTGTGGGCAGAGTAGAAGAAAACCAACAGGACACGGTGCATGATGGTGCACTTAGAGACATTGCAGAGAGCACAGAGAGCAAGGCTGGAGTGGGAGCGCCTTCCCAGCGAATCACGCATGGCTGCATTGACAAAGCCAGAACCGCGGCTGGTCAAACGCCGCGTCCATGCAGTTTGTTGTCCACTGCCATTCATGTTGTGCTTGAAATAAGCACTAAAAGCTTCATCTCTGACCCCTGTAGCCATTCATCACAGGTGTGGCCGGTGTTGTTTCCCAGCCATCCAAAGCCGACTTGCCATGGCTGCCATGGTGTTCAAGTCTTCACGGCTTGCACAAGGCACCTTTCAGATCCACTGTTGTCAGCTCAAATACTGGAAGTTGCTTCGAAGGCTGCTCCATCCTGGCAATTCTGGCACTCGCAGCAAGCCAGCATGAAGGCATGTGAAGGTATGGCGATGTAGGCAATGCCAAGCAGACTTGCCCATCAGGCTGCGCTGCGGCGTTGAGTAATATTGGACTGATGGATCCGGACCCTGCGCGTGCTAAACCTGACCTACCATTGAAGTTTGTTTAGGGTTTCCTTGCACCCTACAGCGTGTCAGTGTACAAGGCCGGTAGTTAAACAGCCATGAGAAGCTTGCTGGTACAAAGCTGCTTAGGAAGCGCTTCAGCAAATCCTGAGGTAGCTGTGCTGCAATGCTTCCGTGAGGAGAGGGCAGAGTAACATCTCATCTGTTACTTATATTATGCTACGCGTGATCACCATGCGTGGTGATAAACATCCTTCCCACTTAGAAGATGCAGGATCAACACGGTGTGGTTCAAGCTCCGTCGCCGTCGCGCTTTGCTCCGGCACGAGCTCTGAAGGCACGAGCAAAGTCCAAGCACGAGCCAGAAATGGCGAAGAAGCATGCTGCACTTGATTGAAGTCTTCTATGCATGTTGACTCCTGAGGCACAGAATGATGCCCACATCCAGAAAGCAGACGAGCTTGAGCCAGCAGTTCTTGACGGCAGGGAGGACTTGCCCGTGGAAGTTGTGGAACAATTCGAGACTGTGGAGGCCTCAACGCTCAAAGGCAATGAGAGCTCAGCATTGACAGCAGCGGTGCTGTCTGAAGACCTTTCTACAACCAGCATCGCCCAACAAGAAAGCCTCACATCGACGAGCTCATTCGAGCAACAGAGTACCGAGACGGCGGAGAATCCCCCTGCTGCACGTATGGAACACTTGGAGGGAAGCTGGTCCCAAACGACAGCAGACATGATTGCCGAGGCGCGGCGCATCACGGCGTATGGATCTTTTGTGGCGTGTAGCAGCAGTTGCTTGTGCCGACGGACCCGACAGAGACTCACGAAATGTTCATGTCTAACCGTTTTCATGTGTTCGGATTTCCCGAGCATCAACTGGACATTCTTCACGTCTCACTCTAGGACCGCTCTCACAACGGTGTTAAAGCAATCAATCAGCGAAGTGACAAACGGCCATTTTGGGAGAAAAAAACCAAAATCTTGCCTTCCAACGTGCTGGTCACTAGACTATTGGTGCCTTGCCTTTGTGACTTCGGGAACGAGCGTGTTCAGGACGGTATTCAGCTGTACCAAAAAAGCATAACAGTCCTGAAAGACGCTGCCGTCTCAAGTGAGGAGGCCGGGCTGCCTTTCGGGAGATGACTCAGACATGACGTTGCATGTAGGCCGGGTCCGCTGTTTCCATCGTGCTGCAGGCATCTGGCCACAGCCTCGACGAGTTGGTTCCCGGCTCGGCGGAAGTGTTACGGAACTCTTGCTTATTCTAATTTACTCTAGTAATTCTAGTTAGCAGCTTGTTTCCCATGCATTGAGAGCCACGGAGGCTTTCGACACAATTCATGGAGGGACAGAGGGGGTTGAGCTGGCAAGTCGAGGCAATCTTCGGCGACTGTCCCTGCACTTCGATACTTGCTGGCGAACGTCCGCCGGAGTGGCTCTCAGCCAGCATGACATGGCTGACAAGGTCTGCAGTGAATGATTCTCAAAGGCCAATGCAGATTGTCTTCGCAACTGCTCTAGCTCTGCACTTGGCATCACTTAGCCCTTTGCTCGAGCATGATCCATTGGACTTGCAAGCTGCATTCCAAGCGACTTCGCCAGGTGTCGTGCAACATGGCGGGTGGATTTGTCGCGTTTCTGTAGAAGCCTGCAGTCAGCTCCACGCAAGCCAGTTCACCGCAATGCCAGGATGCGCATCAATCTTCCGGATGGCCCCCTGGCCTTCCCGCATGAGCATGATGAACTCTGATCGTAGCCCGCGTGCTGCATGACAGAACTGCTGATCCATGTGTGCTTGCAAAAACTACTACAATATATACATATATATATATACTACAATCAGGCAGCCTTCAGATACTTCCAGGTGCTTCAATACTACTTGTATTGAGACGTTTCATGGCTCAGCTTCGGCATGCCAATGCATGCTCCAGTGGATTCGACAAATTTCGAGTTGATATGGCACAGAAGTGCAGAACCATCGGCATCGGAGTTAGACACCTTGCAGCAGGCTGAACCGAAAGCAACAGTGCATATTCGCAGAGGGTGTACTCTCGACGCTGTGTGTGTGTGAAGAAGCTGACCATACGGGCCCTTGCTAGCGGGTGTCTGGACAGCACAAGGACTGTCTCTGAAGCCGTCTAAGGCGAGTGGCGGATCGACATATGTAGCGGCAGAAAGACACCGAATCCAGAGCACTGGCAGAAGCGAAACAGTTGCTCAAGCCGCTTGTGTGGAAGAGTTCGCGAATATTCAATTTCACGAACAGTCACCATCCATACATGCTTCTTTGCGCAAGCTGAACCTGCTATGCAGCCCAAACTGTCATCTACTTGCCCATGCTGAGGCTCAGCGAGCTGTTACGGTCAACTGCATGAGAAGGCATTCTCTGCTTAACAAATTGTTTTGCGATTTGTCTTCTCGGCGCACAAGCAAACCAGCATCCTTGTTGGTCAGAGAGACAGAGAGATGACATCATTAAGTTCTAGAGTAAGGTGGCAACTCCGAGTACGCGTTGATGCTTTACAGGTGCGCTTCAGCTGGGAAAGCCTGGTCGTGCTATCAGTAACATCCGCATGTCTTCGGCGCTGTTTTCGCCATGGAGCAAGCTTTCGTGCAGATTCCCTTTGGGAGTCGCAGGATAAGTGCAGTGGGCGCAACAGGCTCACCAGGCTCAGCGCCTAGACAAGAAGTATGCAAGGCATGCAGAGTTTCCGCATGGTGGTTGCCGGTTGCGCTCGGATCGTGTGGCTTCGGCGGCTACAAGTCCAGGGTCGGGAGAGTGCCATTGAAGTGTTTGAGGGCACTTTCCACAAGAGATCCTGTTAAGAGGGGCGAAATACTTCCTGCACAGCCGGTGCCGGAGGGGATCGTTGCACCACCTTATGTCGCCGATCCAGATCAAGTCCGTGGCTGGTGGAACTCACGAATCGAACGCAAGACCGATCGTGATGTTGAGGCAATGAAGTCTGCTGGACAGCTGGCACATGCTGCCTTGGATCTTGCAGCAGATCTAATTCGTCCCGGCATAACGACTGAGCAGATGGACAAGGAGATACACACCTTTATTTGTGATCATGGAGCCTACCCCAGCGATCTCCAGTATAAGGGCTTTCCGAAGAGTGTCATGATCAGCATCAACGAGGCTCCGATCTGAGAAGGTTTTTCCGAATCTGCTCCTTGGTGCCAATCGTTGGGAAAGCATTGTGAAAGCTCAGGTGATCTGCCATGGTATTCCAGATTGCCGCGAGCTGGAGGATGGCGATTTGGTGAATGTAGATGTCACGCTGTACCGGCATGGTTTCCATGCAGATACTGCACGTACTTGGATGTGTGGTCAAGCAGATGCAGCAGGCGCCGACTCTCCTGGTGGTTGCAGGTTAGCACAGCACGACATAGCACATCCCTCGTTCGGAATAAAGCGCGGTTCAGGATCTGCTGCAAGCGGTTTGTCCTTCCGATATATTCAGCTCCTACTGGTCCTAATGACTCGACAGAGGTCGGCTCGATTAAGTGGCATGAATGCGCATGGTGCAAAGAGTTGCAAAGAGGTAGGAAAACTTGGCAGAAAATTTGTTGTAAGCCCTCGCTGCCCTTGTTGTGGCCTGCACCGCTTCAATCCCTGCCTGCAAGTTGTTGTCGAGGCTGATGCCAAGAAATCGCAACACCTACTTGCAAAACGAGCGAAAACTAGAATTGAGTATTGGCTGCAAGCCCGGAGCCACAGTATGACCCGGTAAAAAAGTGCAAGTTGCTTGTCTCGGAATCAGAGGATTCGCGCAGAATCGTTTCCGAGTCCCTGGCCGCATCAATCACGACCTCCAGCACCTGTCAGGCGAGCGTCTTGTTGCAGCAACCCGCGAGGCCGAGAGCGGAGTCGAAGCTGCAGCGCACAGGACTTTGCAAGACATGGCAGGACATCACGAAACCGTTAAACCGTAACCCTTTGGTCTGCAGGCCTTGGATGCTGCTGTCGCTGTTTGCGGTCCCGGAGCCCCTTTGAAAGCCATCGGTGATGCAGCCAGCCGCCCTTGTTCAGCTAAGAGTGTTGGGAGGGTGCTAAGGTACGAGACGGGGATGCAGATGGATGAAGCACGATGACTTTGCTGCCTCGTGCTAGGTAGCAGACATTGCTGAGCGCGAAAGCTTCGGCATTGTGAAGACCCTCGTCGGACATGGAATCGGAGAGTTCTTTCACGGAGTTCCACAGGCCGCAACAATGTTACTCTCATGATGCCTCAGACCAATATTAGTCGCCTGCACCTGCTGAACCAGTTTCCTGCGAGGCTGCTACAGTCTAGAGCTATCGAGTGGCAAGAAAATGATCTTGTTTTAAGAGCTGCATTGGCAGATCTTTCACTGCCGCAACAGCGACAACCGAAAGATGCAGGAGACTGCTTGCATTTGCCCGCCTATGTCGGCCATTTTGTCCGGCGCTACGACTGTTAGTGATCGGTGATAGTTGCGAGGCAAGGCTTCACCCTGCGACCACAGAATGTCAACAAGCTGCATCGTCCAGCCCAGATTAAGCCCTAGATCACCAAGTCGGCCAAGTCGGCAGTTGCATCGTAGCCCCCCTGCGCATTGCAGGAAGGCACAACCTTCACCATCGAGCCAGTTCTGACCGAAGGCACGGCACTACGTCATTTGCCAGCAAAACGACGTTATTTTGGTACCTCAGTATACAAGTCCAGAAGTCCACTGAAGGCTCTCCGGAGTGGTTCACGTGGGAAGATGGATGGACGGTTGCGACATCCGATGGAGGTCGAGCGGCCCAGCCCAAGTCTCGGAGTGTCCTACAAGCAGAATGTGGGAAATGCATCTGGCATATGCAACATGTCCAACCATGATCAACCCTGATCAACTATGATCAACCATGATCAACCATATGCAGCATGGGGCTATTTGAGGTTTGAGCACACAGTGCTGATCACAGCCAAAGGCTGCGAGGCGACCTGCAGTTCTCTCACTTTGACACGCAGCTAGCGGGCATTCGGAAGACTGGTAGCGAGTTAACTTGACGCAGCGTTGCTGACATGGATCGCTTGCAAAAGCTGACGCGAACGAATCCAGGTTCTGACTTGATGGCGAGATGCCGCCGCACGGCCCCTATGTGCCCGGGAGTAAGCTCAGCTGGGGTGGGGGGACCGACCAGATGGCCGACCACAGTGCACCTCGACTCTCAGAACATTGTGCCTCTCATCACTGAGGTGATTCTGAGAGCAGGAGCTGCTTGCTGCCGCATCGCAGTTTTCTCCATACGGTATTGTGGCAGCGGCAGCGCAGATGCTCAAAAGCAGCGTTGTTTTGTTTAACGAGGGGCTTTTGTTGGGTGTCGCAAGGCTCTGCTACATGATTTCGAGTGTCATCTGGTATCCAGACAAGTTGAACGGGGTAGCTGCTAAGTAGAGGGGCATGCAGACAGACATGAGCCATGATAGACAAGATGATGGACACACAGTACAGTGCTTTCTGCAACTTCGATGGTTTCATATTGACTGATGCGTGCACATCCATCCTCTTTGGTCGCTGGAACAAGTAGCACGAGAGGAGCCTGTGTGAGCCATCGGCTGTTAGCAACTTGAAGGTGAGCTTTCTGGCCTTGTGTGGGAAGTTGCAGTGGCATGGGTCCTGCAGCAATTGCTAATACCACCAGCACCACCTTCCACCATCACACACGCTCAGCAAAGCCTTCCACGGATTTGACCCACAACAGGAACTTACATGATTGAGAGGTTTGTCCAGGGTGTTGCAGTTCGCCCTTCATAGGAGGGGATGAATGGCTGAATTAATTTGAATGACGGGAGCTAACTTGCATGAATTAGCTCGGCTTTGGAGTAGTTCTGCTGTTGAACATCTCTTCAATCTCTTCAGGCAACATTCATCCTAGAAAGCTTGAGAGAGAGTCCTTGTATCCCACATTAGGGAAGCAGTATCGAGATCGCTTCTATTGTTTTGAATCCGCTTTGCAATAGAGGCGCACTCTGTGTTGCAAAGCAATGCAATCCAGGCTACCGGGCTAGAATCAAGCCTCACCCGCGGTCTTCACAAATCTTCAGGGGGAAGGAGGAACCGCCCACATTGCTAGCAATCCGTGGATATCCGTGGTGCCCTTGCCTCAACATGGCTCGAACGTTGTGGTCACGCACAGAAACGGTTGTCAAGCTTCTTATGTGCTTTAACGGATACTTTGGGATACCTTGGACGCAAGCAGGTCCCAAACATTGCGTTCCCTGGCTTCACCCCAAGAGTGGAGAACATATTAAAAGTGGTGATGACCACAGTATCATGCCACCATACGCCACCACTTCCTCACGAATACATCCGGCAGCTTCAGTCACAGCATTGCAGGGGTTTCTTCCGCGCTCATGGAGCAAGCCCTTGGCCAGCGACAAGTGCTGATCTTGGGATGTCTCTTCCTGTCAGCATCCTCCGACCAGTTCGTCTGCGATACGCCTACTTGCGCCCGACATGGCACATGGCAGCCAGCTCCTTTTCCCAACTCAACGGACGTGTGCAATGATCTTCAGATCAGAGCGCTGCAAGCATTTGTCGGCGAGGCGCCCCAGCTGTGTCGAGAGTGGGCTGCCAATGGGCTCGGAGTGTGGGCTGATTGCCGCAAGTCCTATTGCCAGACCTTGGGAGACCTTGCCGCAAACTTGTCGCATGCCGGTACAAACCTTTACTACGGAGGCGATGAATGTCGACCTCTAGTGAACTTCAACCAGACGCTTTGCGAAACTGTTTATCGCGATGCTGACGGCTTTTGCGAGTGTTTCTGTCCTACCCTGGGCTTGCTACAAGTCCCCAGCGTCGGGGGCTGCGAGTCCAAGATCTTCGAGTTTCTATTCCTTGGCCGACGGGGCTTTGAGCTCAGTCAGAAGTATGCGCTCAGTGGCTATTGCGCAAGCTTCTTGTGTGAGTTCCTGAACAAGCTAGGGGAGCCTGATCCACCCTTCCCTATTGAAGGCTTGCCAGCAAAGTGCAAGGCCTTGGATTTGCCATGGCGAGTCGACGCTTGTGTAGAGTTGATCTCGCGGCAGCCATATGACCCAGAAGGCTGGACGCCACCACATCCAGAAGACAACATTTTGGAATGTGTTGATGGAACTACACATGAAGTTGACATACGCCACGCTGATACCTGGGAAATATGCAACCAGCACGACTCCAGATGGCGATGTCCCTTGAACTTTCCAGTGATGTGCAAAGACCCATATGCATGCAATGGTGACCACTGTTGTGTAGAGACGGCGGCCGATTGTCCGTCAGGTGAGAGGGTGGCGTCTCCCATGCTTAGCCTAGAGCTGCCGGAATGGATTGGCCGTTTCCCGCCCGACATGATTGAACAGCTGCGCACTAGCACTAGTTTGGATGCATATTCCCAGTTTCTTGCAAACTTGGGCACAACATCGTTGGCACCGAGTTTTGCTCAACAAATCTCGGACTATGCCTGGGCCGGGAGTGCAATGTTGGTCGCCATTGGACTAACCTGCTCGTGCTTGGCCTGCTACTATATGGGCGTGATAAACACAGGCTACATTCGAAAAGTGGTTCTTGGACCAGCGCGTCTTCTGAATGCCTACCATGCAGACCCAGTCACATTCTTCGCATCCGGGAATTTGCCCCGCAACAAGAAAAGGGAAGCACCTCTCCCTCCAATGAGGCCTGTGCATGAAATCGAGGAGGAGCGGAAAGACAACGAAGCTTGCGCAGCACTTGAGGATGCTTGGGACATCGCTATGCTGAAAGGCATGCGGCATTTGGTAAGCAAAGCCAACGACCCAGACCCCTTCCAAGCTAAGCTGCTGCGTGATGCCATCTCAATCACGCGGGCCAGGGGTCTCCAGGCAGAGCATTTTTGTTGTTGAGTTTTGCTGGCTCCCACAGAAGTACTGCAAACGACAACAAGTACCAACACGGACACCCTAGCGACATTCACTCGGCATCCGGCAGGCTCGCGCAAGCGTCGCAGAAACTCTTCGGAAAGGGGAGTGGCTCAGCTGCATTGCAGCCGAATGATGCCGATAGAAGTTAATAACTAGTGTAGAACAAAGGGATTGAACGTACAATACTGGATACACACACACACACATATATATATATATATTTATTATTTTTTTTTTGTTTTTAAAGCTCCCCCCCCATGATCCACACATTTGACCTCGGGAAGGGGGGGGGGGGCTCCCAGAACTCCAGGCTCCAGATTTCCAGAGTGTATCTGGAGTGCCGGGTCCCGGACTGCAGACTCCAGATTTCCAGAAGGAATCTGGAGTACCGGGGCCCTGGAAATCTGGAGTCTTAAGTCCGGGGCCCTGGAAATCCGGAATCTCATACTGTTTAATGGAAACGAAGGTATACGTACATGCATGTGTACTGTATATCTGCTATGCCATACAACAACATCGACGTACAAGATGATACATTTGGTCAAGCGCCTTGGCTAAAACCCGAAACCATACAAATCCTGCATCTGAAGCCCCGACGGGTTTTTGGTTTAAGGTTTAGAATTTAGTAGGGCTTGAGGTTCCGGATTTGTTGTTTAGGATTTGGGTTTAGTGTTTAGTGTTTAGGGTTTCGTGTGTAGGGTTTAGTGTTTCATATTTAGGGGTTAAGTGTTGAGGGTGTAGTGGTTAAGTCTTGAGGGTGTAGTGGTTAAGTGTTTAGGGTTTAGTGTTTAGGGTTGAGCGTTTAACTGTTTAGGGTTTAGTGTTAAGTATTTGGGGTTTTGTGCTAAGGGCGTAGGGTTAAGTTTTTAGGGCTAGTGTTTAGGGTTTAGAGCTCAGTGTTTAGGGTTTAGTGTTAAGGGTTTCGGGTTTGATTTTTTGGGTTTAGGGTTTCGGGCTTAGGGACTTGGAGAATATCCATCAAACACCTCTGTTTTGCGTTTCTTTCTGGGTTGACCTATTGATGTTTTCAAAAAATGCAACGGAATAGGGTTTAGTGTTTACGGCTCAGGGTTTGGTGTTTAGTGTTGAGGGTTTCGTATTTGGTTTTTGTTTTCAAAGGTTGAGGGTTTAGTTTTTGGGTTTAGGGCCAAGTGACTTGGATAGTATCTAAAACCCTAACCCCGACTGGTTTTTGGTTTGGGGTTCAGGGTTTTAGTGTTTAGGGTTTAGGGTTCAGGATTTGTTGTTTCGAGTTTAGGGTTTAGTGTTTAGTGCTTAGGGTTTAGTGCTTAGGTTTCAGGGTTTAGTGCTTTGTGTCTAAGGTTTAGATTTCAGGGTTTAGGCTGAGTTTAGGGTTTAGGGTTTAGTTTTTGGGCTTAGGGTTTGGGGTCAAGCGCCTTGGCTAAAACCTTAAACCATACAAAGCCTAAACACCAAAACCCAACCCTAAGCATCTGAAACCCCGACGTGTATTTGGTTCAAGGTTTAGATTCAGAAGGGCTTGAGGTCCGGATTTGTTGTTTAGGATTTGGGGTTTAGTGTTTAGGGTTTCGTGTGTAGGACTTAGTGTTTCATATTTAGGGTTAAGTGTTGAGGGTGTAGTGGTTAAGTGTTTAGGGTTTAGTGTTTAGGGTTGAGTGTTTAACTGTTTAGGGTTTAGTGTTAAGTATTTGGGGTTTTGTGCTAAGGGCGTAGGGTTAAGTTTTTTGGGCTAGTGTTTAGGGTTTAGAGCTCAGTGTTTATTATAGGGTTTAGTGCTCAGTGTTTAGCGTTTAGTGTTAAGGGTTTCGGGTTTGATTTTTGGGGTTCAGGGTTTCGGGCTTAGGGACTTGGAGAATGTCCATCAAACACCTCTGTTTTGCGTTTCTTTCTGGGCTGACCTATTGATGTTTTCAAAAAATGCAACGGAATAGGGTTTAGTGTTTACGGTTCAGGGTTTGGTGTTTAGTGTTGAGGGTTTAGTATTTGGTTTTTGTTTTCAAAGGTTGAGGGTTTAGTTTTTGGGTTTAGGGCCAAGTGACTTGGATAGTATCTAAAACCCCAACCCCGACCGGTTTTTGGTTGTGGGTTCAGGGTTTTAGTGTTTAGGGTTTAGGGTTCAGGATTTGTTGTTTCGGGTTTAGGGTTTAGTGTTTAGTGCTTAGGGTTTAGTGCTTAGGTTTCAGGGTTTAGTGCTTTGTGTCTAAGGTTTAGATTTCAGGGTTTAGGCTGAGTTTAGGGTTTAGGGTTTAGTTTTTGGGCTTAGGGTTTGGGGTCAAGCGCCTTGGCTAAAACCTTAAACCATACAAAGCCTAAACGCCAAAACCCAACCCTTAGCATCTGAAACCCCGACGGGTATTTGGTTTAAGGTTTAGATTCAGAAGGGCTTGAGGTTCCGGATTTGTTGTTTAGGATTTGGGGTTTAGTGTTTAGGGTTTCGTGTGTAGGGTTTAGTGTTTCATATTTAGGGTTAAGTCTTGAGGGTGTAGTGGTTAAGTGTTTAGGGTTTAGTGTTAAGGGTTGAGTGTTTAACTGTTTAGGGTTTAGTGTTAAGTATCTGGGGTTTTGTGCTAAGGGCGTAGGGTTAAGTTTTTTGGGCTAGTGTTTAGGGTTTAGAGCTCAGTGTTAATTATAGGGTTTAGTGCTCAGTGTTTAGGGTTTAGTGTTAAGGGTTTCGGGTTTGATTTTTGGGGTTTAGGGTTTCGGGCTTAGGGACTTGGAGAATATCCATCAAACACCTCTGTTTTGCGTTTCTTTCTGGGCTGACCTATTGATGTTTTCAAAAAATGCAACGTAATAGGGTTTAGTGTTTACGGTTCAGGGTTTGGTGTTTAGTGTTGAGGGTTTAGTATTTGGTTTTTGTTTTCAAAGGTTGAGGGTTTAGTTTTTGGGTTTAGGGCCAAGTGACTTGGATAGTATCTTAAACCCTAACCCCGACTGGTTTTTGGTTTGGGGTTCAGGGTTTTAGTGTTTAGGGTTTAGCGTTCAGGATTTGTTGTTTCGGGTTTAGGGTTTAGTGTTTAGTGCTTAGGGTTTAGTGCTTAGGTTTCAGGGTTTAGTGCTTTGTGTCTAAGGTTTAGATTTCAGGGTTTAGGCTGAGTTTAGGGTTTAGGGTTTAGTTTTTGGGCTTAGGGTTTGGGGCCAAGCGCCTTGGCTAAAACCTTAAACCATGCAAAGCCTAAACGCCAAAACCCAACCCTAGCATCTGAAACCCCGACGGGTATTTGGTTTAAGGTTTAGATTCAGAAGGGCTTGAGGTTCCGGATTTGTTGTTTAGGATTATTTGGGGTTTAGTGTTTAGGGTTTCATATGTAGGGTTTAGTAGGGTTTAGGGTTAAGTGTTGAGGGTGTAGTGGTGAAGTGTTTAGTGTTTAGGGTTGAGTGTTTAACTGTTTAGGGTTTAGTGTTAAGTGTTTGGGGTGTTGTGCTGAGGGCTTAGGGTTAAGTTTTGAGGGTTAGTGTTTAGGGTTTAGTGCTTAGTGTTTAGGGTTTAGTGTTGAGGGTTTCGGGTTTGGTTTTTGGGGTTTAGGGTTTCGGGCTCAGGGACTTGGATAAAATCTATCAAACATCTCTGGTTTGCGTTGCTTTCTGTGCTGACTATTGATGTTTAATAACAGCAACGCAATTCGGTACCCAGGAAATCGTATTTGCAACATTTTGTCTCTCGATGTGAACGTATGTTTTCAGAACATATACACGGTGTTCTTTAAACAAAGTTAAGGTTTTGAGAAAAAGTAGATGATTTTCGTTAAAACCATTTTCAAAAATCAAATATTTCTTGCAAAAAAAGCGATGGTGGTGACTCAGTTTTCGTTCAGTTTCGGCCAGTTTTGCTCCAGTTTCATGAAACTCTACCTACTGCTGTCAAGTCTTCAATAGAAGTTTCAAAGGCAGATGGTTCGCTACACACGTCACCCGTCATTTCGAGACACAGCCCCAAGACACACGTTTAAGAAGCAAAATACACATAAGACACTACAGTTTTTATTGGGGACAATATTGCATAGCCTTTTGTATTCTGGCATAGTTTTTACTGCATTTTTCCGAGGAAAAAACATAAATTCAGACAAAGACGAAGACAGCAAGTCCATAGGTGTGGATCATGGGCGGGGTGACTACATATTTATTTATTTATTTATTTGTTTATTTATGCATACATATATATATATGCACTCTATGTATATGGAAGCGGGTGATTTTGTCCGATAGCATTGTCAGCTCGGCCTGGAAGGAAGTGGCTCTGTACGCTGGAGGCTGGGGACATGCCATGGGTCTCATGTCATCTCATGTCCCACCCTACCAGTCACTACCATTGCTTTTGCATCTTTTGCCTTTGGATTGCCACTCGTCCCCGGAGTTCGGACAGCGCAGCCCGGCCTTGATAAAAATCTTCAACTTTCAGCGCAAGAGGCAGAGAGAGAGCTGCTGCGAAGGGTGGAGGACGGCACAGTGCAGCGGATGCAGTATTGACAGTCTAGTGATGTTGCAAAGTGAACTAAGGGCTAAGGTGCTGGTCGTATTTTGTACAACCTTGAGCAATGCTGCATTGTGTGTGATCGTGCGTGAAAGTGGAGGAAGCCCGCCCTGATCTGAGATGGGCTGCCCAAGTCAGGCGAGGGGGGCTCATGCTCATACTAGGCTGATTCTCTTGCCTTAACAAGAAAAAGTAGAGCATTGAAAAATTCTTCTTGTCACGCTATGTGGCTACAATGGTTAGCGCCTTTTTGGGATTGATCCTTGTGGGGTCAAGACGATGCGCCTGGGTTCTAATTAAATTTTAATGCTTGTCAACTGGGCTTTGGTGTCGTGGTTAAGCGCATAGTTCCAACGTGGTTACAGCCTCCCCCCTCAAGTCAGGCACCGTTCATCCACTGAGATCAGTCAGACAAAGTAACAGGACAGCTAGAACTACAAGCGCACGCAGCACGCCTGCCGGCATGTGACTGACATTGAACGTTGCTGACGTGACGTGAGCAGCCGTCCAATATGGAAGGCTGACAGAGGCGCCTGTTGTTGGCAAGCCGCAAACTCGGAGCTCAACGTCGAGTGTGGTGCAGTATCTAACCAATATCACTGACCAAGAGCAACAGTAATGTTAGTCATCAAATTGGATCTGAATTGAAACAGCCTTGGCATCTATCCTGAGGCCATGGATAGCGACGACCATGTGCAAGATGGCTGAGAGTGAGGTGCTCCTGGGAGTCGTGTCATGCCACGAGAGCCGCCCTCATCTCGCCTAGCACTTTTGATGCAACCAACGGCTCTGAGAAGGTACGGAGCAGTGGATGGAAGCACATTGAAGACCTGCGTGCAGCTGTCCAGGCTGGACGGAATAGCAGAGTAGCTCCAGGAACACTCAATATCTATACAGCCAACCTCACCTCCTCGGAACAGCAAGCCGTGAATGCAGGCCGCCAAGTCTCAGGACATCAGTGAGTCGCACATGAAGGAGGCTCCCCCAGCACTTGCAATGCGAAGAGAGTAAGTGAAAGAAGCCTTCGCACGCAGTGCACCAGCTTTGTGGACTGGGCAGCTGACTAATCTCTTTGACTAGCATGACCACTCCAGGAGTGCAGGCTTCAATTCAATGACAGTCCTTGCCTTGAGATTGGTCTAGTACTCTCCAGTGGCCACTCCGAGGCGCAGACGCTTCTGGCAGCACTGGTTGCCAGAACGCACGAGCTTCCTTCCGATCGCTGTGTGCTAGATCCGGATGGGGAAGGTCGGCACTGTAAGACCAACTAGGCATAAGCTGGGTGCAAGATGAGCAGTTGTTGAGATGCAGGTATTAAGCTGCTGCCGAAAGGCCACCAACGAGCTGTGTGGCCAGTTACAGGCACCAGACTCTGAGTTGCAGGTTTAAAACGCGATGCAGCAGTACAGTATGCAAGGTGACACCTACACCTTCGAGCAAGGCTCCTCTCAAGGAGGCAAGTGGCCGTGGAGCCAAGCCTGCATCACACCTATCGGCCCAGTGTCATTTCTGAGAGTACACCGACATTTGGCAACAGTAGCTGGAATGCACCGGCAAATCCATGTCATGTTTCTGGACTTTTGCTGGTGCTTGTCGTAGGCGACATGGGTGTCGACATTTTGCCTCCAAAGGAAGTGTTGGGCTGGGAGCCCAGTAACATCCGGTCCGCAACGCTTCCAGCCAGTCGGTATCCACAAGTAGACCCAACTTCTTGTAGTCAGCACATTCATGGGTTGAGCAAGAGCATGTCGACATGTTTCGCTAGCCGGTCCGGCAATAATACTGTTTTTGGAGGACATGCACCTCCCACTTGGAGCTGCAACAGGCTACGGCTCGACATGCCTACGGGTTCAATCAATGTCGGGCTAGGTAGGTCTGTTTGTTCATTGTATCCCGCTGCCGCCGGAAACCTGGAAGTTTCTGGTTCCTCGCTAGGCCAAGGAGGATAGATAGAGGTTTCTTGGCGCATCCCGGGCAAAAGAAAGCAGTCGGCCCGATGCACGCAGAGACGTTTAGGGCGTCACGCGGATGGGCTGGAGGGCAGGCACTCTAAGTTGTCCACTCGGAGGCAGGCAAGCAAAGGGTCCGCTGGAATCCCGGAGGCAAGTGAAGCGCATAACCCGTTGTGCTTGAATGCTCTGCACTCGGCCAGGGGTTAATCTGCCTTATGTTTCGTGTGCAGACCCGGGCTTTTTACTTTTGTGCTGTGTTAGAGGTGACCTTCCGGTCCCAACATATTTCTGTTGTTTGTTGCCCTCCGCTGCTAATCGTTCGAGACCGGATCTCGTTCGGGGTAGGTTTCACCCGCATCTATGACATTAAAAGTATTCTCACCCTTCGTCTTGTCAGCTTAAGGCGATGCGGCCGTGGATGATGCCCGGCCAGTGTGTGCAATCATCCCAGTGAGTTTGCGAGGCTTGCATGACTCGGCTCCACTTGCCTCATACACCACACGGCAGGTGCCATATCAATCAGCTGAGGCCGAATGGGCAAAATCTTCACGCTGCAAAGCAGGTCGCGATTGCCCATGGCGGCACTGCCGGCCGCAGGCCATGCAATTTGGTGTGCCAACGTAGGCAAGTGGGCCGCATGCGACCTTGAGCAATAATTAGGCACTGATGATGGCAGCAGGGGCAGAACAATAAACAGATGCCACGTAAAGCATAACTACAACCAATCGATCCCTGTGAACAGCAGGCTGGTGACTCCGTGCGTGAGTGCATCCTGTTTGATATGTGACAAGCAAGCAGCATGCCTGAAGACAAACAGATGGGTAAAACAGAGTTTCCAGTTGCGGTAGCTGCAGCTACTCTACGTATAGCTGCACTATGCAATACTTGTCAAGAATCGGGCCACCATCACTTGATCAGCTGTTGCGACAAGTTTCACGGAGTTCACGAATAGTCGGTGAACCTGCGCAGAGACTTGCACAGTCGTCCTGGCTGTATGTTGGGCTGCATGAGAAGGCTCGAATTAAGCAGTAGTTCAGTAGGACCAGAGGCGCGGGTGGCTTGGCCGAAGGCCATCTTTACTCGAGCCGTGCAGCTTTGCATTGTGACCAAAAAGCTCGGGGTGGCTTCAGCGACAGCATGTTCGTGTTTGAGCACGAGCTCAGTTCAAATGTGTTCAAATGCGTGACGGTTCTTCAAAATCATGTTTAGAAACTGCCCGCGAAACCATACTTACGCCGAATTGCCCGCGCTGCTTGCGAAGCAAGACTGACTGACAGATCATAGACAGCTAGAAGAACTCGGCTCATGCATTTGCACCTGCACCCTTTGCATGGCAACATCAGCTAGTCACTGCGCGTGATGGGCAAAAGCAGCAGAGAGCTGCTCCGTACTGTTTCGCCAGCTTCGCCATGCCAAAGGCCCGGGGCCCGCTGTGTGGAAGGGCTTGGGCCTTGGAAGGTCTCTTTAAGGGTTTCAAGCAGCTCCGAGCCTTCGCATCCTTAGCCAGCTTTCTACCAGACTGACACATGCTCGTTCCCCCTTTGTTGCGCTTCCTTGGAGGCATCTCAAGAACTCCTGTTTCCTGTGCTTAACTTTGCAGCTTTGCATTGCCTAACATGCTTGTGCGATGCTGGCTTGCACAGGCGCCAATCTGTGCTGCCTTTGCCGCTCCCTGCACGCGTGCAACGACAATCAAAGACCATCAAAGTGCAAGGCCTATAAAGTCATCAGGAACCCAGTCAAATAGTGCAGTTGCTGTTAGTTAGTGCTCCAAGGCACGTTTTCACTCTGAGGGCATGGCTCGGAGAAGCAGAAAGACAAAAAGGACACGAACAGCGAAGGTGATCACAGCCCACACCAGCCTTGAGAATGGAGACTCTCGAAAAGGGCTGAGGACCCTCACCCTTTAAAAGCCTAGGAGGTGTGCTCTGGGAGCCTCTGAAAGGCTGGGCCATAACCGCGTGGCACCTTCACCCCCTGAAAGGCCACCGGAGGCCCCCCGCAAGGTTTGCTGGTGGGAGGCTCGAGGAGGCCCCTTCGAATCCCCTTCGAGCCCCTTAACCTGAACCGTAAAAATGTGGCAGAAGTGGAAAGCAAGAATCTCCAAGCCAGGGGGCAAGTCCTCGACCCTAAGACTCTATAAAAGAATTGGGAGTGGAAACCTTGAATCTTGGATCAGAAACAAAAAGGGGCTTGCTCGAGGCCGGGCTCAGGTTACAGTTGACCCCTCATATTCCACTCTTCGTTCCCTTCTGCTGTTTTTGGAAAAGTCTCGGCCATGGAGCAGGCGACATCTTTCTATGTGGATTGCACGCATGCCGCTGGCTCCCTTGTGATCCAAGCATGTTTATTGGCACGCACTTTCTGCAACCGTGCTGCGTGTGCAGTTGCTCGCAATGTGCACCGCAAGAATGGCAGGAATATGTCGACGGTCATGCCGAAGGCTGCATGAAGGCACCAGAGACGTTCTCCGTCTTAAAGTTCCCTAATTGCCTGTACCTCATGCCTCGCTCGTCTTCGTCATGCTTGGTGAAAGTGCTTGACAGATATATGACCTTTGGAAAAATCGGCGTGCTTGGGCCCAAGCAAGTGGTGTGTCGATGCTGCGCCAGATTCTGATTTGCCTCGGCCGCAGCCTCGGCCAGGTGACGGACAAAGGCCCTGAGGCACACGTTGGGGCAGCTTATGGGCTTTTTCGCATTTTGCAGATGCTCAACTCATGTCTCGTGTGTCCTTGTCAGCGCTCGCCGTGCAGCGCGCCCGACTATATTCACGCGGCCCGGGGCTTAAGCCGAGCAGCTGAAGCTACTAGCAGCCGTCGTAGCCGTCGTAGCTGTGGCATGGCTACTCAACAAAGCTTTTGAATCATTGAATCGGCTTACGACAATTCCAGTACAACGCCAAGTCGCTTGAAGCCAATGGCCATGCTGGTGCACGAGCTCCATTGCACTGACGCTTCTTTCATGTCTCGCGTGCGGAGACAATTCTCAGCATGGCTTGTGCCGACACTTGAGCATCGGCTTATCAAAGTTGAGAGGCCATGCAAAAAGACCAGACCAGGGCTTTGAAGAGCCTTTCTGTTCTCGTGCCGGCTGGTACTCGGACTTTTTCCTGCCGTCAATCAAGACATCTGTCAGCACATACGTCGGTCAAATAAAAAACAAATCGCACAAAACTGCTTCCAGAACACTTTTTACGGAGGGCTCGGAATGGTTTGGCAGGGACTGGCAGGGATGCGAGCAGAAGGGTCCCTTAAAAGTGGGCCCCTGTTCTCAACCGTTCAAAGACTGGCACCAGTGACGCCTCAGGTTGATACAGGCGAATGGGCAGAGTGCTGCCGAAGACAGCTCATGCATCCGGATGATGAGCAAGGCTGACCGGCGTGAATTCGTTCTTGTTGCCACACTGTTGCTGCGCAGGCCCGTGATCTTTGGTCAGTCAGCTGACCTTTCAGGTCCTATGAAACACGTGCTGAAGCTGCTTGTGGCATTAGGATTGAGAGCCTTGGCACGCACACTCTTGCGCAAGCACGCACAGAGACGTACAGAGAGACACCCCCATACGAGCGATGGCCGGTGGATGCTGCGTGCTTCACTTGAGTTGCTGCTGTCGAGCAATGTCACAAATGCCATTGTTGGAATACTGTTGGAATTGAATGCGTCGGCAAAATTCAAGGAAAAGGACACAAAGAGGTCTACATTTGCCAGCCTCTAAAAGCGTGATCCTCAGAAATTCAGATTCCCCTCGAACTGAAAGAGCTTCTCAGCGACTTCAGAGGTCGAGCATCACAACTACTCCTACGATATGCAGTCCGGCTTGGGATGGATCAAGGACCTGGTTTTGGAAGTTCCCCTCCAGCAAGACAAGAACATGGCTTGGGGTAGGTCTGTTTGCACAAATCGGTCACGCAAGAAAGCGGAAGCGAGAAACCGAAATGGCACTTCTTTCGGTTACCGTTTTCCCCCCTGCGTACGAGCTTTTACAGATTTGCACATATCCAGATTTGTATTTATATTTACTTGTATTCTTGTTGTTGTTTTCATGTTTTTTTTCATTTTCATGTTTGTTTTTCAGTTTTATGTTCATTTTGATTTTCTATGTTTATTTTTAAAATATTTTTTATATTTGTATTCATATTTGAATTATATCTATACACCTTCGGGCCGAAAGTTTCGACCCACAGCACATTGTTGGATGGCATGCAGAAAGTGAAGACTTGCGTGGAGTCGCGGAGTGCCGAGAAGTGGAGTTTTCCCTACGCCTGCCAGCGGAGAAATTAATACCCCGTTTTGAAAATATAGTACTATAGAAGCTCCGGAGGAGTCCCCCAGATAGAAGCTCCGGAGGAGTCCCCCAGGCTCACTTGCGTCAGGAGTCTATGGGGAAGAGGGCGGGGAACAGGTGTAAGGACTTCTAGATGTCGGTGGGTCGAACTATTGGCCCGGCGCAGTAT